GTATTTGTCAGTCATTCAAATCTCGGGTTCAGCAAAAGTTTTCGTATCTATTTTTAGTAAAAATCGTTAGGAGTTTTGCGATCAGGGTGTTAGTTGTCAATTTTAGGTGCTAAAAATGCACTTTAATGAATCTTTGGAGTCTGTAACCTTGAGAAACGTTGTAATGTTATTAATACGAAAATCTTTAAAATGTGAAGCATATATTTTGTGACCGGAACCTCGGAATGTTCGAGGTAAAACTTACGTTTTGTGTACCATCAAAAGCATGACAGTGATGACATTTCTTCAAAACATGACAGAATCCCTATCATCCACAACATGAGAGATATTTACCACGAATGTGTGTACCGAACTCTCGAACCTATTCTCCGATCACGACCGCCTCACCATAAAAATACATATAGATTTGGACCTGTGAAGATCAGGGTTAGAACAGATCTTCAGCAACCAATGCTTGTATTAAAAGGTGGCTGTGGTTGTCGTTAGAGGCGACTAACGGGATCGGGTTGGTTGTCAGGCTCGCTGACTTTGTTGATTGGATGCATGTCATCTTATCCCAATTGTGTGGATTGATGCTCGTGATGTCAATCACTGATTGTCAGGTCCAGACTTGATTGTTTGCATGACCTCCGTCATTATAGCTGGCATATTGCTGAGTGTGGCATTACACAAAAAAACAAACAAACAAAACATATAAATTTAACCGCTTATTTCAAATTGTAGATAAAAATACATAGCGCCATCTCGAACTCCCAATCTGACTTTACAATAGAACTGTGTACCATGATATCGAAGTTTGAATTTGCCACCGTGACAGCTTTAAGGAATCTTAATTAGAATTTTACTTAACTGTAAACAATTCTCCTCGATACAGGTTGAGGAATCAGTAATGTAGTCAAAGAAAGTGATCATTTGCAACATTGTCAAACTTTGTTTCATCCATAGAAACCACGGACCTTTTTCGCAAAACTAAAATTCAACTCAATCCTTCACTTGTTGTTCTGTCACAATGTTTATTGATTATTACCTGCGAAATACATTTCATTTAGTCATCGAGATACATTTCAATTAGCCACACCTTACACCTGTTGTATTCTGAATTGATCGTCTATGCAATCGTATTTCTATGGATCTATAATGCACAGTCTGTTACTCAGTTTTATTTCGCTTATTGACTTTCTATATAATTGAACAGGGACATTTATTTTACATGCAAACAACATGTTATTCAGGAAAATATAATTACATGATAGGGGTTTGTGAACACACAAATAATTATTTATTCAAACACCTTTTCCTTTAAAAAAACATATATATTAACACACACAATTTTTTTTTACAAACAATAGTTGATTTTATGCTTCCAAACAAACCACACGCAAACTATTGTTGAATTTTAAAATATAGCCAAGGTAAATGTATCCACAATCATATTTAATCACAAATATCGTTCTGTTCTATATAAATGTAACAAGTGAACTAACCATTTCAGTGGATCTCAACATGGACAAAACTGTTGGAGATGTTCAATGAGTGAATGTTTATGTAATGAAGTAAAAACGTAGATTCTTTCTTTTGGTAAATACATGCTGCTGTACATCTTATAGATGTTCCAAGAGAAAATGATATAATATCTACCTATATACCACTTTATAGTGTCTCAGATCGCGGTATGTAAAGAAAACTTGGTGCTCAAAGTGAAGCCCTTTTCCCTCTACATTGATGATACATCTGCGTGTTTAAAGTTGATTTTGACAGCCCGGGCCAAGTCGGGCCCACCACACGCCAAACACTTTTGATAAGAGACTATATTGAGAATGTAGAGGGAAAAGGGTTTCACTTTGAGCACCTTGTTTTCTTTAAATACGATGTACTGTGACATTATAAAGTGGTATATAGGTAGATATAATACTAGTTTATGGTCGTAAACACATTTGATGATGCATCTGTCTGTTTAAAGTTGATTGTGACAGCCCGGACCAAGTCGGACCCAACACAAGCCAAACACTTTTGATAGAGACTATGTTGTGAATGTAGGGGAAAAGGGTTTCACTTTGAGCACCTTGTTTTCTTTAAATACGATGTACTGTGACATTATAAAGTGGTATATAGGTAGATAAAATATTAAGCTACAGATGTAAACACATTTGATGATGCATCTGTCTGTTTAAAGTTGATTGTGACAGCCCGGGCCAAGTCGGACCCAACACAAGCCAAACACTTTTGATAGAGACTATGTTGAGAATGAAGAGGGAAAGGGGCTTCACTTTGAACACCTTGTTTTCTTTAAATACGATGTACTGTGACATTATAAAGTGATATATAGGTAGATATAATGCTAGTCTATAGATGTAAACACATTTGATGATACATCTGTGTGTACAAGTTGATTTTGACAGCCCGGACCAAGTCGGACCCAACACTTCTGACAGAGATTTTCTAAAGAAAATACAATAATCGTTTTTGACTTTAACGGACCAGTTTTCTTTAAATACGATGTACTGTGACATTATAAAGTGGTATATAGATAGATATAATACTAATACTAGCGAAACGAAAAGACTGCCTTCCTGCGACGTGCTCAAAATGAATGAACGAATGAGTTTATTCCGCAACGGGGCCAGTGGCCCATTATACAAGGTACACTGTTTTTCTCAGTTCACCTGTACAGAGCGCTATTACATCGGGGGACCGGTCCAAAAAACGCCCGCAAGCTACGAACGTCCGTGAGACTAGTGGTCATAACTACCCCTAGTGCTAAAAAGGTTGCTTAGGCAGATCATAACCTACGAACGTCCTGTGCATCGGGTCCCAACACCCGTCACACGCACTGTCAACAATCTGTCTCATAAAGTTAAAATGGCATTTTCCTTTTCTTGAGAGTTAAAAATACATACTTTACTTTTTTCTTCATACATCTTCTTAGAACATAGAAGTTGCAGCTATATTATTATTTTAGTTTATCAAGAGTTTGAAATGTGTAATAATAAATATGAAGTACATGTTCCCTCAAATTTTAGTGAGTGAGTGAGTGAGTGAGGTTTTACGCCGCTTTTAGCAATATTCCAGCAATATCACGGCGGGGGACACCAGAAATGGGCTTCACACATTTTACCCATGTCGGGAATCGAACCCGGGTCTTCGGCGTGACGAGCTAACGCTTTAACCACTAGGCTACCCGACCGCCCCTTCAAATTTTAGTAAAATGGGCACTCGAGACAAAAGTGGAAATTCAGTTTCTATACTGAACCGCAAAAGGATGGATAGATATATGAGGAACTTTATTTGCCCAAACACTGTAAATATACTTTGAGACATATTAAAAATGAAACTTGGCAAAAACTGATCATCAAGGTTGAATTTAAAGTGTCAAATGTTCTTAAAGTGAAACACAACACTAGTCTCTGAGAAAATGGCATCACAAGTCAGTATCTCGTGTGTCCGCCATGTGCCTTGATGACTGCCGTGCAACGTCGATACATGGAATGGATGAGCTGTTGATGAAGGCCATAGGCACTTGTGCCCACACTCTGAGGAACGCCTGACGCAGTTCAGATGCAGTTGTCGGCCTTGGTCGGACGTCATTCAGCCGTCTCTGAATCTCGTCTCACAGGTGCTCAATGGGATTTTAATCGGGACTGAGGGCAGGCCAATACATGGTTCTGATGCCATTCTGCTGGAGGAAGTCTCTTGTTGCTCTCGCGCTGTCATGCTGAAACTCATGGTTGCGGCGACGTGCCAACTGATGTATGGCGTGTTGACTCAAGACTTGATCAATGTTCCGAGCTGCTGTGACACCATTGCCTCTCCCTGGACCGATGTTCTGGAAGACCACAGTGCCGACCCTCTGCGCAAGACCAATTCCACCCCACACTATGATACTCGGACCACCCCACGAGTCTCTCTCAACAACACAAGCATCCGAATAACGGGCCCCACGGCTTCGCCAGACTCTCTCTCTCTCTCTCTCTCTCTCTCTCTCTCTCTCTCTCTCTCTCTCTCTCTCTCTCTCTCTCTCTCTCTCTCTGCCATCTACTGTTTAGATACAGTAACCTCACTCGTCTGAGTGTTGCCCACTGAAGACGGTCCCGGCGATCACGTGGTGTCAGAATCGTGCTCGTCAATCGTCGTCAATCGTCGGCGGACGGTGTCCGCACTAATGTGTCCCTGGTGTGTCCCCATGGTCTGTCGAGCAGTTTCAACAGCAGTAACAAAGCGATTATGAAGATGCTGTCGCAGAATCTGACGGAGCCTGCATATGGTCCTTACGTGGACTTGAAATGCATTGGCTACTTGCCGGGCGGTTTGTCCAGCTTGCTATCGTCCAAGGGCTTGGTGTCGCTGATTTCTGGTCAATCTTGGCATGTGGTAGCAATTCAATAACGAATAAATGTTATCCAATGTGGGTGGATTTTTATAGGGCAAGAAATGGGGAAAGGCATGTGCATTTCAATTTGCACGGAACCCACGTGCATCGGGTTACCTTGGCCGTACGCCGTGATGCGTTGGGCGATCGGTTGTATTGTCATCTGCTTTGTTTTTTTAATCATCAAATTTCATTTCCCAGACAAGGTAATGTTAAACTTTAGAAACTTTGACAAAAATTACCCAGATATTTAAATGACAACTTTTCCTACAATATTACTTCGGGTGACGTTTCTTTTGCGGTTAAGGGTATATAAGACAAAAGCGACATAGATGTTTTGGCCTTGGCATTTGATAATCAAAAAGAATGATCTAAACAGTGAACAGTGTTTCTTCAATGCGTTTCTTCAAAAAAGTTTACATTTCTTTTAAAGATTATTATTTTGTGCCTTTCACGAAAGGACTTGCGTTTCTTTCGCTGTTGAGGATATAGAATTTTCATTATTACCAAAGGAGGGTAAATTGTAAATCATCAATAATAGAACCAATTTCTTCCATAATCCGATTTTATTCCCAGTTTTTACATAATGTAAAATGATTATGTTTTATAACCACTGAGCACAGGTACATGCTAATAACCAGCCACAAACTTACAAGTTCCGACTATTTCAAATACAGTAGCCCCACGTAGATGTGTCATTGCGATAATGCAGACAAGAATCTTCAATTTCTTTTTTTGATATTGATAGACATGGAATTAGAATGTGGATATAGACTCATTTGTCTTCAATAACTTTGAATGAATTATTCTTGAAGTTCGCCTGTATTTGTTATGAGACAGATCAATATTGTCATTATTCTGATACTCCCCAAACACGAAGTCTGGCATAGGATCATAATCAAACATCTCAAACTCAGGTTCAAACATCTTCATAAGTCTGACCTTAGCATCATAAGTCAGTGACTCGTAGGCTTCTCTCAGTGCTCTGTTTTTCCCTTCATGAAGAATGTTTGGATCCGATGCGTTGTGTGCTTTTTGTGCCAACTCATTGAAACGTTCAAATGTAACTTTTATGTCATCTGCTTTTAGTGGAAATGGAATTCCTATTGATATCATTCCCCGATTCTGCCATCTCTTCCAGGTCCGTCGGAGTCCTTCAATAAGTGACACCCCACATTTTTCCATCAGGTCCCGTTTCTTATGAAAAAGATTATGTGCATTGGAGTATATCATTTCACGGTAACCATTTATACCCCGTGTTAGTATAGCCTCCCTGGTAGTATTAACATCAAGCATACCCATAGCGTCAGTCATAAACACCATGTCATCAAGAAACGTCTCCATCTTCCCTATGTACGTATATTGAGTCTCACAGAACCCACACTGTTCATGAATTGGTTTAAAATGGAGGTCTATTCTCTTTTTGTTGTTATGGCTGTAAATAAGGTAATCCACCAACTCTGAAAACGTGACGTCGTGAGCACAAGATACCCAATCAGTACGAGAGCGAACAGCTTTCATGATTGGCCTTCCCATAGAATTCCAGTATGTAGGATTGATACCGTAAAATTCTTCATTATATCCCGAAAATAATCTTATGTATGGGTTTCGAACGAACGTGAACATTGTGCTGGATTTCACTAGGTTTGAGTAGGATGAAATGGAAAGAGTTCCCTTTCGTTTTGATCCGTCATCTTTCTTGTATGCAGCTGTAACATTTTTCCAGAAGCTACTGCCAATCTTTGGTATCAAGCACACTGAATATGTAGGCTGGCGGGTTCTATCGTTGGTAGTAAGTGGACCTTTTGCCTTCTCTTGGAACTGTATTTGCCCAAACTTGTTGCAGAACTCGGTCAGAAGTTTTCTTCTTTGAGCAAATCGGCATTCAAGTTGAGCCTTCGCCTGCGGGCTTTGTTGCAGAGGTGACTTAATGTCTCTCAGTGACTGTAAAAATATGAAGTAGATAATGTAAGAACATATTCATTGTTGTGGTATAGGTATACGTTGATTGATCGTAAAGATTAACCTAAATAAAACCTGAATCCCTATCATTGGGATAGGGGTGGAGGGTGGGAAATGAGGTGAGAAACAAACGGCATTTTTAGTAAAGTGAATAATTTTTATTTCAGCACGCTGGATTCCAGTGCTTCTGACTCCAATCTCCTGATTTGGTTTGAGATAACAATTATATTCTTTATTTTTAAGACCTCAGTTATGTCTTCCATTCTTCTTAACAACACTAACGTAGTGGCAACAGCTTACGTCTCTTCCTCTGAAGCAGTCTATCCCATCAGCTAACAAGATGGTGGCTTCTGGGTCTATCCCATCAGCTAACAAGATGGTGGCTTCTGGGTCTATCCCATCAGCTAACAAGATGGTGGCTTCTGGGTCTATCCCATCAGCTAACAAGATGGTGGCTTCAGGGTCTATCCCATCAGCTAACAAGGTGGTGTCTTCTTGGTCTATCCCATCCGCTAACAAGATGCTGTCGACTGAGTCTATCCCATCAGCTAACAAGATGGTGTCTTCTTGGTCTATCCAATCCGCTAACAAGATGCTGTCGTCTGGGTCTATCCCATCAGCTAACAAGATGGTGTCTTCTGAGTCTATCCCATCAGCTAACAAGATGGTGGCTTATGGGTCTATCCCATCAGCTAACAAGATGGTGGCTTCAGGGTCTATCCCATCAGCTAACAAGGTGGTGTCTTCTGAGTCTATCCCATCCGCTAACAAGACGGTGGCTTCTGGGTCTATCCCATCAGCTAACAAGATGGTGGCTTCTGAGTATATCCCATCAGCTAGCAAGATAGTGGCTTCTGGGTCTATCCCATCAGCTAACAAGATGGTGTCTTCTGAGTATATCCCATCAGCTAGCAAGATAGTGGCTTCTGTTTTCTGGGATTCCAAAGGACCATCCTGGTGGACCATCTCAGAATAGGTTAGACGATTAATGGCCAATATTATGCTAATCTGCTTTGGCAGCTGCGTTAGAAGTATCAAGGCAGCTAAATTAGCTGGGTGTTGTTCCACAGAGAAATGAGACATGCATGTGCAGGACTATGGGTTGGAACTCACTGAACATCCTACATTTTTACCAGAATTGGCACTTTCATATTTCCATCTCTTCCCGAACTTGTGGAAAAAATTGTCTGGAAAGCTTTATGCAAATCGTGATGACATCATTTTGGCTGTGAAAGACCTCTAACAGCACCAGTACACCCATTTCATTATGTACGAATATCAACGAATATTGTTAATATCTTGGCAATTGTTAGATAAACTATGAATTTACATTGGTTGTTCATGCATGCATATAATCTAACGTCACACTGTATACTTGCAAGAAGTCTTATCTACATTCCCGTGAATTCACCACGCTGCAAGTCTGGGCCATTTCCTGTGTTAATAACACAATGAATTAACATTCACTGGTTATTTGTCAAGTGCTTCGGCCTTGTCCATTCAAAGGGATTGCTCCTATTACCCAATTAGCCATGTCTCCATAAAACGCTAAGAAGTTGTTTACATGTTGATAGCCAGTGCTTGGGGCAGTTGCTTACTCAAGTAGATGGTTAAAACAGACATTCCAATGGTTCCACACAACGTTTCCGTTGATCATCCATTTTCTTCTGAGATCAATTCTGATGTCCAAAGAGAAGTGTATTAGATAGATGTGGTAAATAAGTACAACAGATATGGTTAAGTGAGTGAGTGAGTGACTTGGGTTTAACGCGGCTTTTAACAGTATTCCAGTCATATCGCGGCGTGTCAGCTTAATGTGGGAGGAAAGCCCGAAGTGATGCAGGCCTCAGACGATTACCACTTCGGTGAAACCCATGAGCACGGGTATGGTGCTGACAAACCTAGAAACATAATTGGGGCGAACCGGGATTCGAACCCGCAATCATAGGTTTCTGGCGTGCCCAAGGGACGCAACTCTGCAAAGCGAATCGCGGCGCCTTAGACGACTGGGCCACCCGTGCCCCCCGATTTGGTTAAGACAAGACAAGACTAGGCAACCACCCTTTGGAGTTTGGGTTGCTCATGTCTAAACGTACTTACCTCAATATTACCACATGACGGCACAGCCAGATGCAACAATTGTGAAGTTTGATCTGTAAACAATGACGGACCTGTTTTAGTTAAAGATCTGATTTAGTTTACAAGTGGGTTTATTGTCTCAGATGCACATCTACAGCCACTAGTTAACTATGAGAGTGATCACCGCGAATAATTCGAAGACTGCTGATACGGTGTTCAGCTTTTGTTTGTTTGTTGTTTAACTCCGCACTCCATTCCAGCTATATGACGGCGGTTTGTAAATAATCGAGTCTGGACCAGACAATCCAGTGACTGAAAAACAGCATCGATCCACGCAATTGGGATACGATAACATGCATTAATCAAGTCAGAGAGCCTGACCACCCGATCCGTTAGTGGCCTCTTACGACAAGCAGTGATGGCTAGAGACCTATTCTAACCCCGTTCTTCAGGGGTTTCGACGTTAAGAAATACTCACTCACCCACTAAGCTATTTGTGATAATATATTGGATTTTAATATTTCAAACTGTTTCAAACTTCAATATGTGATGGAAATACCTGAAGAAAAATATGCAGGTGTGTTTTCACAACAATCTCCGTCATTATCGTGTTCCATTACAGGATATTTACTACATAGACACTTTTATGATGTACTTACTTCTCTTACGCAATGAGGACCGCTTGCGGTATATTCGCGATACCATTTGACAGCACAGGAGATGTGTAATGGAGTAGACCATACTATATATCAGTATACATCAATGTCTACAGGACCGCCTCCGTGGTCTAGTGGTAATGCGTCCGCCCGGAGAGCGGAAGGTCCGGGGTTCGATCCCCGACCGCGTCATACCAAAAGTCGTTAAAAGATGGTACTTGTTGTTACCCTGTCTGGCGCTCGGCATTAAGGGGCTAAAACTCGGCTCGGAGTCAGTATACTGTGTCTGAATGGGGTATTCATGTTAAACTGCGGCATGGTATCTCAGTGAGCTAGCACTATAAATCGGCATCAGTCCGGACAAGTACAAGCAGCCACACACACACACACACATGCATGCACGTCGCTATATAAGTGCAATAATCTTGGACGCGACGTTAAACCCCATTTCACCTCACCTCAATGTCTACAGTACATGGGTGCAGGGATATCATACACTTACCTGCCATCCAGATGAAGGCGATACTTAAAGCTAGCAGTCCAAGCACAAGGACAGCAAACTTCGTGTTCAGCCGCATGGTGAGGTGAGGTGAAATTGGGTTTAACGTCGCGTCCAAGATTATTGCACTTATATAGCGACGTGCGTGCACGTGTATTTGTGTGTGTGGCTGCTTGTACTAGTCCGGACTGATGCCGATTTATAGTGCTAGCTCACTGAGATACCATGCCGCAGTTTAACATGAATACCCCACTCAGACACAGTATACTGACTCCGAGCCGACCAGTCCTTGTTTTAGCCCCTTAATGCCGAGCGCCAGACAGGGTAACAACAAGTACAATCTTTTAACGTCTTTTTGTATGACGCGGCCCGGGATCGAACCCTGGACCTTCCGCTCTCCGGGCGGACGCTCTACCACAAGACCACGGAGGCGGTCTCAGCCGCATGGTGTTGGCGAAATGAATGAGCTCAAAGCCAGCTACACCTGTTGACAAAACATCTGTTACCGGATAGACACCAATGTTTTTCTTTCTTCTTTTACCTGGTGAAGCTGTTCATGTCAGAATAAAGATGTGAAAATAGATTTACCTTATCCCGATGTCTATCAGTTTAAACATATAATAAATCGATTGTAATTTCAAATAACATGTAAAACTACGCAGAGGATGCGTAGGCAGGTGGGCTTATTGAGATCATCAGAAGAAACAGTTCCTGCCCCATGGCAATAGGAAAGGAGACACCCTCCATGCGTGTTTGTGTTAACGACCACGGCCCCGTTCCTCAAAGCAATCGTAGCGCTAAGGTGATCGTAAGTCCCATACTTTAACACAGGCTTACGATCACAGTAGCGCTAAGATCGCTTTGAGGAACGAGGCCTTGGTGTTGGTCGTTGGTTGACAGTTGCCGACCAAGAGTTTCCAGCTTATTGAACTACGAACTGGTTTTGACCACCCTAATAATTTGGGTATCCCTTATAGCCCAATTACTGAATGGCAGTGTTGTCAGTTTATTAAGCTGGATGCTTTTCGTGACACTGAGAACTTGGGTATCACTAATTACTGAATGGCAGTGTTGTCAGTTTATTAAGCTGGATGCTTTTCGTGACACTGAGAACTTGGGTATCACTAATTACTGAATGGCAGTGTTGTCAGTTTATTAAGCTGGATGCTTTTCGTGACACTGAGACCTTCGGTATCACTAATTACTGAATGGCAGTGTTGTCAGTTTATTAAGCTGGATGCTTTTCGTGACACTGAGAACTTGGGTATCACTAATTACTGAATGGCAGTGTTGTCAGTTTATTAAGCTGGATGCTTTTCGTGACACTGAGAACTTGGGTATCACTAATTACTGAATGGCAGTGTTGTCAGTTTATTAAGCTGGATGCTTTTCGTGACACTGAGAACTTGGGTATCACTAATTACTGACTGGCTGATGGGGGACCTTTGTCAAAGGCTGGGGCAGGGTCGCAGCTAATCAGCTAAGAAACCTCTATATAAACAACACCGTCAGTGAACCCTTCTCACACACAGGAGTCCCAAAGAGGGACAGGTCAGCCGAAATTGCCTAGGCAGAAGGCGACCTCTTAAACACCTAATGCAACAACAACGAAGTCGGCAAAGTACTCAAAAAACCTAACTGAAGCCAACATTCTTCACCCATCCAAAAAAATCGACAGGGCTATAACTAAATTACAAACAGGTCACACCAAATTAAACAGCCACCTTCAAACACTAAACATACACGCAACAGGCACATGCCCACAGTGCACTCAAAAAGAAACCACAGAACATGCACCCATCCACTGCCCTCACTACAAGACTCACAGAACAACACTCCAAAACACACTAAACTTAAACTCCGAGTACCCTCTAGAAAAAAATCTTAAACCCACTAAATAACACATCCAACATCCTAAGCAAATACCAAATACCCCCCCCCCCCCCCCCCCCCCCTCCCCCCGGCATTCATTCCGAATATCCAAATTTAAAAACGCCTATATAAGCAACCCCTTAACCCCCTCCTGGGTAGCACAAATCCCTTCCTTCATATTTTTTGGCAAATACATTAAAAGGCCTGGCGGGCCCGTGTGCGACATACGCTTGCAGCCGGAAAGCGCACGTAAAATCCCCAACCTCAGTCAGTCAGTCAGAAGTCGGCAGAGAGGCAGAGAAAGGCTCTGAACACTGAACAGGATAAGACCGACAGAGCAGTCCAGAAGAAACGGCATAAGAACACCAACAGCCACACGAGCCAACATCCAACAGCTTACAGTCGACTCATCGCTCAGAAGGCCAGCACACTGGGACTAGCTCTAGTCACGCCTGAAGCAGCCCACAGCCTCTCTCTCTCTCACACAGTCTCTGCCACGCCCTTGTTAACCGTTAGTAGTACCATCGTATAAGGAGTGCTTATAAAAGCTGCTGAAACCATAGTCCGTATGTCTGTTGTGCTACACATTAAACCACGGTTCTAAATACCGTATTACATAAAATGTCTTTGCAAGTGTTCATTTAGATGTAAGGATACATGGTATCGTAACGAGGTAATCAAATTCAAATTAAGTTTTTAATAATCCCGATTCTGCGTACAAAATACTCTCCAACGATTGGGGATTATAATATACATGTATAAATGTTATGATCGGTCGTCAGAAGAGAGATCAGCTTTGAAAATGAGTTCCAGAAAACGCCCCCCCCCCAAAAAAAAAAAAAAAAATAATAATAAAAAAATTTAAAAAAAATCAATAAAAAAAAAAATCAAAAAAAAAAAATCTAACGCACCAACACATACCTGGCACATTCTTCATTTTGTTATTTTAAGGAAAGGTCGAAAAGTCGCCCTCAGCCTTCAGTATTGTTGATTTTAATTAACCCTCCCGTTACATGAAGCTCTCTACTCTTGCTTTAATGCAATATTTGTGATCCGACTATAACGTGATGGATGGCATTCTTCAAACTGATAGAACGAGAAGTAGCCAGTATGTTTAATGTGTTTCAGTCTGTGATTTGCTTACTTACATGGAACATGTTTCTGCAGACACAGAATGTTAATGATCGGCCCCGCATAGACGTCCTTGTGCAACAAAACATACCCAGGATCGATTATTCAGAAACCAGGCTGTAAGAAAACAAGCCCAAACAGCCAATCAAATCGTTGTGTACTGGCACCACCCACCGGAGTTTTACCACACTTTGACCAATCGATGCATTCGAAGCCACATAACATTTGTTCAAGTCATCCCAAACACCTCTGTCATCATTCGTGGTTGTCTGCAAGCCAACATGTTCTGTTGATTATCATATTACACCTTGTCCTTCCTGTTTCTTATCCACCCAATACATATTTGTATTTATGTAATTATCTGTTATTTCCGAATATCCCCTAAACAATTTGGAGAGTTAAAAACACATGGATGTGCACGTGGCCTACCGTCTGTCTATACCTTACATCGTTGTCGAAACTGGCATCATTTAACGCAAAGCCATTGAAGGGATTTAATTTTTACACTGCATGTAAAAATACGTTATATTACAAATACGATACCAAATGCACTCTTCCAACACATGTGTTAGATTACTTAAATAATTTTTACGTCAAAACAAGTCAAAATAGGGAATTGCATTGGACATCGTTTTTGTCACTGATTTTGAAATGTCCTCCACATGCCTACCATAAAACTTTTTGAAAGCTTTACTGAGGCATTGAATGTTGTAACCTTGATCAAACAATTTTCTGAGCAAGAGTCGTATGACGCTCTTTGAAATTTTGGTAGAAAGAGCATGCTCGATTGTATCTGAAAAATTGTGAAATGTGAACACCAAAGGCTTGAGCTGCTGGAATATTGCTCGACATGAAGGGAAAGTTGACTATTGGAAAGTTGAAGTCATCCCTATCATCATACGCCTTGTGGACATGAATCAATGAATGACATCAGCGCTTAATTAGTGAATTGATATATGATACTCGACGAATTATTGATCTGGATATTCAGTAAACATTGCGGACATGTCATGAATAACATTATGACTTTATGTATATCTCCGATGCTATCAGGTAAGAAAAGGTATGGTAATACCAATCAATATCTTCCTTCATTACCTGTCAACCTGGCTTCGAGCACGGACATTTACCTCATAAATAAGAGCAATATTCATTAAGTTGGTTCTTAGATGGCCTACAGTATAACAAAATTGCAACATCTTTCAGTATGTGAACCTACTCGGTTTTTAAAAAAATATTCAAATCAACTCATAAACTAACAATAATTTTCAGATACTTGCACGCGTGAATTTATCAATTTGTCTTTTGAACAAATGGAACGGTGGGGAAGCCTAGTGGGTAAAGCGTTCGCTCGTCACGCAGAAGACCCGGGTTCGATTCCCCACATGGGCACAATGTGTGAAACCCATTTTTGGTGTCCCACGCCGTGATATTGCTGGATTATTGCTAAAAGCGGCGTAAAGACATACTCACTCACTCACTCACTCACACACTCATGAACAAATAAAGCAGAATGAATGAAAACGGAATGAATGAAAACGGAATGACAGGCTAACAGACAGTGAGGTCAACTACATACGCCTCCTGTAGTCACTGCATTCCCAGGGGGGAGTCTGAGTTAAAGTAGGGCCAAGGCTGTCACAATTAAGTATTCTATACAAAATATTTGATTAATAATATTAAGGCTGATAACACAACCATACCGCGTTTCCTGGTATGTATAACAATACACGAACATTCCCATTCTGAACAGTTCATGCAGGTAATTTAACCATATGAATGAAAACAAAGGTGCTTCAGCTATATGCTGATTGAGTTGGATGTTATATATAGTGAACGGTAAGAGTAGATGTTAGTTGTCTCCGGAACGTGGGATGTCAATATTATATTTTTTTCCATTTCTTGGTAAGAAATATTCATGAAAACCACACACGGGGTATATAAGGGGGCATGGGTGCAGAGTTCAAGAAGGACGCTCACTGGGCATATTTTTTGTGTGTGCCACAGGACATGTGGAGAAAATTTACAAATTTGACGCATCAATGACAAAAGCATGCCCAATGCAAATCCCTATTTGACTTGTAACATATGTCTCTGAGTTTTTTCAAGTGAACTTGTGACTTGCCTTTGCGTGTGTTTGTGACGGGTGTGGCTCTGGGGCAGGATACGCTCAACTTTTCGCGAACACTTGGTATCATCACTATTTGAGAGTGATTCATTAACACATGCGAATGAGATTTCTTATGAATATGGAAAGGGTTTTGTCGCTTTTATTTAGAAGAGGATTCTTACATATTTTGGAGATTAAAATAGATCTCTGTTTCTTTTTCTTCTATAGCATTTTATGGATAGGGGTCAGCAATCGTATGAATTTGGAGACGCATTAATTTCAAGTTTTACAGTATTTATTATATACTTGAGTGTGAAAGACTGAGTTGAGAAAAGTGATATTTGCATTGCAGTGAACATAACGTTTGATATTTTACGGCAGTGAACATAACACTTGATATTTCACTGCAGTGAACATAACACTTTGACGGAACTATTGTCATACAAGAGTTACCGTCCCTAAAGTTGTCTCCCATTATCATAGTGTCAAGATCCACACACTGTTGACGTCCTTTTTACGTTAGTTCCACATTGACAAGGCAAAATAATGACAAATTGTCATTGTTGGAGTTAATATCGCTTCTTGTCGTTTGTTATTCTCTCGAACATGTTTCGTTATAAACTGTAAATTTCCTATTTAACTCGTCAATCGAGACGGCTCGTTTCGCATTTTGGTTACTTGAACAACGTGTATTCTTCCGCTTCTAACAGCGGTCTCGTAGTTTTCAAGAATTTTTGTTGTTGAAAAGTTTTGTAAATAATGACATCGAAATGTATGCTAAAGAACACTCGTGACCCTAAATATTTTTTGATACTTTTGTTTATATTTTTTAAGATTTTGCAAATACGAAACTACAAGGGATGGTGAATCGTCCCTGTGTGTTTGGTCGTGAGAATATATGTTTCAAGGTTGTACATTTGTAATGAAACAATTCAATTTTCCGAAAGACAACTACACAAGAGGATATAATAATCTCGTGACGGGGGGAAATTTTAAGGAGATATTTTCAGTCGTGAAAATATTTCTCCCCCAAATATTCAAATATTTAAGGCCATTTAATTTTGGTTTGAAAGTATTAATTAAAAATCTTTTTTCTCTTTCCCGGTTCATCATATTCACGTTTATAAAACGGGAATATCACAAAATTAGGTGCTTTATTCCGAGCACATTGATCAATGTGTTGACTGAGTGGGATACACCGGCAAGAGGGGTCCCTTATTTGTTGTCGGTGGACTCCCACTCTCAGGGTATTCCCCTATCTGTTCATTGTATTCGGCTTTGCATCCAGCACATTGTACGACATAAATCAAGCTTTTAGAAGCAAAATTCATATATTCACGGACAAAGAAAGTTTTTGCCGTCTTTGAATCAAGAGAACAACATTGGAAAACATGAGGCCAAGTACCACAATAAGGCCTGTTACACTTTTATACTGTTTTAATGCTTGTTTTTCTTTGGAGAGAGAAACCCTCGTAAGAATCTCTTTAAGATTATGGCTCTGACTTTTACTTTTAATCAGTTGTTTTTTTTACATTTTGTGTTTTAGTTCTTTACACTTATTTAAAGAATACAGTGTCTCTCGAACATTTACAAATATTTCCGGGTTTTGGGGATTAAAGGTTGTAACGAAAGGGAGAACACTCTCGTTAGATTTATCTTCACAAAAAGATCACAAAAAGATGTATATATAGTCAGAAAATACATTTGATTTGTAGAGATGATAGCTATGTTAGAAATACGTGATGGCATTTTACTTCCAAACCTATTTTATAAATTATAAGTAAAAAGTTAGTTTTAGAATAATGGGTTTTCATTGTTTAAGACATTTATATAACTTTTTAACGGACTTTCTAAGTCATATATCTCGTTTTCAAAACACACACAACCAGATCACACGCAAAAAGAAAAGAAACCATGCATCTGACAAACAGGATGACTACTTTACTGAATACATGTGCATGCTTATTTCTATACAGGTACATGTGCATATTTCAAAATGTGTCAGTAACTTGAACTTTGAAAGATGATTTTTAGGATGTTTTCTGATCATAAAAAATATATTAATCAGCTTCTTACTGGTTTCAATACAACGAGATAACAGCTGGAATTCATATTTATTGATTTGTGTCGAAGCACATTGACAGCAGCGTCTATTGCTGAAGGCAATTCCCCACAGGGGAGGCGTTTAGGGCTTAGTCTTTACCATTTACACTAATGGTCTTCTATACCACCTGCGTTGCATAAACGAATAAATTTTAAAATTAAAAACAAGGACTGTCGCCAGGAGCTTTGGAACTTTGACAATTAGAATCTTATTTCCAAAAACAAAAATTGAATTAATCCATATTCCAAAAACAACTTGCCATCAATTACCAGCCGAATGGCTTGCAATGCTAGCTGTTCGATCTGTGCTAGGTGGTATCGATTGATATGACGGGTATAAGTACGGATGTTTTCATACTGCTTCGGCGCCTTCACCAACTCAATCAGCGTCAGAATGTTTTCTCTTCTGTTTCTTTATACACTGGCTCAAACTGCAACATCTGAGACCAACCATGGTCTGGCAACGAAAGGTAAGCTGTAATATTTTCACCTTTTCAATATGATCTTGGCTGCGGCTGCTTGTCATACATGTACAATTAAAAAGTATTTTCTTCTTCCCATCCTACTTACTTTTTGTACCACAAGTCCCTGTTTTCACTTCTGTACATTTTAAAGGTTTGTGAAACGATTTCAGTGGATAATATATTTGTTTATCAAACTGTCCGTGAGAACAGTTATGACACTACCAAACGTTTCATCCTTATTATTGCTTGTATGTTTTGACATCGGTGTTTATCTGGTGAGTACATCGGATTGTAGGTTTATGTACACAGACACTACATCGCTATGAGGTCGATACGCTAATGTGTGCAGAGTGTTGACACCAGAAGCAAACCGCAGCACCATTTTTCAACTGATCACTCAGAGCTGTAACGTTTTCTGCAAATTAGAGTTTAATTAACCTTCCATCCTTTAATTTGATATGCTTGTTTCCATTTATATCTTGAACATGTTCGCAGAGCAGAAATATTTTGAAGATGAAAAACAAGAAAAAGTTTAATAAGTATTCAATGCAGTTAATTTAATTTGATTATATTCAGAAGTTGTCGCGCTTTCATATCTAGATACTTGAAGATTTTAAATTATATGAACAAGAAATTTGACGGTGTGATTTTCGATCAAGAAAAATCATGTCAGTGCTGAAAGTATTTGCGTATATTACTATTGACGTAATGTCCGAATGCCAGGACCCGTGAAGATTCCGAGGTAGAATAGGTCTTCAGCAACCCATGCTTGCCGTAAAGGGCGACTATGCTTGTCGTAAGAGGCGACTAACGGGATCGGGTCGTCAGGCTCGCTGACTTGGTTGATACATGTCATCGTGTCCCAATTGCGTGGATCGATGTTCATGAAGCCAATCACTGGATTGGCTGGTCCAGACTTGATTATTTACAGACCGGCGTCATATAGCTGGAATACTGCTGAGTGCAACATTAAACAACAAACATTATCAGATGATGACATCATCATTATCAGTGAGTAGTTTTAGACTCAGATCAGTCAATCCATTAACTGACAATACAAAGCACATGTGACCTGTTTGTTCTGTACTGTGAGATACTCCTCCTTTGTGGGGCTCCAAACAGTGGGGCAGGTAATCTGGATGCCATGACGTAGTGACCAACTCCTGCTCAGTTTCTGGTCAGATATTTCTCAGGTGAAGGGTTTCCTAGGGAAATGAAGATGAAAGGGCAGTCTCCGTGCGTTAATTGTATGACAAGATATGAGACCCGATTGTGTGATTTACATATTTAATAAGTACATGTATTTTCTGAGATATAAGGAGTCAAAATAACGCAGTGACGTTTTACGCGTTAGGATCGTATGAATATTAATGCATGTCGACGAAAATGCGATCATATCGTTTACAGTTATTATATTAAAATACATTTTTCTTTAAAAAAAACCACACTACCATATGTCAAAGAAAATATACATTTCTGGAAAGGATGAATTTTAGTCCCCGAACATACACAGTATCAGATATTTAGGAACATCATCAGGCACCTCAACAAAGTTGGTGTTTTTTTTCTGTTTGTTTACAAAATATACTTATAACGTTTGGTATCGGTTTTACTTACTTTGTTAGCGTACAGTTTCGTAAGCCTGTAAAATGAAGTATGAGTATTAGTAAATTATAACTCCTTCTGAAGACCTGCCTACATGTAATATGTACATTAAATACGTTCATTTTATTCACATGCTGTTTTTCACTGCTTTTTTGTCTTTTACGCCCAACGGAATCTGTTTTGTTGGACAGTCAAAACTGGGTATTCTCGGGCGTTGACGCTTTATATAATATCTAAAAAACAAGAAACACGGGGTATGAATACGATTTCATTTGTACAACATGTTTCACGTTATCATAAGATAAGTAAAAGCGACAAACCATTTTCCACATTCATAAGAGTCATTGCGACCATATCATGAGCCCCGTCACAAACACATGTCAATTGTTCACCTGAAAAAACACAGAGACATATGCTACAAGTCAAATAGGGAATTGCATGGGGCATGATTTTATCACTGATGCGTCAAATTTGGACATGTCCTCCATAATGTCTATCATAAATTTTTTTTAAAGCTTTACTGAGGCCTTGAATGTTGTAACCTTGATCAAACAACTTCTGAGCAAGAGTCGTTGACGCTTTTTGACATCTTGTGAAAGAGCATACTCGATTGTATCTAAAATATTGTGAAATGAAGACATCAAGGACTGGAGCCACAGGAATACGGATCGCCACAAGGCACAGTTGACTTGTGGAAAGTTGAAGTCATTCAAAACACACGTAGAATAAATTTACAATGCATGTATTTTCTATTTACCCATACGTCCAAAAACCTTTGTTTACAAATAAAAGTGACAAAACAATTCAGTTACAGATAATGTTATGTGAATGTCTATTTTCTGGTGTAACGGGTTCTGCGGTTGTACACGTATAACACTCAGACGTAATGCAATAATATTTAAGTCATTAGTAAATATGTAAGTAACTATATATTAACCATTATTTTGCATGAAGCGATTTTCCGGAGTTTAGATTACTTAAATTTCCGTTCACATTGTTTATCTACCACCGGAGGCAAAACGCATGGAACTAGAGATACCATGGTCTTTAGTAACACTATGGAGAACTGATACCCCAATAAAAATAGCAAATTAACTTTCAATATCAATAATTCAACCTGAAAGAAATTAGTGGTTCAGTTTTTGGATACCCTACCAACTTAAAGTAACGTGTTTGATAGGCATAACTTAGAAGTTGACGGGTGAAAAGGTAGACACAATTATATGGATAACAAAGCGACGTTTCGGTATAGATTCTTATACCGTTGTCAAGCAGGACTGAATGAAGGTTACTTAGTAATACTTAAATTGGGAATTTAACGTGCGCTTTCCGACATATGCGTATTTCGCGCAGGAATCCGTCAGGCCATTTTGTGTTTAGTCGAGAAGGGCATGTCCGAAAAGGTGTGGTAACCTAGGTGGGGCTTTTAGGGTTGCTTACTTAATTTGGAGAACAAATTTGGAGTTTTGAAATGGCTAAATGGAGTTTGTGTTTGTTTTTTCAGGTTTAGAATTTTAGGGTTGTACTTTTTTTAAGGGCGGCCAAGTAGGCCTGTTTTGATTAGATATATGCCTAGTGCTTTAAAGGTTTGCAAGTCATTTAGGGGGTTTAGTAGCGTTGCTAGCGTCATTTGACTGTTGCAATGTAGTGTGGATTGGAGTGTTGTTCTGGGAATGAGGGACAAAGTACAGAATACATATAGTAGGTGGAGGATTAACGGTAGAGGATTAACAGTAACAACAATTGCATACATGAGTGGGATAACATGAGTAAGTGTTGACAACAGAAGGATAATACTGTCACAACACAATGGACTGAGAACACATAGGTGGAAGCCAATAGGGACATGACACCAATTAAACAGGATAAGTGATTATTGTTTGATGAGTTCATATAGTCCAGGCAATCAGATGGGATAAAATAGCCTTGATCTCTGTTGATTGATGGCTTGTGGCGGCGAATGTGGACTGTTTCTGTTTTCTTTTAGTGAAATCATGGAGGTAGTTGGAGAGGAGTTGGACGTTGTCCCAGTTGATGTTGTGATTAGGACAGTTGCTGATATGGTCCGAGATGGCTGATTTGCTGTCTGATTTAATGGTTGAGGTTTTGTGCTCTTTGATTCTGGTTTTGATGGGGCGGGATGTTTCACCTACGTAAGACTGTCCACAGTTGCAGTCAGTTTTGTAGACTACACCTGTAGGCTCTTGGGGGCTGGTTGTGCTCTCAGCAGGGTGTTGAGGGAGTTGGAGCTGGTGAAGTGGGTGTCAATAATAGCTTGCTGTTTGAGGAGGCGGCTGATGATGGGGGAGGCTTTCCCTATGAACGGGAGGGCGATGCAGATGTGTGTTCTCTGTCAATCGTGTTGTGACAGTATTATCCTTCTGATGTCAACACTCACTCATGTTATCCCACTCATGTATGATATTGTCGTTACTGTTAATCCTCTACCGTTAATCCTCCACCTACTGTATATATTCTGTTCTTAGTCCCTCATTCAGTCTTGCTTGACAACGGTATAAGGGTCTATACCGAAACGTCGCTTTTTACAGTATTAAAGAAGTTGTTATCCATACAATTGTGTCTACCTTGTCAGCCTAAAGTATTTATTCTTCATTCATAATTGATGCAGTAGGCACTTAGTGCTACTTCTGGTCTGTAGAGAAAAACTGCGTGTGTGAATAAATAAAAGAAAGGAATAACAGTGAAAGTACCATTCCTACAATCATAAGTACTCTTCATACTCTCCTGTTCGATACCGACTCTAGCATATCATGTGAATCACCATCAAATAGTAATGATACAAGGTATTCAAACAGTGTGAGCGTATCCCGTCCCACCGGTGGCACACGTTACAAACACATGCAAAGGCAAATCAACTGTTCACATGAACAAACACGGGAACATATGGTATAAGTAACAATTAGGGAGTTGGCGCGAACATTATTTCTGTCAACGTTGCGTCAAATTTGTCCTTCGCATGTCTGCCGTAAAACTAAGTGTAGACACCAACGGAGATGTTGGAATGTTGGAATATTGCTTCGCATACAGAGAAAGTTTGACTATTGGAAAGTTGAAGTCATCCCTCGTGCCACACGGTCTTGTGGTTAAGGTTTGTCATTCTGAATCTTTATGCGGAGATCTAAACAACAAATAGAATTTTATCCAGAATGAAAATCGTGGTCGTGATTTTCATGACCAGGAAATATTATTATTTATCAAAACTTATGTTTAATGGATATTAATTTGCAAGAAAAAAAGACATTCTGCGCTTGTATTCATGTATGGGGAATATTTATTTTTACACTTCCAGATTCAAATCGAGACGAGATTAGGTGCAAGGAGAATACTATCCCGATAGTCTCCAACATTATCACGAGTGAGGACATGGAAACAGTATTCGTTATATACGAGGACGAGCTGGGTAATTATGAAACCATGAAGTTGGTAGAACAGGACCTCTAACTTAGATTTTGCACTACAATTTCTGCAACATTCTTAAAATTGATAACAGCTGCAATTCGCTTTTCGTGTCCTATATGTTGTCCTTTCCGGCATATTATGTGGGTTATGGTTCACGTGAGGAAGTCTCACGTACGTGAATGTGTAGACACAAAATAATATACAAAGGTATTATGCATATTCGTGTATTGTGTGGTGTGTTATTGTGTTTCCTGTACAGTGTGTACTGTTACATGTATCAACAGCGTCGTAAATGTATTCTGATGACACATCTAGTTTGTACATACTGAATTTAAACGGAGGACTTTCCGAATTGCGGGGACTTTTATGTTATTACCATCACAGGTAAAACATTCTATTACGAGAAATACTCTGGGGCAATTTGCTACCATTGTCCCGTTTCGAATTTATCCGAAAGACAAACCGGAAAAAAATGTCGTCCAATCATGAACGAGAGAAATTGAGGATGGTGAAGTCACTTCCGAAACGAATCTTTGAGGCCAAGGGTACATATATCATAAAACAGAGGGGATCAATAATGGAGGATGAAATATTCTACTCCATGCCAAACACCATCAATATCTTTAATCAATCTTTCGTTCCCCAATGGGGGCGGTCGGGTAGCCTAGTGGTTAAAGCGTTCTCTCGTCACGCCGAAGACCCGGGTTCGATTCCCGACATGGGTAAAATGTGTGAAGCCCATTTCTAGTGTCCCCCGTCGTGATATTGCTGGAATATTGCTAAAAGCGGCGTAAAACCATACTCACTCACTCACTCACTCGTTCTCCAATGTGTTGCTTTATGAATTGCTTCTATTCCTTCTATTCCAATAACATGTTGTTTTCTTGTACTGTAGGGATGTAAGGCTGCGCAACGTAAGACGTTTGCCTTTCACGAAGGCAAAATATAAAGCCATCCATGTCATACGAACGGGAATGGTTTGGCTTGTAAGTTACTGATACTTATGCTTTTTATATGGAAGTGAAATACCTCAATAATTCGATTAGATATGTCTCTTAAAAAGATGTAATGTTTTGTTATGTTATGTTATGTTATTATTGGTATGTGATGTGATGTGATGTTGTGATGTGATGTGATGTGATGTGATGTGATGTGATGTGATGTGATGTGATGTGATGTGATGTGATGTTATGTTATGCTATGGTATGGTATTTTGTGTTATCTATTCTATTCTATTCTACGTTATGTTACGTTTCGCTACGCTACGTTACGTTTCGCCTGGCTACGTTACGCTACGCTACGCTAGGCTACGCTAGGCTAGGCTACGTATGTAGACTGCTTCATTACTGATCACCGCATATAAAATATAGCCGTCGGCCTGAAATGTACTCAAGTGGTCGATGAAGACAAATTTGACTTATTGTGCAAAAACAGTCTTACGTTTCGCAAGCAGCAATCATAGATGCATTTTGACAAATGTGTACAAATAGAATTAATTTCAATAATTGTATATTGCATGTCCAATAGCCTAATCCCGTTTGTATTCAAACTGGTAAACACGATCGCCATGTATGTTGATATTCGACTTCACGATGTTTCACCGTTTCTTGTAGACAATCGTGGTTATTATTATTTTTTCAGACGCCTGTGTTAATGCTCTAAGCGACAGCCTGTCTCACCATATAAAAATACAATACACGAAGCCAGATGCGCTCAGTAGACAAATAATATCAGTCATTGATGAACTGGCCAAGAAAGAAAACATCGAAATGATGCGACGAACTCTCAACTTCGTCATCATCTGTTCTGCCAAATGCATTCAATACTCACTAGCTATGGTAAGGTTTTGGCATTATTCTGTCATGCACGTTATTATAATCATGTTTAAACAAGTTGCGTTTGTATAGTCATCTGTTTGACGCAGGGGACCTGTTCAAATGTTTGCTGTCATGAACGTGCAGACTCACTGGGCACAATTATCAATACACTCTCCGAAAGCTGTTTAGTTTTATTGAGCGGCAGTTACATTACATGGATCTATCTGCTTTCCATTATTGCTTGCTAACGATGGTCGTTATGAAGCAGTAAAAAAAAACAACGTACACACTATAAGTCCCTGACTACGCTATTGTAGACTAACATCTAGTCTCTTAAATGATCATATTATATAAAAGACCCAGTCAGCTTGTTAAATTATCTTAATAAACTGTGATAATATAGAGTCGAGAAACTTTCTTCATTTTGAAACAGCGGTAACCTAGACTTGCCAAATATTAAAGATTTGTATGGGATGCGTGGATTGAACGACAGGCTAACTCAATCGAGTCTGTTCGTTAAAGGATATGGATATGTACTGAATGCATAATGGGACAATTAAGAACGCAAAGTAATACTGTGAGTCTTTGTTTGTAGGGACGTGAACTTGATGCTAAGGTCGGGAGGAAGTCCGTGATGAGGCATTTCTCCAAGTGGATTGCGCTTCCGAGTGATGACAGAACCATCCTAGTTCAAAACCAAACATTTGATAACATTGTGCTTCTCTCACAAAGCCAGGCAAGTGTAATAGAACGAGACCTTTGACACGTGGTTTTACCAGACACTTGTATGATTTAAATAATGCAATTCACATTCTGCTGTGGTTACACATGTATATAATGATCGATGATGAACCGTTTTTACATGTCTGAGGTAGTTGTGAACACGCCACGGCGGTCGATACTGCACGTTAGTGGTCATAACGACATAAAAGTGCCCTCTAGGCGTAATTTAACACATGATGTACGTTCATGGTCGTTGTTTGAATAGTTGTGTTTGTCATATCGGCTCATACACAGTGTTCGTTAATGTACTGTAGTGAAGCGATAAGCAAACAAAAAAACCTTTTTGTTCCATTTCTTTGTACTATTAACTATATTCCATATACCAATTCCAATAGAGTGGATGTAAAGACATATCTGACATATAAGTAACGTAAATGAAGACCTTAATAACTGTGAATTCTTTAGCACAACATTTTATGCTTTCAATTGACTTGTTTGGTATGCCAGTAGTTTAGTTTTGTCTACTAAATGGAACATTTGAGCATCACAAACGAGGACTAACTGTATGCTTAGTTACAGAAAGGATGAAGAATAAATTAATCTGAAAGCAAAATATAGGCAATAATTAATAATTATGTGGAGAAAATTTGAGGAAAGTAGTTACTTATATTAATGAAACAAGATGTGCTCACTAAGTACGTTTAGAATACAAGAAGGCGTTTTCTTGGGACCGTTTGCTTTAGTGTGTTTAGAAACAACGTGGTGTTAAGATGTTTAGTTTTTTACTTTAGAAGAAGAAAAGCCATCTTATTATCTTACTTTATTCAGAACATGATACATTTAGAGTTTTCATCGTAAGAGGACAAGAAAAGGATGCCTTTCACTTAATGCTTATCACAAGAAGGCAGGAGTGTTATTTTCTACTTTCATAAGAGTCTCCTTCACCTGGTTTAGAATTCCACGAAAAAGGAGTTGTCAACGTTAATGTGGTCGACGGGAGGCCGACGTTGGGACGTCCTTGACAGCGGCATAAGCATCAGCATAAACAATGTCACATTGTTTCCTAATATGGCATTTGGTCTCAATGGAAGAAAACTGTTGGTTCTATCGCTTGAGGTAAGATGTCCATAGTTCCTAGCCCTTCTGACAATCTGGGTAATGCAGAAGGCTGCAGTGTTGGGGAGTCTTCACATTCTCCGAAAAGTTCTGGGTGGGTTTCACTAGGCAGCGCTTCCTGGTAGAAGTCTCATTTGCTGGGCTGCGTGAAGAGGGAGCAAGGACCCTGAGCTGATGATGAGCCTAACCAGCCTGACTGTGCCAGGATCACCCAAACCCTCTTTGCAGCATCTTTTATTTTAATCTGTAACTACTACGACTACTACTACTACTACTACTACTACTACTACTACTACTACTGCTACCCTTTCTATATCCTATAGAAACCTCTGGATAAAGAGTCGATTTATGATGCCGACTGCATCATGAGCATGTGTTTGTGAATGGCTATCAAATAGTAATGACACAAGGTGTTCATGAAAAGATGAGCGTATCCTGCCCCACCGGTGGCCCTCATCACAAACACATGCAAAGACAAGTCAATTGTGCACCTGAAAAACACGGGAACATGTGGTACAGGTCAAAACAAGGAATTACATCGGACATCATATTTGTCACTGATGCGTCAAATTAGGAAATGTCCTCCACATGTCTATCATAAAACGTTTTGAAGCTTTACTGAGGCCTTGAATGTTGTAACTTTCAAGAGTCGTATGACGCTCTTTGACATCTTGGTAGAAAGAGCATGCTCGATTGTACCTCAAAAGAATTGTACCTGTAAAAAGAATCATCACTGATTGAATGTAAACAAACTAACCAGTTGCTGAATCTGTGAGTGAGTGAGTGTGTATGTTTTACGCCGCTGTTAACAATATTCCAGCAGTTCAACGGCGGGGGACACCAGAAATGGCCTTCACATATTGCTCCCATGTGGGGAATCGAACTCCGGGCCTTCGGTGAAGAGCGAACGCTTTAACGCCTTGGCTACTCCACAGCCCCCCTAATTCTGTCGTCAGCGAGTGATCAAAATATCCACTCCAGACATGACCAACGGTGGTTACTTCACGGACCGGGGTTTCTTTCTGCAGTGGAAGCCCTACAGTGTCAAGATAAGGAACACTGATAATATCTCCTACACGGGGATCGCCGATGAATTTATGGAGCATCTCTCGAGGCGCTTCAATTTCAGGTAAGTTGCGTTTGGCTTGTTCGTTTGAATTTGTCTCGTGGCATAACACCGCAAGGAGCCATATTCCAATAATTCCAATGTAATTATCGAGTTTGTGGGCCAGGCAAAGCAGTTATATCTTATTACAACCAATATATAACGCCGTTGGGTCACGATGACCACGATCAACCAAGTCAGCGAGCCAGCTGACCACCTGATCCACTGAGTCGCCTGTACAACCACATTGAAACAATAGCTAAACTATCTAACCCGAAACCCCACTGGGGGTACGTTAAGGATATTCTAACAACCACTTGCACTTCTAGTTACATGTTCTTGTTTTCGCTGAGGAGTTGTTTCCTGTTTTTTATGTTTCATGGTAGTATCATTCTCCTAAAAACAAAATAATTTTGGCAACCAATTACTTGAAGAACCACACTGATGTTTTCTTTTCCTATGTGAAATACGACAGTTTGGTGCCATCTGTCTGTGCCCCTGTGACTCTGGTGCAGAGTTGTGCACGTGGGCTTATCAAAATGGAAACCATCTAAGACCTGCATCACCTCCGCCTATCCTCCCACATCAAGCTGACACGTCGTGATATAACTGATATTGTGTCGTTAAACTCTGTCCTCTTCTCACTGTTTGACTCGCATTGCGACTAGTCTGATTTCATATTAAAATATTGTTGCATAACTTGATAACTAGATAGTTCATCTCATATACATATCATAAACTTGCTCATCCCGATTGTGTGATTGGTAGCTACCAGTATGTGGAGCCGCAAGATGGCCAATGGGGAGAGAAAATGGATAACGGTAGTTGGACTGGAATTGTTGGGGCACTCCAGAGAGAGGTAATTTAGTCCTGTACTAACTGACAGAAAATCGTTCATTCGAGTTGCGTCCCTTGAGCTATGAAAGTTGTGTACAATTTATTTTATAGTTTCCTATTCAATGCTGACGTGTTGCCCTTTCACAACAAAACAAAACGAAATTAAAAACATGATTGTAAATATATGTTAAAAAATACCAGTAACTGCTGTGGTATCTCTCGATACTTGTATTCGTTCTGAAGACCTTTTCGAAACTTGTCAGCAAAATTGTAAATGAGACAAGATCTACCTGTCTATCTGTCTGTCTGTCTGTGTGTCTGTCTGTCTGTGTAGCTGTCTGTCTGCCTGACTCATCTCAACATTTAGAATAACTATTTTGAACCCTTTTTTATATTTACGTATTTGTTAGAGAATAATTCTAGAATGCTTATGAAACAGTCCATAAAAAGTCCATGTCTTCAAGTACATCTACGAAAGCAAGACTGAATCAAACATTAAAAAGCACCAAATAATTTATCTGAGCAATTCTAACAACTGATGATACTTGCATGTACAAACTATTTTGTGTTTCATATGTATTGTTTGAAAAAACATATATTTTGAAATGGTAAAAATTACCAGCCGATATTATATATTATAACATTATTAATCAAATGTTGAAAGGGGACACGGTTGACACGTTGGGTGATCGCTTGGGCTTTAAAATCTCAAGCAGACAGATCTAATGAGGTAGCAACTAAATCTCTGCATATTTTCTGAGGGACATGAAAAGATAAAAATATTTGTGATTACAGTAACACATCAATGACAAGTAACAGGCAGATTAGTAACGATGTCAATAAGTCAGTTTGATAGCTTGTCTTCGATTCCCGACATGGGTACAATGTATGAAGCCCATTTCTGTTGTCCCCCGCCGTGATATTGCTAAAATATTGCTAAAATCGGCGTAAAACCATACTCACTCACTCGTGATAGCTTGTCAGACTGTGTGTATTTTAACTCCGCGTTCCAAGAGAGCACCTATTTCAAAGCGCGCTTGTCGTCATGGTAGAATGAAGATAAACCTACTGTGTTTTGAAATTTGATGTAGTCCCATTGCAGATTCAATGCCACTGATTTATACATTTGAGACATTGTGCTAATCGCTTGGTTCCAAAGCGTTTACACTTTACGAACCAGATTTCGATTTCGGTGCGCGATTTTGATTGGACTATGCATAGACTCGTTAGTCCAGCCAGAATGTAAGTCCATAATACCAGCCTAGTTCGGCAAGGGTGGAACTGGACTTTTATAGTCAGTTAACTCACTTGCCTTGGGAAGATGCTATCTTTACAGATATAAAAACTAAACAATTCAAATATTTTAGATAATTCATCAATTCTGTATATTCGCTTCTTTATTAGAAAGAATGCTTACTTCATGCAAACAGTAAGTTGTCATGGTTACACTTTCAGGAGGCTGACATTTGTTCTGTCCCATATGCCTACAACGTCGAGAGGGCTAAAGTGATGCAGTTCACGTACTTCATGCATTCCGGGTTCACAACAGTATTGTACAAGAAATCGGAAGATGCAAAAAAAACCTGGAAAGTTTTATTAGCTTGTTTCAAGTGGGAGGTTTACTTCGCAGGCGGAATTGTTCTCTCCGCCGTCGGTTTGATGCATGTATTTCTCATCCGAGTAACTCCTTATCCGTCAAAGGTTCCAGCAGCGGAGAAGAAGGATTCCGTCGTGACCGGCTTCACCATGACTATCATGGCACCTTTAGGACAATGTAGGTAACATACGCAACAAACCAAGAGAGTAGTGAAGCCTCCATGTCTACTGTGCGTTACATTTAATTCACTTCGTCAGTGTTTAAGCAGCATAAAGAGAACGGAAAACAATTTCATTTCCATTATTGTATTTAGCAAGACTTATTTTTCCGTAGAATGGTTTAAACCTATTGTCTGGTATGTAACTACCGTTCAACTTTCTAAGGGCTGGTATTTGTTATCGAGTCAAAGTATCTACATGTGATTTGTATACGTTAAGAGGGTTTTGATTTAAATTACATATCCTTATGACATGGGTCAATCAATCGATCTTTACTCATGGTACTATTCAGCGGCCTATAGTACATTGTCTTGGGCGTGTTTCAAATTCATACATTTTAAATATAATACTCTTAAATCATTATACACAGCACAGGCACAAGTGACATTCATCTTCAATACAATCACTTTTACAAAACCTACAAAGTCCATGTTCTTTTGCAGTGCCTACATATCTGCCTGTTTCAATAAATAGAGAAATCGAGAAAGGGCTGTTCTAAACCTATGTACACTACACTTAATAGATAAGGTTCTAGTATTATTGTTGTCTTAAATATAATGTAGTAATTTGCCTTTCTAGAACTGGACAAGGAATCTTGCCGTTTTGGATGTACATGTCTTTTCAGGTCTGTGTCAAACGGCTGCAAAAATGCTGTGGCATGTCTACATGTTTTTGTAACAAAAAAAAACACATCCACATTCGTATAGCATGTTTTTAACTTAAAATGCACATTCATGCAATTTACTTTCCCATGGCTGTCATTGAGAAGCATCATATTATAACATTTATACCCATATATAACATATATATCCTTATATCCAGTTTAAGGAGGTATATCCTTATTTCCTGTATAAACCGCCTAGGTGGTCTAGTGGTACAGCGTTCGCCCGGAGAGCGGAAGGTCCTGGGTTCGATCCCTGGCCGCGTAATTCCAAAAGACGTTAACATATGGCTCTTCTTGTTACCCTGTGTGGGGCTCGGCATATAGGGGCTAAAACAAGGACTGGTTGGCTCGGAGTCAGTATACTGTGTCTGAGTGGGGTATTCATGTTTAACTACGGCATGGTATCTCAGTTGGCAAGCACCATAAATAGGCATTTGCCCGGACCAGTACATGCAGCCACACACACACACGCACACCCGTGCATGCACGTCGCAATATAAGTGCAATAATCTTGGACGCGACGTTAAACCCCATTGCACGTCACTTCCACTGTATAAAGGAAATTATACTTATAGCCGGAATAAGTGGCTATATCCTAATATCACTATTAAAAGGATATATCACCATATCCAGTAGGAAGGGATATTTCCTAATATCCAATATAAAGGGGTATATCCTTATATCCAGTTTAAATGGGTATATAGAGGTTATCACGCGAGTGTGTTTGGGGATGGTGAATATCCTGCATTAGGAATATACATTGTATTTAGCGAGCCTTGGCGAGCTAAATACATAGTGTTTATTCCTAATACAGGATATTCACCATCCCCAAACACACAAGCGTGATAACCTCTTTATCATATGATGTCATTCTTTAATTCTGTGCTTGAAAATCGCTTTCCCTCTCTCACAAACATTACCTAATCATTGCGAGTTTTCCTGGAATGCGCGCATTAATATTTATTACGTCACAGGGTAAGTGATGTGTCAGTCCAACAGTGACATAGCCAATATAGTTCCAACTGAAATCTCTTTCTTATACAGTGGCGAAGCAACATATACGCAAAACAACAGTTGTTTTTAATTGTCACGGCCACAGTCAGACGTTGTTGACAGTCGGTCTGTCCTGTCATAACGTTAAGCAGTGTAGTCAGATGTACACACAGCGACAAAACGAAACAAGGTAACAATTCAAACATATTTCGGCCAAATCCAACTATTTTAATTTGTGGAGAAGGTTTCAAGCCGCAGGGGTCTACAAGCACATATATGGCTACTGATCCCGCTTGGCTAGGCCTCCCCTTCGCAAAATTGTTTCTTCAAAGTTGCCAAAACTTATAAAATGCCTTCGTTACGTCACAGTTAGACACTGATTTTCAGTATATTAGACTGTTCTTCTAATAATATAGCAATTATCCCTGTGGTTTACACAGATTCTCGATGGTTAATTCTGACTCGATCGCCGAATGACAAGGGCGACGCCATGTTTGTTTATAAACAGTGAAAGAAGTCCCTACTTGACCTTTGATATTTGCATCTCTATCCGCATATGACCCCAACGGATATCGTTTTTATCCGTTGGCTTTATCCTGCCGAGAAACCTACCCATTATATGATAAATACTAATATCCAGTATAAAGTGGTACACAGGGTATCAGCTACTAAACGTTTTGTATACAGTTATTCCCCGAACTCTACATTCAGCCTGTAATACTCAATAAGTGCATTCTCATCTTGTCATCCTTACCAATGCATTCAGCATCAGAGCACTCCCCGATGTTTGACTCCGGTCGGATGCTGTTCAGCTTTTGGTGGTTGTTCTGTCTCATCATGGCGGCTATCTACAGAGGTAACCTGATGGCCTTCCTCACAGTCAGTCGAACTGACATCCCTTTCCGTAACCTGGAGGAGCTGGCTAACCAAGACGTGTACGATGTCGGGGCAACTACAGGCAGCTACTACAGTCTGGCCATACAGGTAACAGTATACTGTATATGTACAGATCACCTATTGTACCGTGTATGGCCCTGTCACACGACAACGTTTTACAGTAACTTGCACCTAGAGTGTAAAAGACATGTCATAGCGACTGATTTTGGACAACCATTGTCTGAAGCACATTTGATTCCAAAGGCTAATTGCCCTGTATCCATGACATCTATATGTCTCCATGACTTAACTGCCATTATTTATAAAACGCTAATCCCCGTTGTTAATCCTCACCAACATTTCATTGTATATTGACTCTCAGCCAGCCTTGGCTACCATATCACTTCCCGTTAATTGCTGTTATTTATAGTATGACATTTTTTGCCTTAACTGATCATCCCCTGAACAGTGTCGGTTCATCACGCCCATATTTCCAATGTCCAGAGCAACTCATTGTCTTTTTGTCTGTCCATTGATCGTTTCTATAAATGTGTTATTATTACACTGTTAGTCAGTTTTGGTATTCCGAGTGCTGGTGTAGGGACGACCTCGAGCAGGATGTGCCGCTCGTAGGAAACGTCCTGAGGTTGAGCTTGAGCTCCGCTCACCCAATGTATGCCTGAGCTGGAAGGTCCGCTCATCGCTGTGTTTGTGTTGTCAGAGCAGGTATTCCGCTCATTGTGTAATTGTTGTTTATTGTTAACATGTTGTGCATAAAACGTTCCGGGACAGTGATGTCGATTTTGTCCTTGATTCCCCCAAGAGCCAGTTCCCCGTCAACATGCGCGTTGACATCCAATTAGTACGCTGTCATACCTCGAGCTTTCGTCGAAAAACCATGATTTTAGCGTATCCATAGCGTATACATAACGAGGGTTCACCGTATATGTAACGCATGTCTAACGCATTAGTAGCGTATCACTGACTTATACATCACTTATGACAGCGTATTGCCAGCGTGTGCCTGGGGTGTTCAACGTATGGCCAGCGTATCCCAGCGTATGAGTAACGTATGACTGGCGCGCTGTATATCTGGCGTATATAAACGTATGTAGACGGTATCTCTAACGTATGCCTAACGTATAATTCATACCTTCATACGTTCCCATACGCCGAAAATGTTTTTAAGCCTCGGCGTATAACAACATATACCAGCGTGCGTTAAACGTATACAACTTACACCTAACTTATCCATAGCGTGTTTCAGCGTTGACGGCGTTTAAGCAAAATTAACATACGTCGCCATACGTTTCTGCCATACGTTGTAGTGTAGTGCCATAAGCCTAATGGAATCTGTTTCGTCGGATGATCGAGACTGTTTTTTCTTCTAGTGTTGACATATTGTATTTCCAAAGGATATTCAAACAAATCTTTACACATTCTGAACTTCGTTTTCTATATCTGTATATGCTGCGCAGAGTTGCGTTCCCATGGCATGGGTTCGAATCCCAGTTCGCCCCGATTATGTTTCCAGGTTTTTCAGCACCATACGCGTGCTCGTGGGTTTCACCGAATCGGTAAACGTGTGAGACCTGCATCACTTTAGGATTTCCTCCCACATTAAGCTGACACTCCGTGATATAACTGGAATACTGTTAAAAGCGGTTTTAAACCTAACTCACTCACTCAGTCACTGTAACTTTCAGACCTCCAACCAAACCGTGATGAAAAAGTTATGGAGGAAAATAGAGAAAACACGCCTGGACAGCCCCAAGAACACAGACGACGAGTATCAGTTTCAACTACAAAAACTGCACGAAGGCTATTATGCCTTCATTGAAACAAACTCGGTTGCTGAGAACATTATGAGCGATACTTGTTCGTTTGCCAAGATGAGAGGAGGTTTCCTGCCAACTACCGGTGGTATGACCTTCCCCGTGTATTCCCCACTAGCACGGCTGTTCTACCCGGAGTAAGTCTATTGTCGTCCAGAGTACCGTCCCGTCTATGTTCCCTAACTAACACAACACTTCTCACTGGAGTAAGTGCATTGTCGTCCAGAATATGGACTACCCTCTCACAAGTCTCATCCACTTACAGTAGGTATGTATAACATCATATTGCATGTTCTGCAATGTGTACTCACACCTCGCATATCTCATCCACTTACAGTAAGTATATATAACATCATATTACATATCTCATTCACTTACATTAAGTATATATAACATCATATTGCATGCCCTGCAATGTGTTCTCAAATCTCGCATATCTCATCCACTTACAATAATATATTATAACATCACACTGCATGGCCTGCTATATCTAGCATATCTCATCCACTTACAGTAAGTATATATAACATCATATTGCATACCCTGCTATGTGTACTCCCATTTAGCATATCTTATCCACTTACTTTAAGTATATATAACATCATATTGCATGTTCTGCAATGTGTACTCCCATCTAGCATATCTTATCCACTTACAATAAGTATATATATATCATCATCGCACATGCCCTGATATGAGTACTCCCATCTAGCATATCTTATCCACTTACAATAAGTATATATAACATCATATTGCATGCCCTGCTATGTGTACTCCCATTTAGCATATCTCATCCACTTACATTAAGTATATATAACATCACATTACATACCCTGCTATGTGTACTCCCATTTAGCATATCTCTTCCATTTACAGTAAGTATATATAACATCATATTACATACCCTGCTATGTGTACTCCCGTTTAGCATACCTCATCCACTTACAGTAAGTATATTTAACATCATATTGCTTGCCCTGCAAAGTGTACTCCCATCTAGCATATCTCATCCACTTACAGTAGGTATATTTAACATCATATTACATGCCCTGCAAAGTGTACTCCCATCTAGCACGTCGCGTCCACTTACAGTAAGTATATACAACATCATAGTGCATGCCCTGTTATGTGTATTCACATCTAGCATATCTCATCCACTTACATTAACTATATATAAAACATATTACATGCCCTGCTATGTGTACTCCCATTTAGCATATCTTATCCACTTACAATAAGTATATATAACATCATATTACATGCCCTGCTATGTGTACTCCCATCTAGCACGTCCCGTCCACTTACAGTGAGTATATTTAACATCATTTTGCACGCACTGCAATATGCGCTCCCATTTAACATATCTTATCCACTTACAATAAGTATATTATAACATCACATTGCATGCCCTGCTATATCTAGCATATCTCACCCACTTACATTAACTATATATAAAACATATTACATGCCCTGCTATGTGTACTCCCATCCTGCACGTCGCGTCCACTTATAGTAAGTATATATAACATGATATAACATACCCTGCTATGTATACTCCCATTCAGCATAATTATCTTATCCACTTACAGTAAGTATATATAACATCACATTGCATGCCCTGCTATAACTAACATGTCTCATCCACTGACATAAGTGTATATAACATCATATTGCATGCCCTGCAATGTATACTCCCATCTAGTATATCTCATCCACTTACATTAAGTGTATATAACATCACATTGCATGCCCTGCTATATCTAGCATATCTCACCCACTTACATTAAGTGTATATAACATCATATTGCATGCCCTGCAATGTATACTCCCATCTAGCATATCTCATCCACTTACATTAGGGGAAAATAACATCATGTTGCATACCCTGCTATATCTAGCATATCTGATCCACTTACATTAAGTGTATATAACATCATATTGCATACCCTGCTATGTGTACTCCCATTTAGCATATCTCATCCACTTACAGTAAATATATATAACATCATATTGCATACCCTGCTATGTGTACTCCCATTTAGCATATCTCATCCACTTACAGTAAATATATATAACATCATATTACATGCCCTGCTATGTGTACTCCCATTTAGCATATCTTATCCACTTACATTAAATATATATAACATCATATTACATACCCTGCTATGTGTACTCCCATTTAGCATATCTTATCCACTTACAGTAAGTATATATAACATCATACTGCATGCCCTGCTATGTGTACTCCCATCTAGCATATCTTATTCACTTACATTAAGTGTATTTTACATCATATTGCATGCCCTGCTATGTGTACTCCCATCTAACATATTTTATCAAACTTACATTAAGTGTATATAACATCATGTTGCATGCCCTGCTATGTGTACTCACATCTAGCATATCTCATCCACTTACAATAAGTATATATAACATCTTATTGCATGCCCTGCAATGTGTACTCCCATCTAGCACGTCGCGTCCACTTACAGTAAGTATATATAGCAATATTCACAATTGGCTTTTTCTTTTTTTCTTTACATGATACAGAAATAGGCAGGTATTTCTGATAGACGGGCATAACGTCTGTACTCCTTCTCTGTATGATAGAAATACAACGACAATATATGACAATGATCTTGTAAGTACACGTAACATCTATCTAGGACATGTGACGACATTCGTGTCATAACACATATTTATAGATAGAACTCAGTGAGTCCGTCAGTGTAAGAGCCGAAGGCTGATATTAGGCCTGCATCACAGAAGGTTACAAAGGAACACGGAACGTCACAGAGAGAGATAGCCTTCGTTCTTTAAAAATATGAAATCTCAGTGCGAGCCTTTGGCAAGCGCACAGGAGGTATAACGTCGCCTCGTCGAGTTAACACGTGTCTGAAAGAACCCCTGAGATATCTGGTTCCACTCAAACACTAGTGTCTGTTCTAATTCTGCAAGTGTGTTTGTTTGTCTGCCCGCTTCAATCCGAAGTCTAATTTCGTACCAAACATGTTCAATAGTGGCCATATCCGGGGAGAGAGATGGCCATGGACGAATGTTCATGTTGTTCTGAGCCAGACACGCAATCGACATCCTTGCCGTATGGGGACGCGCGTTGTCCTGTTGGAACAACTGAAGGTTAGGGTGTGCAACGATAATGGGGAAGCCATGATGACTAAGAACTTAACCCCTATACACGATAGCAATTATACTTTTTCGGAAGACGGGCAGTCAGGACCTACGAAAAGCTCCGCAGACCATCACCCTTCTACCATCCCACCCCTCATGACAGCCTGAATGACACAGCAAGCAGGGTAACTAACGTTCATTACGACCACGCGAAACACGTACACGACTGCCATGAGAAAGATGGTAGCGCGACTCCACTGAGCACCTCGCCAGCGTTGATGTTGACGGGCCCATTGTCAACGTTGTTGACAGTGATGTTGTGTCAAACTTAGCCCTACATCCGGACGTCAACAGTGGAGCTGAGCAGCGTCGTCGAATCGTGTCTACTGCTACTGCTCCTCTTGGCCTCTGAACTACAGCTACTGTTCTTGTTGCGCTTGAGTTCTCTTCCTCAGATGAGTGACCCATATAAAACGATCTTGTCAAGGTGTTGTAACTCTGAGTCGGCCAGAACGTTGTAGACCGTAATTGCAACCCTGTTTGCTGGTGACTTTGAGCAAGTCTTGTATTAGTGGTGAGATGACATCATAACTGTCTGGCTGCAGCAGTGACAGAATTAACGGTCTGCAAAATTCGAGGGGACATTCCTCCTTGCACAGGTGGCATCGTTAACTTCAACTGTAGAGCTTCTAATGTGAATACTCGACCGATGTTTGACATCCAGCTTTATAAGGGATACTTTATGCACGTATTTTTGCCCCGGATCATGGCCGAAGGTGCAAGATCTATGGTTTGTGTGCATTTAAACAAAATGGAATGGTTAACAATTAAAAAAAAAATGGAACTCGCGAGACAACAGTCCAATAGGAAAACACTGGCCAACTCACTCACTCACTCACTCACTCACTCACTCTGTTTCAGATTGCATTTCTGGTGTCCCCCTCCGTGGTATTGCTGGAATATTGCTAAAAGTGGCGTAAAACCATACTCACTCACTCACTCACTCACTCACTGTTTCAGATTGATGACTGTGTGGGAGACCGGACTTGAGCGCAAGTGGTACGGTAAGTGGGTTCCTCCCCAGGAGTCTTGTTCCGACGAGTCTGTAGCAGTGGGCGTGTCTGCCCTACAGATCCAAGACTACTACAGTGCCCTTGCAGCATGTGTTGTGGGCATAGGAACTGCTTTGCTTGTTCTACTGGGAGAGACTTATGTATTTGAGATCATACCACGTTGTGCTACGAAACGCTGAAAAGAAAAAAGTCCTGGTTAATTTCATGGTTTTTTTACTAATTACAGAATAAAATAACACTGCGAATGGGGTCGCAAATAAAAAATGAATATAAGGTATGACTTTGTTTGTTTAGTATTTACAGTGCAACAACAATCTACAATAATGTTGGAATGGGTCTTCAGCAACCCATGCTTGCATAAAACGTGACTATGCTTGTCGTAGGAGGCAACTAACGGGATCGGGTGGTCGGTCAGGATCGCTTACTTAGTTGATGCATGTCATCGTACTCTTATTGTGTGGGCCGATGCTCATGATATCAATCACTGGATTGTCTGCCCCAGACTCGAATATTTACAGACCGCCGTCATATAGCTGGACTATTGCTGAGTGCGGCGTTAAACAGCAATCAATCAGTCAATACAACACTATGGGTAGATACAGAAGCACTGGATATTTAATGAATTAGCATGTACCCCGTTAGTCGCCTCTTACGATAAGCAGGGGCTGCTGAAGACCGATTTAACCCGGATCTGAACTGGTCCCAAAGCACGTACAAAGGGGGAAACAATCCCGAACAGTTCAAAAAGACGTCATTTGATTATGGCGTCATATGACAATGGAAATGTCCATTCCTGCCACACATCCCCCATAGATTTTGAACCATCCATATACTCCGAATCCATCGATATTTAACCCCTTCGTAGCGCATGACACCTTAGTTACCCTTCCTATTGGTCCAGGCAAAATAAGGGTTTACTTGGAACAAATTGCAACAGAATTTATTTTACCACAATGCATTTCTACAAGGTCCTGAAAACTTACTTTGGATGATCCGGTTGTGCCATCAGTGTCCCCTTCGAAGCGTATTTTGTCGCACTGTTTCGGGAGTTATCCCAAATGTGAACAATAACATTCCCTATCTCTAGCGTAAAACGCTGCGAGTAGATCACGGTTGTCTTTTCTTATTGCGGTGGTGGCCTTGCCCTTCGTTCGAAGCTGTCACTGACATGCAAGCAGACTTGAGTTTTCACGTTTTCAGTATAGGGTCGTACAGTTAGCATGAACGCCTTTGGCGAACACTCTGATTTCCCTCTTCCAAAATGGTACGGACATGATAGATCAAGGAAACCGAGCCATTTTGATTGCACAGTCGGGAACCCGGCAGTGCGGTGACCGATTGTTGGTCCGATATTCAAAGTGGGGCCCTCATTTGACTTTTCAAATTTTCTTGAAGGTGTCCTGCGTACAAACAACATGGCGCTTGAATTACCATAAGGTGAAGAAATTCTTCACAAAGGATGTTGAGCGTCGGTGCTGTTTTGTTTGCAAACACAACTGAAGAGCTTTGAGCCAAATTTGCACCTTTCTGCATATTATTGCATAAATAACATTTATGAGTTCTTGTCTACTTGTAGAAATCTTATTGTATGTTTTCATTGTTAAGTTCCTGTAATATATAGCGACTTAATATTCTGCAAAAGGACCAACGTCAAGTTCCAAAAGGGCCAAAGTCACTTTGCTAGATTTGGGACCTTTTCGCTCTCATTTCCGTGTGTGGTTGAGACTGGTTATTAAAGAGATTTTGAAAGTTAGAACACATTATTATTTTGTTTCAACTATTTCTAGGGTCGGTCGGGTAGCCTAGTGGTAAAAGCGTTCGCTCGTCACGCCGAAGACCCGGGTTCGATTCCCGACATGGGTACAATGTGTGAAGCCCATTTCTGGTGTTCCCCGCCGTGATATTGCTGGAATATTGCTAAAAGCGGCGTAAAACCATACTCACTCACTCACTCAACTATTTCTACAAAGTTGGCATTAGTTTAAATCATTTTAAAGACCTTCAATAGTATGTGTTTACACTTTCAGTAGTTGTTTATCAATCTCACATGTTAAATCCCATGAAAATGCCCGAGGGGAAAAAGGGTCAAAATACTGCCACTGCTACTGACTTTGGCCCTTTCCACCCTTACACAAAAATTAAAAACGTAAGTTTATTTCCATTTTTGAATGTTTTTTTAAAACAACATTTATAGGTCTGCTGTCAAAATATGTTAAGGTTTGGGAATTTATCGGTGAATAAAAAATATTCATTAGCATGCCTATGGTTATGATTTTCATTGGTTTTCTCCAACATGACATTGGCCCTGGCTCTAAACTCTTCAACTGCAGGCGCATGCTGTTAATGCGTATGCATAGAAATGTCAACAATGCCCATATTTGGGCATATATCAATATTCATGCGCAACCAGAATTCGCAACCGGTTTCAGTTTGGTCTGTCAACGAACGAAAGTTGTTATGCACATGTATTTACACTTAAATATATATTTAACGTGGGTAAGAAATAAAATACCACCATTCTAACCATTTTGGTTACATACCATTTTTACGAACTTGTGAACTTTCTATGGTATCTAACGAGAATGAGTGTAGTTTTTTCTATGTGTCATATTTTGCCGATCGCCACTCACACCAATTTTATGCATGATATTTTTCTTGGCTCCCCTAGTTACATGTAACATTTATTAATGACACCCCCACCCCCCAATCCCGCCACCATCCACCCCCAACAAACAGACACATGTAAAGGACCAGTCCCTGGTTAATGTTCAAGTTTAAATTGTACCAAAATGAAGAAGTAAAAACCAAAATAACTATCATGTTTCCATGCACTCTCCCCCTCCTTCGCTGTGTCATTTTTACGATGCTCATGATATCCATCACTGGATTGTGATGTCACATAGCTGGAATATTGCTGAATGCGGCGTTAAGCAACAAATAAACAAACAGTCCATATTTTGTTTGTAAACATGACGGTCAATCAGTTTGGAGTTCAATACATGATTGTTGGCCCGAGCACAGCTTAGAGCTGTGACCGGTGGCAGAGACAATACAGATAGCTACGCGAACGGACTATCTCTGGGAGGAGCTTGAAACATTGACCAATGATGTCCAACCGTTTCTTGATCTCGTCTCAATCCGTGAATAAATAATGAGTCCACCATATGTCGTTAAACTATCGAACATTGCAAGCTTAACTAATTACATGAAAATGGCGATAATAATGCCTGGTACACGATCATACGTATACCGTGTTGTTAAGCAAGAGTAAAATAATGTATGGCATTACTTTGTACAGATATAATAATACTTCATTATGTGAGGTGAGGTGGTGAAATGGGGTTTAACGTCGCGTCCAAGATTATTGCACTTATATAACGTGTGTGGCTGCTTGTACTAGTCCAGATTAATGCCGATTTTATAGTGCTAGCCCGCTAAGATACCTTTCTGCAGTTTAACATGAATACCCCACTCGATACAGTATTCTGACTCCGAGCCGACCAGTCCTTGTTTTAGCCCCTTAATGCCAAGCGTCAGGCAGGGTAACAACAAGTACCATCTTTTAACGTCTTTTGGTATGACGCGGCCGGGGATCGAACCCCAGACCTTCCGCTCTCTGGGCGGACGCTCTACAACTAGACCACGGAGGTGATCTCCTCATTACGTGACATGCTCCGTCGCGCGTGACAGGTGTTATAGCCTGCGGCACGTAGCCTAAGCTCTACAAAAATGACATATTGTTTCCTATTTGTTAGCACTCCCTTTAGCAGCATTGGAAATACCTGTCTGTCTGACCGGCCGAGACGGGGTGTTTTTGTCTCGGGCAGTTAACATTAACTTTACAAAATGCACACCCGATGGTCGCTTTGATCTTTTTAAACCGTACGTAACATATATGAATATTTTTATTATTCTTTTAAAATCATAGCAGCTTACATGATGATCTAGTAATACAGCTAAGCGACTCATTTGCGACTGCACGAAATCTTACAGAAGCCAATGCTTGCCTTTAGAAGAAACCCATGAAGCTTTGCATTTGTGACCAACTCGTGTTATTCCGGGACAAGCCGAATAACAACTTGTGCCCCTCTCGTGTCCGTTTTTGCGACAGGGTCTCGTCTAAGCGCAAACGGCGGGCATAATTATTGTCAAGTCCGAATTGTCAAGTCGTCGCGTTATGATTCACGTATATTTCCCCCATGTCATATATATTCCAGATGCTATTTAAAACACACAGGGATTTACGTTATGTATAAATACGACTGAACACATTTATCTGTATCTGGGATGTATTTTAAGATGCAAGACGAGTCTTCTTGCAGGTTACGGAAAGGGGCGAGTGGTGACGAATGGCAGGTTACGGAAAGGGGCAAGTGGTGACGAATGGGCGCTTTGGCGTGTACTCCCAACACTGTAACGATGCAGTGAGCCAATAACAATAAAAAGCCGCCAAAATGGTGTGTTGGGTTAAAACCATTTAACTGACTGTGATTTTGTAATCATTTCCAAACAGTTGGTCGGTTCCATTTACAAAATCTAGATTTTCAACGTTCTAAATAGGCAGGTAACAATTGAGAGTTGTTAGTCCGGGTGTCTGACGAGTTTTTGTTGTGAATATTCAACACATTTAGTTCATTTCGTGGGTCTTCTCTCTTCCATGTTGTGATAAAGAATCTATGATTCGAGATGCGTGACATGGAATGCACCGTGGCAGAATATACGTGAGTGAATGTTGTTTAACGGCACAGTGAACAATATATCAATATATCACGGGGCTTCAAGTTACCTTGTTTTGACCAGACAAGTCATTAATAACTGCCCACGCCATCAGGGTATGAATACCCACAAACTTCCAAGCCACGAAAAAGACCACCCAAACCCTATAATAGATTTCTCCCTACAGCACGGAGTACTGCGGACATGTTTCTAACATGGAATTCCCACGGGGCCAAAGTATCGTTCCAGGTCAATCGGAATGCAATAAGATCTACAGTGATTCCGGATGCATGTAATGTTTAATGCTGAACCGCATGTTTTGTGGATCAGTGAATTTATTCCGCATGGATGAAACGAGAAACTGATATATACAACTCTACACATCAAATCCTTTATTTACACACGAACGTATAGACATGACCCTTGAAATGAAGTACATTATTGACATACAAAGCATAGGGATAGGATTATCAAATTCGTGTCATTAACACTAATTCTTTGTGCCACACGTCAATCATCGCCTATTATGAGCAACACATAAACCATATTAGTGTAGGCTCGTAGGTCGCAGTGTGGGCAGTGCGTTATCAATCATTACACGAAGGAGCGTGATATTCACATGTTTAAGACACGCTAGATTAAACCCAACTCGAACAATACGTCAGCTATTCGTGAGGCTTATATTAACCCATGTTATACTATTAGCGAGAAGATAATCTTGAGTAGATTTGAAAGTCAGTAAATAGTTCCTCCACGCCTCATCGAACACTCGCTGTGATCCCGTTGTCATGGGATTACCACGAGATCTGGCCAGAGAGACCAAACGAATCACAGCAACACGTCTGAGTGAGATGGTATTTCGGGAAAAAGCAAACATGCCCCTCTGAAGACCTTCATCGCGGACAGCTGAGGCTACAGAAGATCGTGGCGTGGCGATCAGGTGTCGTCTGCCTAATGACCCGATTGGATATGTGATTTGGAGGGTCTGTAACCGGTTTGTGAACAAATTACTTTAGTTTAATCACGGAAGGTACATGGAGCGGAACTCACGCTTTAACCGTAGCCGATATTTACTCTGTGCATTTGTTGGTATTTGTGTGATTAGTAAAGTACGAACCTGGGAATATCGGACCTGCCAAGAACAGTTTCTGAGATACCCAGGCTGGAATTGGAGAGAATGAGAATTGAAACCTGACCACATATCGGTAGCGATTTGGTATGATGACAGCGGGGCCAGTTTTCACCTCCTCCCTCACTCCAGGGATATACGTCCCAAGGTGGAGTGGAGGCAGCCTTTATGTACCCGGCTTGTCCAAACAAGAAACCCGAGATGTGAAATCTTCCTACAGCTACACGGACACGTCTGGAGTTTCATCCCCGCTCCGTATTCTGGGCGCTACTAGTAATGTTAATGGCAGACGGGTGCAATCAAGTTTTGCACCGACCATCCCCATGAGAGCTGACTCCAGAGAACTTACCAGTTTGACTCTTAAAGCCATCTATTCCAAAAACAACAAGAAGAGCATAGAAGCATTACCACTTCGCCCAGCTATGGCACGAGCAAAGCAAGTTCCTGGGCGGTATTTCCCAAAGGCAATCTTGACAGATGAACAGAAGGTGGCACTGGCAAGTGCTAAGCCTTCAAGACCATCTCCGTTAAAGAAGGAATCGTTTCCTCCCATTAAAGGTTTGGATTTTATGAAGACTTCCTTCTCTCTTCTACCACCTGCGCCTCGGGCCAGAACTTCCCACAATGCTTCCTTCAACCCTAAGATTGCCCAGACAAGGAAGAGCCTTAGGATGTTCCCAGAAGTCCAGACAGAGGTGTTTTCCATCAGTTTCCAGGGAGATACAAGACAGGAGTATGACCCTAACAGTGAGCTCCACAGCGACTACTACTCAGTAACTAGAGTAAGCGTCAATTCCGCAAAAGATGGACAAAAGAGTCAAATGAAGGCACAACCATCATCCGCAAGTGACTTCCGCATTGTGCTCAGAGGTCACCGGAAGCTACTTCACGATCGTGGCGATGATAAGGATGATGACGAGGAAGTGGGCGTCATTGGGGAAAGAGAGGACACCCACCACAGTGAAACATCAAGGAAAGAGTCTGAAGTTGGTTTGCCACAAATATAGCCCCAATAGTAACAGGTCAAGGAGCCTAAACGGGCATGGTGCGTAGTGCGCACTGACCTAGACTTAATGTCAAGATCCTTCCATTCGGTTGTCGCATTGGCCAGAGGTCTGAGGTCTGAGGTCTGAGGTCATCATTGCACTGGGACTTTAGGAGCAGTGACACGTGGACGTTTTGATCTATTAAAGAAGACAGCCATAACGTTATTCTGTGATTGGACCTTGAATATGCGGAGGTTATGTCGATAAACAATGTAAGTCGTTTAATGGCGAAAGCGAATCATTGTTTATAACCATCGTTAATCATGATTGAATATCCGGGCGTTAATATGTTTTAACATTATGTCGTTTATTTTTTAAACTATTCTGAAACTATTCATAAATGTGGTGAAAGCTTTAAAGCTGCAAGAACAGTGTCGACGTTATTTACAAAAGGCGTGAATTTAGAGAAAGATTAATTGACGGTAGTAGGGATGTATATTGATTATTTATCGCATCCGTTTGTGACACTGCGTTAAAGCAACCATTCTTTCGCAAAACTGTATATTATTTATTATGTTATTTAATGTGGGTAACTAATATCCCCGGGAGGAAGATATTTGCCTTTGTAAGGCATTTAACTTACATACAGACCCAAACAGTGTTCAACTATGAATGTTGCTTGTGAAACGAATACTATTTGTATTGTTACGATAATGAATTCTATATAGGTTTATAATGAAATAGTGTTGATGGCAGATGTTTAGGTGAGGAAAGCATGTATACACTAAGATATGGTAAGCACGCGATCTCATTTCAATATTTGTGTTCGGATTTCACTCGGAAAGTGCTTGATGTCTATCTGTGATATAAGAGATTAGTCCAATATGACAATGGATTTCATTACTGGAATCCTCTCCGATGACAGAACCACTTAACATTGGATCGCCACCAGATATGTTCTTGTATGATCTGTGAATAGCTGTTCATATGCTTAAAACTCAGTACCTGCGCATGGCAGTATCTTGTCTTCCAGTTACCTATGACGTTTCAGATATGTGTGACAAGAAACTACACGCTCGAAAAGGGCATTGATGCAAAACGCTTTCATGCATTTGGTGGTCATGTAGCTGATGTGTGTTATTGTCTATCCTGTTCTGTATAATCACCAACATCTTCCCGAGGCAAGAGAGTTAACTGACTTTAAAAGTCCAGTTTCCACCCTTGCCGGACTAGGCAGGAATTACTGGGCTCGACCGTAGCGCCGCCAGAGGCTATTACCAGTTATGTCCCTTCTAAGCCTCTCATATGGACCAATCAGATTCCACCTCTCGTATCACTTGCGTTTGCCTCACACAAAATTGTGGCGCCGCTCTGATCGATAATCACGATCTACATTGTGATAAAACGGGTGTTACATCGCGAAATGCATCAAATCAAGTGAGCACCTTGATTAAAAACATGAAAAGATTTGGAAAATATCTGCTGACAACGAGTTGGCGGTGCACATGCTTTGCAAATCCTGCAATCGACTGAAATCTGCACGACTGTTTAAGAACCGGATTTCGATTTCGGTGCGCGATTTTGATTGGACTATGCATAGACTCGTTAGTCAAGTCAAAATGTAACTCCATAATACCAGTCTAGTTCGGCAAGGGTGGAAACTGGACTTTTAGTCAGTTAACTCCCTTGCCTCGGGAAGATGAAGCACCAATGGAGAAAACGTGGAAGTGAAACATTCATCATGACACTGGCCGATCTTGGGTGTCCCACTGCAGACAGTGGCTTTGTAAACGCAGTGTAAACCACAGACTAGCAACATGTGTGAGTTAGTTGGGTTAAAAGGCGCCTGAAACAAACAGTATTTCAGTTATATATTTGTTTGTTGTTGAACGCCACACTCAGCAATATCCTAGTTATACGACGGCGGTCTTAAACTAATCGAGTCTGGACCAGACAATCGAGTGATTGACATCATGAGCATCGATCCATGCAATTAAGATACGATGCAAGCATCAACCTAGTCAGTGAGCCTAACGACCCGATCCCGTTAGTCGCCTCTTGCGACAAGCATAGTCGGCTTTTAAGGCACGCATGGGCTCCTGAAGACCAATTTTAGGTATACCTCAGGGTGACAGATGTATATGGTAGCATAGGCCGTTGACGTGAGCCACTTTGGTGAAACCCATTGGCATGCCCTAAGTTCTCACATACCAGAGCAAAATCAGGTGGAATCTGGGAATCGATTCATCGGATCCTGGTACGGTCAAGAGACGAAACTCTGCACGTCGATTACGGCGTTGCCTTCTTGGATTTCCATAGGTGCGGCTGTGCCACATTACTGTCCAAGACTGGCTTTGGTTAACTCTACATCACAAACACTCTCCCAAGGGGAGATGCAATTTCATTTAAATAAACGTACCTAGTTCATTGGAACTCACTCACTCCATATTTGGAGATACTATTTTGTTTACATTTATGCACCTAGTTCATTGGAACATCTTTCATTATTTCGACACTTTTTCGTTAAACCGTGAAGGAATGTGCACTCCAAATAATCGCTGTAGAGTGGTGACTAATTTTTGTTCAGTGTATTGTAGGGGTGGCCGGATATCCAAGTGGTTTAGGCGTTCGCTTGTCACGCCGAAGACCCGGATTCGTTTCCCGACATTGGTAAAATATGTGAAGCCCATTTCTGGTGTCAGCCGACGTGATATTGCTAAGAGCGGCGTAAAACCTTACTCACTCACACTCATTGATTGGATAGTTTAGTATTGTTTTATAATCTCAGATGTTTAGCATAATGAGTTGTAGATAAATTTTGTATTCCATTGTTCTTTTTATTTCCTGCAGGTAAATTCCGGCGTAAAACCATACTGACCCACTCAGTGTATTGTAATGAAGGGTTGTAGTCATATCTCACATGTTTACAGGTCAGGTGTGTAAGGGATTGATTTGCCTGCATGTTGTCAATTGTAGTTCATACATGTACGACCCGTGAAGATCCCGGGGTAGAATAGGTCTTCAGCAACCCATACTTGTCGTAAAAGGTGACTATGCTTGTCGTAAAAGGCGACCAACGGGATCGGGTGGTCGGGCTCGCTGACTTGGTTGATGCATGTGATCGATCCCAATTGCGTGGATCGATGCTCGTGATATTAATCACAGGATTGTCTGGTCCAGACTCGATTATTTACAGACCGCCGTCATATAGCTAGAATATTGCTGAGTGCGGCGTTTCAACAACTAACAAACCAACCAAATCATACATGTACATGCATTCTTCCGTTGTTTACTTTTGTGGGCAAGTCTTGTATCGCTAACAGATGCCAATAATAAATATTCATGGCCACGAGTTCTCTGGTGTCAAATGTCATTTCCGTTTTAACGTTTGGATGGGAAAGTATTATGTATAATGTTACAATCACTCTAATGAATAATAAGATATGCCATGTTTTGACATTCGTTTCTTGGCAAATGTGTCTGATTAGATATTATCCTAACTATATATCTAATTGTTTGGTCTAAAGGATATACAGTATTTTCAATGGCGTATACGATAAAGGTTGCACTGGTTAACCGTCTATTAATCTTGCAGAAACAATTACCGCTGGCCTGGCGTATACCACGTGCGCTATCAGTTTAAGTTCAGACTTGGTCAACGCACCCAGAGGGTTAATGAGTGAGTAATTAATATAAGTGAGTTGGTTTTAACGCCGCTTTTAACATTATTCCAGTTATGTCACGGCGTGTCAGCTTAATGTGGGACAAAGGCCCGAAGTGATGCAAGTCTCAGACGTTTACCACTTCGGTGAAAATCACGAGCATGGGTATGGTACTGATAAACCTAGAAACATCGGGGCGAACCGGGATTCGAACCAACAATCATAGGTTTCTGGCGTGCCCAAGGGACGCAACTCTACACAGCGATTCGTGGCGCCTTAGACGACTGGGCCACCAGTGCCCCCTAAAGGGTTTATGAAGGGAAAAACATGATACATCACCCACTGATTCACATCCTTGATGGCTGAGTGCAGCGTTAAACAACAAACATACAAAACAAACAAACATCCTTAATCCTATCTACACTACCAATGGGTAGTTGGCGGATTGCATGAAGTGTCTTCAGTTTACTAATTTAAGATATGGGTAGACCAAGGGATGTTGTTGTTGTTTTTTGTTTGTTGTTTAACACAGCGCTCTCCAATAATCCAGCTCTATGACGGCGGTTCGCAGATAATTGAGTGTGGATCTGACAATCAAGTGATTGACATAATGAGCATCGATCCGCGCATTTGGGATGTGATGACATGCAATCAACCAAGTCAGCGACCCAGAACACCCGATCCACTGAGTCGCCTCTTACAATAAACATAGGTTACTGGGGACCTGTATTTTCTCCCGGAATCCCCACGGGTCGACGGTTCTATTGAATGTCAAGCCATCCATAGTAATCTTCTGGCCGAACGTGTCCAAGTACCCACGTCGTAGTTAAAAACCGGGTAAATATTGAGATCCGCTGGGATCTATGGGTGACCTTGCTGGCTGCGTGTCATCGTACTCTAACGATATGGAATGTTGCTCATGCTATCAACAACTGGTTTGTCTGGACGAGACTAGGTTATTTAAAGACCGATATGCTATGGGTAGATTTTTGTTGATATAAAAAACAAAATTCTCCTTTGAAACCGGACATGATTAGCATTTCCATTTTGGTTATTATCTGGTATTATGTAAATTCAATCTCGAAGTTGAAATAAATCTTTGTTCAGATTTTGGTACAGAGGAATTGGTTTAAAGTATAATGGAATTCGTTTTTGAGACTGTAATGCGGTTGTTTTCATTGGTCGTTCGCTTCATAAAGCACCGCCTCCGTGGCCTAGTGGTAGAGCGTCCGCCCGGAGAGCGCAAGGTCCGGGACAGGTCGATCCCAGGCCGCGCCATACCAAAAGACGTTAAAACATAGTACTTGTTGTTACCCTGCCTGGTGCTTGCCATTAAGGGACTAAAACAAGGACTTGTCGGCTCGAAGTCAGTATACTGTGTCTGAGTGGGGTATTCATATTAAACTGTGGCATGGTATCTCAGTGGGCTAGCACTATAAAACCGGACTAGTACAAGCAGCCACACACGCACACACACACGTGCATGCACGTCGATACATAAGTGTAACTATCTTGGACGTGACGTTTAACTCCATTTCAACTCACCTCGCTTAATATTATCAAGAAACAAACATTTCCTGTCGATTTATATGTTCTCGAAAACCTGCATCGCTTCAACGTTCTGCATAGTTCTAAACTCCACTGACTGTATACTTGAAATACAAAAATTGCACCTATAACTACCATATTGAGGCTGTGGGTATTCATGGCGGTCATTGTGTAAGACATATATGAAACGACTTTTCATCAAAGCAGGTACCTCGATGGTGTTATAATACCGATCATATCCGACAGAGCAGGACGGGTTGCGCAGAGGTATCGTGAGTGAGTGAGTTTGGATTTACGCCGCTTTTAGCAATATTCCAGCAATATCACGGCGGGGGACACCAGAAATGGGCTTCACACATTGTACCCATGTCAGGCTTCGAACCCAGGTCTTCGGCGTGACGAGCGAACGCTTTAACCACTAGGCTACCTGACCGCCCCTGCACAGAGCTATAGGCTGCCACAACTCGATGTGAGGTGCGGCCTTTGGACATGCCAAGATCAGCTGACCGCTACTTCGAACTCAAAATTTAGTCAATGTATGATCTTTGGTCTGTCATTGCTTACACCAAAGTGGTGGAGGTCACTTCGGGCGCTCCTCCCGGGTTAAACTATAGCTGAAATAGTCTTCAAAGCAGACTAAAACCAAACTCACTCACTTACTATGATTATGAACTAAATTAGGAAAAATCACAAAACAATAACTCTCAATATGATTTTGTATTTATTTTCTTACAAACTGGTAATGATAAGGCTTTTTTGTTACATGGAATTTTCCTTGTATCAGCATCGAAGACACGGATTGCTTGGTAATACGATGAAGATATGTTGAATACACAATAATTAGTAGACACTCTTTGATTCGTCTATGGTCATCTTCCACAACATTTTGTATGTAAAACGTCAGAACTATATGTGTCATGAGGGCTAAACGTGTTCTCACATCACACGGTATTATTCATGTGATGAAAATAAATACTTCTTAATATAACCAGAGCATCTCAGGTTACGCAGCAAGCATTACATGCAGATCTGTGTAAGTGTCAATGGCGGGATCTCGCCGTAACGATATTAAAGACCAACAGGTACGAGATAAAGAGAAAAGAGAGCGATATTTAAAGGCCAACAGCTACTAGATCTAAGTCAGAAGAGGGCGATATTAGAGACCAAGAGTTCCGAGATTTAAGACAAAAAAGGGCGATATTAAGGGCCAACAGGTATGAGGATAATATTAAAGACTAATGGGGACGAATTAATAGACTGACGGGAAACGTTCAAAGACAATGGGGACATGTTCAAAGATTAAATATGACGGTACTCAAAACGCATAGGGACATGTTTGAAAACGAAACTCAACGAGAACCTACGATCTATACTCTTCCTCATGAAAATGCTCGGAATCACAATTACTCTTGCCTCATATAAACAAGAACATAAATATAACCTTTCATATCTGCAAGTTAATAAAAGGTAGACAACTGCGTGTTGCGGTGGTGATGACGATGAAGCAGGAGAACACCAGACACAAAGAGTGAAGCAAGAGTAAAACGTATAAATTGATACAGAAAAATGCATGGTACATATAATATAATACTCCATATAAACGTACAACTGAGATCTACAAAAAGAAACCATACTAACACTGATACATGCCCTGTACACTTACACGATACACTTAATACTGCATGGTGCATAAATACAGTAAACTACGGTTATAACGAACACGCTTATAACGAACTAACGGATATAACGAACTAACTTTTTAGTCCCGACTATATGCTGTAGTTATACTGTATATATGCTTATAACGAAATACGGTTATAACGAACTAAAATTAGTAGTCCCTTTGAGTTCGTTATAACCGTAGTTTACTGTACATTGTTTTGGCGTAGATATACATATTTTTGTACAGTAAAAACGTGGTAACAAAAGTAATACAAAGTAAAATCTACTAACATTGGCCATTATATCTATCCTGGAAAGTGGAAAATATAACGAAAGAAAACGTAATGCTCTTTTGGTAATTGCTGGTAATTTGAGGCTGAGCTCTCTCGATGCTATGTAACATTAAAAATAATAAATTTCCAACAAGTACATGAAACAATCTTATACAATTTAATATCAATAAACAATATACCCGGAGAAGACAAGCCACAGTGAAATAGTAAAAGGAAATTTAATTAAAATTACCCTTGATAGTTATAAAATGTGAAACAGTAACTGGAAATATAATTACAATTACCCCTGGTAGTTATAAAACTAAAACAAACCATCACGTAGGCACCGGCTGATCAAAAAAATTCCAAAAGTCGTCGTCCTTTTGAAACTTTTCTGGCATGGGTGCAGGTGCCGGTGCCGGGGGTGGGGTTATAGGAGGGGTCTTAAACTCTATTATTTCTAAGGGCGTGGCAGGCTTCTCAACAGCTGATTCCGGTTTCGTTTTATTTTTAGGCTTTGGTTTAGGTTTTAGTTTTTGTGCTGCAGGTTTAACAGGAACGGGTCGCGTGGCACTCCGATCCCAGTTTACAGCTGCCTTGGGTAAACTGGTTAAATACTCATCCCACTGTTTTCCCATGCGCTGTCGCAAGACATTGTGTTCTGCCCAAGTACCTGAAAACATAGACGTTCAGATGTTGGTATGTACATAACATTATTGTAAAAAAATACCAATATATTTTAGTCACATATATTTTATGATAAATATAACTGCAAAATAATGCACGTGTAGGATTACAATATCATGTTTACATGAGAAAAATCGATTAATAGATTTTGCTTCTGTATGCGGGATTGTAAGGGCTTCGTTGATTCGATTTGGGTCAGTTTGAAATGTATGACGAGCTGAAAAGGATTTAAATTATCACGGGCTCGTTGCTAGGCAAACATGAATAAAAGATCATAGACAATCATATTTGTTTGTTTGTTGTTTAATGTCGCACTCACAATATTCCAGCTATATGACGTCGGTCTGTAAATAATCGAGTCTGGACCAGACAGTCCAGTGATTGACATCATGGACATCAGCGAGTATGACCGCCCGATCCCGTTGATCGCCTCTTACGACAAGCATGGGTTGCTGAAGACCTATTCTGACATGGATCTTCACGGTTACTATCATGTCTATATAATGTCACAGTATCAATATTCCCTACCTCGTGCCATTAGTTGTGCAGTTATGTGTGAGAAGAAAAAGCAATCGTGTTCAAGCAAAAGCGCATATTTTAATAAAAAAAATGTTCTTCCTCTGATTGAAAAACAGCGTAAATACAAGTCATTAATAATGAAGTATATCTAAAACAGATATGGTAAACTAAACCTTAAGAAGTAAACGTTAACGAAGTTATTCTTTCACTGAATTGAAGATGAAACAAAGTGACAAGTTTGTTTACCACTAATAGACCGTGATCAATCATATACAGATTATTCCTTCTTCCCCCCTTCCAAAGCTTTGCGATCCCAGGCTTTCTTCATTCTCTCCCTCAGCACGTTGTGTTCAGCCCACTTGCCTAGAACAGACCAAAAACACGTGCAGCACGAGCACACCAATAAGCGAGGGGAAAACGTGCATAGCAAAAGGCGGAACACAACGTCAGATCGTTTAAGATTTATCAGGAACCTCATACGATGGAAGCGTTGCGGATAGACAGTTTAGCAGCATTAAATGATTTGCAAACGATGCACCAAGGCAAGAATTCCGATCGAACCTCTTTTCTAAAATACGTGACTCTCTCAATTTCTTATCAAATACCAATTTTTCTTGCATTTAATACAATGACTTCAAAATAAGTCATTGCGAATTGATTCATATTTGGTGAAAAAGTGGTTGGGGTTGAAGTCTTGCGATGATGACACTGATTTTCTGATACATGATACAGTTAGTGATGGATTAGAAAAAGAGGTGGTTGTGAAATCTGGAATTCGATGGAAAGTAGTCAGTGTAGCTAAAGTAAGAAACTTTATGCAGAAAGCTAAAGAGCCTGAACATAAGAACTATCATCATTTTCAAAATTGTATAATTACATCCATAAGAAGTTTCAATATGGCAAGGTCGCCTAGTCTCATGTGATACCGAAGTTCCGACTTTACAGCCCTATATGTGTATGTGCCAAATGGAGGATGTTTGTTTGTTTAACGCCGCACTCAGCAATATTCAAGCTACGTATATAACGGCAGCCTGTAAATAATTGAGTCTGCACCAGACAATCCAGTGATTGGCATCATGAGCATCGATCCAAGCAATTGGGATACAGTGACATGCATCAACCAAGTCAGTGAGCCTGACCACCCGATCCCGTTAGTCGCCTCTTACGACAAGCATGGTTTCCTGTAGACTGGTCTTCACTGGTCACTGGTAAATGAAGATCAGAACAAACTTTAACACAATTTTCAATTTTCAGTTAGATACTAATTCATGACAAGTGTTTAACGTTAAATATACAGGCAGTTATCTATATATGTTTATATTTTTTCTATGCTAAAATAGGGCCACGTGACCCACAGCAACCTAACTCTGTACTTTTGCCTGGACAGTTCTAAGTCACATCTGGATACAATATACCATAGAACATCAGAGAATACAATAATTTTCTTTTTTTAATAAATTCGTTTGTAAACGACATTGCATTGATGTTTGCATAGTGTTTTAGTGTATTATTGGTTTCAATCCCCCGAATAATTCCGATACCTTGGAACGTCGGAAGTATACTCACTGAGTTCGTCCCTTTGGTATCGGTATTCCTCTGGATCTTGGTATCGCTCAGAGAAAATTTTATCATTGTACACAGTTTTCGTGGTACTTATTTTATGCCCGGAAGTGTAACCAGGGAAGACGTTCTGTCGGGTGGCATTGCTGAGAAGATCATACTCGGGGTTGTCATTCTTCTTGAACACTCCCGCTTGCACAGGACGCCGATTTTGAACAGGAGCCTCCAGCTTCTCCTGTCGAGCTATGCTGTCCGCCACAGTGACTTCGTCTGAGAAGAGGGCATCGCATACACTACTGCCGTACTTGTGCCGGATATTGGCAGGAATCGCTATGACACTGCGGGGAGCTGATTGACCTGCAGTCGTCTGCTCTTCAAGGTCGTTCGTGATGTTGGTACTTGGCTGAGATTTCTTTTTGCTAAAATTGCCGTTCTGATTTACGTCATTGCCTTGCCGGGGAGTGAATTCCATCCCTGGATACAGAATGTCCCCCATTTGGCTATAAGAATGCACTTTAGGTTTTCGGCCATATTTGTCCCGATTGTAACTTCCGGTAGCAGTGAGACCTCCCACATTCATGTCTTTGGCGTGCTCTATATCCTTCTGCGTGAACCACTGGTGCGCCTTGTCCATTTGACCATTTTTGGAACCTGACGTCATGGAACCTGTGCCTGTAGTTCGGGGGTCAGGGCTAAACGTCAGGGCCTTGTCTTCAGCAGACTTCAGGTCACTCTGACTCTTCCGGACGACACCTTTCTGGTGTTCAAAGTCAGCACGCTTGTGGCGAAGGATATCGTTATCTGGATGGGAAACATAAAACAACCTGGAGGTGATACCCAGAAATGTACCCCTCGGTACAGGCGAAGATACGAACACGTGTTAAGCTTGGGTAGATTATAAAGGACGTTTACGAGATTGAAAGATAGTCTTGTGAAAGCATTATAGGTAAGTGGTGATCGTCGATATACGGCTCAGTTATTCACACGACAGCATGCAATACAATCAGATAACACACTGACCTTGCTGGTGCTTCAAGGTCATGAGTCAGCACTAGTCATACATGTCTTGTTATATTACTGCTTCGTTGTGATATTTAAGGCTTTAAAAGCATCGTATTGTGGAAGTAGAACGAAGGTGAATGGAAGCATATGGCTGCAGATGAGGTGAAATGGGTTTAAAGTCGCGTTCGAGATAATTTCACTTAAAAAGCGCATGCGTGCACGTGTTTGTGGTTGATTGTACTTGTCCGGACTTAAGAACGGTTTTATAGGCCACTTAGATACTATGCCTCAGTCTAACATGGATACCCCACTCAGACCCAGTGTACTGACTCCGAGCCGACCAGTCCTTGTTTTAGCACCTTACTGTCGAGCGGCAGGCAGTATAACAAGCACCATATCTTGACGTCTTTTGGTATGACGCGGCCAGGGGATCGAACCCCGGACCTTCCTTCTCCGGGCAGGTGCGCTTTCTATTACACCACGGAGGTAATCTGGTCGTATCGTTTTACGGAATATAGCATATATGATAAGTGTTGATTACAAATAGTATTGGTTTATGGCCATTATTTAGTTTTTCGACACTAAGTTGGTTCATATTGAAGATGACATTATTATCTTAGCAGCGTCGTCATCCTTCGCATTATAACATAATATACATGGACATATGTGTACAACCAAACAGTTTCTGCGTACACTCCATCTAATTAAAATCGATCTCAGTTCTCACAACAGCTGAATAAGGATCTGAGGACATCCCATTTCGGGTCACTTCAGAACGACATTTCGCGAACTTTAGCCGACCAATGAAATGACTAACAAGAAGTCGGCATTAGCCAGTCAGAAAGCAGCTTTCTCGAGCTTTACGGCGCTTGTTTTCAAACTGGCGACTTCCATTCCGGACAACGCTTTGAAAAATATTGTTTCAAAATTTCAAAACTGAACAAAATAAATTCTGGAATGTCTAATAGTTGGTTGATATCGTATTGCAGCACTTCCAACGGGCTATTGAAAGTCTCTTCCGTTTCGGATCTATGTCCCATTGAAGCGAGAGATAGACAAGCCCGTAACCGTTGTTCGGAAAAACCCGTGTACATTTTTTCGAGGTTGCATGACAAGAAAGCACATTCCGACTGTCACTTTCCCGATCTGGTAAGCGACGCTCCGATTGGTCGGATGAAAGGTCGTTCTGACATGATCCTTTATGTGATGTCCTCAGATCTTTGTCTAGCGGTAGCAAGAACCAAGATCTGATTGTTAATGTGATTGTGTGTACACTATGGGTATTATGAAGAATCAGACAGCCCTACCTTGACGGACGCTGACGTATGGAGTGACGGCTTCAGCCACCTGTTGATGCTGCTCCTCCCCATCCCTCATCTCAAGGGACGTTCCAAACAGCGAGTTCTTGGGCATGGCCTGTGTCCGGCGGGGCTTATACGCAGCGTGGACATCGGAGGACTGTTGTGCGGCCACTGCGGCCATCTTGTCGATTTAACACGCCAACAGCGTTTGTGTCCCTGGAAAGAAACAAAATTTAATGCTTCAATATCGACACCATTGTGTACACATGTAATCATACATGCCAAATTGGAGTGTCGTGACTAAATATCTGTGAAAAATATTTAAGACAGGACATGATGTTGATTTTCTATGTAAATTCTCACAACAATTCATTTAGTATCTCGATATCAGGACTTAAACAGACATACGTTTTCTAAGAATGTAGGACCTTGTCAGTATAGTAAAGCGACCATATACCTCATACAACCATTGGTAAATCATAACCGGGCAAATAGCGTGGGGAAACGACTGTTCCGACGACAAAGGAATCTTTACTCTGCATTGCGGGCTGAGCGGTTAATGATTAGCTCTGATTGATGATCTATTGATTGCTGGAATAGCAACATGCCGAAAATCGAACGACGTTCAGTTTTATTATTTGTATACAGCGTATATCAAACGTCTGGACGTTTCTTGTGTTTATTTCATTTTGAGCAGCTATGAGTGATAGTTTATATTTAACGATTCATTAGATGAAATTGTCGCCGCTAATGTACTTAATTATATTATTATAAATAATATTGCTTTAACTGGAATAACCAGAAATAGTATGTTGCTGCAATTTCGAATTTATCATTGATATGAGATTTTCAAACTGATAAAATCATAATGACTATGCAGAATAAACATTGTTTTAATTGTAAATATACATGGCTACAATTTGCACATTCGGGTAACGTAACACGTAATATACTTAATTGAAATAAAAGAAACATGGCATTTGTATCCTCCGGCTTATACGTACCTTGATGACCCGTGAAAATCCGGGGTAGAATAGGTCTTCAGAAACCCCTGCTTGCCGTAAAAGGCGGCAATGCTTGTCGTATATAAGAGGCGACTAACAGGATCGGGATCGGATCGATCTAATTAAGCGCATCTAAAAACTCATTAATCTACCAATCCAAAATCCAATAAACATACAAACACCCACCTCACCCGGCTCCCTTAGTTTCCTCCTCCACCCACTTCGGCATTTATTCCAAATTTAAAAATTCAATATAAGCAACCCCTAAAAGCCCCCTCTTGGGTTGCACACACCACTTTCACCCTTTTCGCAATACACTAATTGGCCCGGCAAGGCCCGTGGGCGAAATACGCTACAGTCGGAAAGCGCACGTTAAATCTCCTATATCAGTCAGTCAGGATCGGGTGGTCAGACTCGCTGACTTGGTTGATGCATGTCATCGTATCCCGATTGCGTGGATCGATGCTCATGATGTCAATCACTGGATTGTCTGGTCCAGACTCGATTATTTACATACCGCCGTCATATAGCTGGAATATTGCTGAGTGCGGCAGCCTGCCTTGATAATCCAACCATGTTCAAAGAATTGCAATAATCTCCTCATTTGGTATTTTATTTCTCGCATATTTACATAGGCTACGGATGTGAGACGTTTAAATTGTGTATATTTTTTTCAATTTAGCTATGTCCAGGGTATAATGACTAACACCATCATTTTGTGAAAAAGCCAAAATTTAAGTGACGCAGGCCGTAGACCTTTACCACTTATATCCATCGGCATGAGAATGGTGCTGATAAACCAAAAATCATAACTAGAGAGAATCTTGGATTCGAACCCACGACCAACAGATCCGGTTACGCGATTGATTTAGAGTTTATTTATGATTGCACAGAAAAAAATGGTTTACAATTTCATCGAGTCGTAAGGATAAGCTGAGAGTCAATTATATCTAAAGCCAATTCTGTTCGCAATGCAGAGCATGTGTTGTGAGACGAGCAGGGTTGTTTATATATCCCGTTGTGTTAAACTAGACACAACAATACGAGGCTAGACGAAGCGATTCAACTTGTCTACATTAGCTTAAACTTTATTATGTGTATCATTGAGTGCTGTTATAACACACACAAACAAATCTTTTCATAGTACGCTCGAAAGAGTGAAAGAGAAAGTGACATGAACTTTTCAAAGTTTCAAATGGTTGTCACCTACCGTAAGAAGTGGGCCGGTCAGTATCCATGCACGCTATCGAGGATCTAGGACAGTATTGATGACGTAGTACACCAGCGCAATTCCTGTGACGTAGTTCACAGTTGTATGTCTAGTGTGTGCATGCAAGGTGAGGGTAGTTCAATGTTTGTGTGTTTTATGCAACGTGCCAAGATAATTATTATTATGTTGTACCATGTCGAAAACAAGGATTATAAATGCATATCAGAAGTTTAATAGAGATATGGAACTCATAAACAAACAGCATTGCATCATCAACAATTAAACGACCCATCATTTGGTCTCAACAGTTCTAAGGCTAAGATCGACCGAGGGCATCGGCCTTGCATTATTACAGTGTTATATATACTCTTGTCAGACTACGTGTATTCACCAAGAGCCCGATGTCAGAGTTAATTGATATGACTCAGATTGTGTCCGACAAGATCTTTCTGCTTAGTCATGGTACTGGCACATTTATTTTTGCTGCATATTACATGACAGCAAGTTACATAACAGATTTAAATAGGATACACATGAAAATGGTACTTCTGGGTGAATTCTGTTAAAGAAATAATCAACGTGTCAGTACTATCCTTTAATTTTGTTTATTTGTTTGTTGTTTAATGTTGCACTCAGCAATATTCCAGCTATATGATGGCAGTCTGTAAATAATCGAGCCTGGACTGTCACTGATGGGACCGTGTAACTTGGAGCTGCTATTTGTTGCGTTACAAGCCCTTGTGTATATGGGGGCGGTCGGGTAGCCTAGTGGTTAAAGCGTTCGCTCGTCACGCCGAAGAACCGGGTTCGATTCCCAACATGGGTACATTGTCTGAAGCCCATTTCTGGTGTCCCCCGCCGTGATATTGGTGGAATATTGCTAAAAGTGGTGTGAAACCATACTCACTCACTCCCCTTGTATATATGATGAGCATGATAAACATGCTAAATGGGTCATTGTCATATAGGGTAGGCCACAACTGAAATAGCTGTATCATTATATCATTAAGTAGTATACTATAAATTACTAGGTATCTATATCTGGATTATTTCTGATATAGGAGGCAGATCAAACATGCATCAAGATGTGCTAGAATGGAATCTGTGCTAAGATGAATTGATGTTTTCTGAAACTGATATATGTCTCTATTCAGGTTTCAATTCCATGATGGCAAGCCGACAGCTACTTCGCAGACTGGTTCCTATGGTTACAAGCAGTGTGAGATGTCACCACTGTCTCCGCCTCCCACAGCCTATGCTGTCATGCCAGTCACATGTCACGAAGATGACACCGCCCCCGGTCAGGTCACTTGCGGCAAGTGCCAAGTTTGAGTGTATTAACATACAGGATGAGGACGACTTCCAGCAGAGAGTCCTTGACAGCAAAACACCAGTGGTCATTGACTTCCATGCAACGTGAGACAAATTTACTATAACACTGACCCATACCATGGTTTTTAAAATATTTGTTTACACATGTTCAATTACGAATTAGCTTGCATCAGTCCAAATAAATTTGAGGTTCTCAATATTTGGCATAAAATTGTTTGGGTCACTATGCTACTTTACTCAATGATACTGTAATGAAATCTGGAAATTAATGAGTCCCAAATTAATACGACAGGCTAACCCCTAGCCAAATATGTGACTCAATATCAATGCGACTGCCCCTATCCAACCCCCAGTCGAATGATACATATCCTTACCGCAATCCAATCAAACACAAACAGCACCGCTTATTAGCACTGAGTAGAGCTCTTCCGTAAAAACAATAAACAGTGTTCTTCTAAAAGCAACACACTGTTTATATGTTTACTCTGTTGACTGGCATTAAAAATGTACAAAGACAATAACAGTTCACTGATTGGTATGCAGAGGCAGCATTAGAAACTAACAGTTTTAGACCACTAGTCCTTATAATGATAACATATAGCAAAGCCCTTAAAAAGGGCAAATTTCTACTAGTCCTCATGATACCTTAACTATTGGGCAGTTTGGCAAGGACAATTTCTAATACTGCAGAGGTGTCAACAAGCTTGACACGAGTAGGTAGAACTCACTGGATGCCCATTGTGTAATTCCTATTCTTTGAATGACTTTCTTATATACTTATTAAAACTACTGCTCAATAAACTGTGTTTGTGTTAATATTCAAGTTGGTATTTCCGTTATCCAAAGAGTGCAGTGAGGCCGTCTGATTGTTGTATATCATTTTGGAGACATAAATGCAAAGTTAATTAATTAAATGCGAGCAAAGACCACTTGCATTTAATTCACGCTTGCATTATTTTCAAGATTTACAGTATATAATTTGTGACTGTTATCCTCACTTATCATGCTAACATTCCAGGTGGTGTGGGCCCTGCAAGCTGCTGGCGCCGAGGTTAGAGTCTATCATTGCTGGCAAAGCAGGCCAAGTCGTTCTAGCAAAGGTTGATATAGATGACAATGCTGATCTGGCTATGAGGTTTGGGGTAAGTATAGATATGCCAGGTCAGACCCTACATACACTTCATTCAGTATGTCAAAGGCATTAGGGTTGTGTCATGTCTAATAAATAAGCCTTTATGATATGTAGGTAAGAATTAGGAATAAGAAAGTACTGTTACTGTACTTGCCTTATAGATAAAACCAGCAGCAGCAAATATTACAGCTGTCTTTGATAAATGTGTGCTACTTAGGCTTCTAATTGATTGGGGGGCGGTCAGGTAGCCTAGTGGTTAAAACGTTCGCTCGTCACGCTGAAGACCCAGGTTCTATTCCCGACATGGGCACAATGTGTGAAGCCAAAATCTGGGCACCCCTGTCGTGATATTGCTGGAATATTGCTAAAAGCGGCGTAAAACCGTACTCACTCACTCGCTCTCATTGATTGGAAAGTTTAGAATTGTTATATCATCTCAGATGTTTAGCATGAGTTGTTTTATATGTGTGTAGATAAATTTTTTATTCCATTGTTCTTTTTATTTCCTGCAGGTAAATTCCGTGCCAACAGTTGTGGGCATCAGAAATGGTCAGCCACTTGGGAAGTTTATTGGATTACAAGAGGATGACATTATTGACACTTTTGTTGAGAAACTAATCAACTGATGATTGATCTGATGTTTTAAATATTTTATATTCACATCAAATTTGCAATAAAAAACATCCAAGAAATAACTGTCAAATTTAAACATTGAATATCCATGTTTGAAGAATTATTAGTGACATGGTCAAACAAATCTTAAGATGAACTGGTGTGTCGACATGTTGGTTAAGGTAAAGTTGCATAATCACTTAGATTACTGCCCTACAGGCTGAGGGATGTGTATCTAAACAGTTCATTTGGTTGGTGTGAGCGATCAATTTCAAGATGTTTATTCTAGTCTATTAGCAGTTGATCACATGGGAATCTCAAGTTTTGGAGTATAATAAATTGTATGCAGATTTTACTGAACTTCAGATTCATGTGACAAGGCATAGGTTGGTGTTGAGTATCTGTGATGCAATAAGGACAACCTTCTTCACCAGCATTCAGCTTCTTGTTCTCTGGAACTGTCCTTATGTTTTACTGGAAGAGGATGCTGAACACAAAGGTCTTGTGTTTGTTAATGGCATTAAGATAAATAGTCTTAAAACTCACGGGAAAGGCATGATTATCAGAAAACCAAAGAATGTGTTGTGTTTCCATGGCTTATGATATCTATGGCCCAAACTGCTTGTACATAATAAACTGACACTCTTAACTGTGTTGTTCAATACCACATTTAGCAATTGTCCACCGATGTGACAGCCACCTGTATTTATCAAGTCTGGCCCAGGCTATACCATGATGGATAATGTGAGGTGAGGTGATATGGGGTTTAACGTCGCGTCCAAGATTATTGCACTTATATAGCGACGTGCATGCACATGTATGTGTGTGTGTGGCTGCTTGTACTAGTCCGGACTGATGCCGATTTATAGTGCTAGCACACTGAGATACCATGCCGCAGTTTAACATGAATACCCCACTCAGACACAGTATACTGACTCCGAGCCGACCAGTCCTTGTTTTAGCCCCTTAATGCCGAGCGGGTTACAACAAGAACCATCTTTTAACGTCTTTTGGTATGATGCGGCTGGGGATCGAACCCCGGACCTTCCGCTCTCCGGGCGGACGCTCTACCATTAGACCACGGAGGCGGTCTGGATAATGTGAGCAACAATCAATGCTCTCACAAGAAACCAGGTCACCATAAATGGCCAAGCATTCCATTAAGACCCTCATGGTAAGCATGGAGCTAATCTTACCCATAATGTCTCGTACTACAGATAACTTGACCTTATTCGATTTGATTGTGCACAGTTCACATGGTTTCACGGTCTTGTCTGTGATAAAAGAGAGAGTGAGCTTTTTAGCAATATTTCAGCCATATCACAAGACACCAAATGTCTGGGCTTCAAACATTGTACCCATGTAGGGATTTGAACCCATGCTTTCAGCATGAAAAGCTAACACTTTAACTACACCCCTTAAATGTAAATGGAATGATACTCTCTCATAAAGTGGGAGTTTGTATTGCAATAGTTGACAATGAAAATGCCCAATCCAAGTTATAACATGACACCAACTGTAAAAATACATCATTGTTTATTTGTGCTATCTGACATGGAGGACCTCAATGCAATAGGATCCAACTTTCTGCTGAGAGACAGGTGTACATTTCTTCTTGAACTGGGACAGGACTGCCTCCAGGGTTGCCAGCTGGTTGCAGAACTCCACCTGTCAATCACACAAGCAGTGCATGTCACCTCTACTGTTTTGTTTGTTTCTTGTTTAATGGTGCGCTCAGTTTGTTTGTTTGTTGTTTAACGCCGCACTCAGCACTATTCCAGCTATATGACGGCGGTCTGTAAATCATCTAGTCTGGACCAGATAAATCCATTGATTGACATCATGAGCATCGATCTGCGCAATTGGGATACGATGACATGCATCAACCAAATCCGTGAGCCTGACCACCCGATCCTGTTAGTCGCCTCTCACGACAAGCATAGTTGCCTTTTACGGCAAGCATGGGTTGTTGAAGACCTATTCTACCCTGGATCTTCATGGGATGCTGAAGACCTATTCTACCCCGGATCTTCATGGGATGCTGAAGACCTATTCTACCCCGGATCTTCACGGGATGCTGAAGACCTATTCTACCCCAGATCTTCACAGGATGCTGAAGACCTATTCTACCCCGGATCTACACGGGTCGCTGTGCTCAGTGATATAGCAGTCTGTAAATAAGAGCATCTGGAACAGACGATCCAGCGATGGATATTGTGAGGAATGATCCAAGTTGCAGGGTACAATGGTATGCCATCAACCAAGTCAACAAGCCTGATCGCCTGATCCATTTCGTCACCTCCTATAACCAGGATAGGTTGATCGGGACCAATTCTAACCCGGTGTCCCCACTTGATGTTGCAACTCCTGATAACAATAAGACCTTGTGAAAACTTACACAAAGCATGCAAACATCACATGTCCAAAAGGACAATCCACTAAGGATTGTTGTCACATTGCAGTCTAAGCTGTATCACAACTGTAACAAATGTTTTATTGGGATAACACTTTCTTAGTAAACAACAGATTCTCGTACTTTTTGGGTTGAGTCCCGTCCAAGATTTGAACCCACACTGCCAGAGTGAAGCACCTAATCGCCAGCACACAAAGTCAGCGATCTTACCCACTCAGCCACCGAGGAATCCACAAAAATGAAAGTCCGACAACTGGTAGTCCAGATCATGTACTTTGTGTACCCCTCTGACAAGTGTAAATTAGCACGGCTCCCATGGCAGTGTGGGTTCGAATCTTGGACGGGACTCAACCCAAAAAGTACGAGAATCTGTACCTTACTAAGAAAGTGTTATCCCAAATATAACATTTGTTACATTTGACCACTTTCTAAATATCACAACTGCCCGTAAATAATCAAATCTGGGCCAGTAAAATAAAGAGGTTGATATTATGTTGCCCCTTCGGACAAGAATGCGGGGGCCCAATTGTTACCCGAGACTGCAGAGTCGGAATGCCATCTAGGTGCACTGTGATCCTGTTATATTTTACCATTATGTTGATAAGTACCTCCGTGAATAATAGCAAGGTCTATATACAGTGGAAGTTCTGAATATCTACTGAGAAAACAAGTCAATGCACTTATCCTAGTGTCAACACAGGAACTCATTATTGGTCAGTAAATGAAAATATATGCTCCCTATATATCAGTAGAGAATATATATAGGGGGTATATATTTTTCTTTACTAACTAGTTCCTGTGTGTCAACACAAACCGCTACTATATGTTCAAGCAGGATCATGAAGGGTACATGGAGTTTTATGTGTCCCACGTTAGGTTTCATACCACGAGCCGGAGGCGTGCGTCTTCTTGCTTTGAAGCGGGCTATGAGGGATTTATTCAGCCTCTCCGATATCCCTTTGCAGCCTGCATTGCTCATGACGGGGTATAAGAGATATATTCCCCCGCTGATAAATTTATTACCCTCCAAGGCGGGTTACACAGTATTTAATCAAGATCTCATGTACCAATCAGATCTCAATATTCTAACATGGAGGTATGATATAACTTTTTGTGACGAAGCCCATGCTTGCCGTAAAAAGGCGACTAATGGGATCAGGTGGTCAGGCTTAGTTCACTAAGGGTAAGTTGTCTTGTCATAGGTAAACTAAATATGTCTTTCCAATTTAATATTAATATGGTATCATACCAAGCTAGTGTTTAAAGATCTAAAACAAGCGCCATGACTACACTGACACTTTTGTTATTGCATTTGGAAGGATATGTATTCAATACCTGATCGCCAACAACTTCATGTAGGTTGCCTAGCAACATTCTGGCATCAGGGGAGACAATCAGTTGTGTGACGTGAGCATCGATCAACAATGATATCCAATCGATCACCTGAAACAGCAGCAGAAATTACCAGTATCAAGATGCTGTGATATCACAAGGACAATTTCATGAGTTCATTCTATTCTTATAATGGTAAATGGAGATGCATTAATGAGTGAGTGAGTTGGCTTTATGCTGCTTTCAACAGTATTCCAGTGACATCAAGGCATGTCAGCTTAATGTGGGAGGAAAGCCCAAAGGGATGCCAGTCTAAGGCATTTACTATAGTCTGGAAGGTAATTTAAGGTACCGACTCGAAAGGTTGCATGGGAATCACGCACGCACGCACGAATACAGGGGAGCGTTGGGCGTCTCAATGTGCGTGATTCCCGTGCACCCTTTTGAGTCGGTACCTTAAATTACCTTTCAGACTATAGTAAATGCCTTAGACTGGCATCCCAGCAGGGGTAGCATTATGCAGATGGCTGTTTCAATGAATGCTCGTTCCACATGTGGTTGTTGAGGAAATGTAGTGATAGCTAAATGAACAGATTTTTTATTCATGCACCGATTGTCTTTAAATGTAATATCCAGTTATGCTTCACTGTTTAATGATCTCATACCAACTTTGACTGGAGTAGGTCCGATAGTTTTTCAGATATTGTACTAAACGTCGGTACCTTAAATTACCTTCCAGACTATACAAGCACAGATATGGTGCTGACAAAATGTGGGAGGAAAGCATCAAGTGCTGCAGGTCTCCGACATTTACCACTCCGGTGAAACCCATGAGCACTGGTATGGTGCTGACAAACCTAGAAACATAATCAGGGCGAACGGGGATTCGAACCCACAATCATAGCTTTCGGGCATGCCCAAGGGACGCAACTCTGCACAGGGAATCGTGTCGCCTTAGACGACTGGGCCACACGGGAATGTAATGTAACTGACCACTCATGGCAGCAATTAATTTGTCGGTCAGTCCAGTTACCATCTTGTTTTCACATGTCACATAGTTTGTTAGTTCTTGCAAATTTAAGGTCAACATAGTTTCATGAAAGCATTTTCAAACATATTATCCTTATCTTTTTAACAACCATGCTGTTGAAAATCATCCATCTAAATCAAGACCATGCATTTGGGTAATGTTTTTATACATACATAATTTTACTGGCTGGAGAAACTGTTGTAAGTATTTTTGTAGAAATGGTCAGTGGCAGGAACTGATTGCACTGGTAAAAATTATCAAGGTCGGCAGCAGCAAGTTTTGCATGTGAACAATTTTGTTAAGTATTCTAAATCTGTTATAATTCCATGTTTTTACACCAATACAACTTGTAAGTGAGTGAGTGTGGTTTTATGCCACTTTTAGCAATATTCCAGCAATATCACGGCGGGGTACACCAGAAATGGGCTTCACACAGTGTACCCATGTCGGGAATCGAACCCAGTTCTTCGGCATGATGAGCTAGGCTACCTGACCGCCCCAAATACAACTTGTAATGTATCATATGTATCATTATACAGGGATCGTAAATCATGAATTGTATTGTGGCCTTGTATCGGGATACAGTGCTGTATCACCGTATCGTTACACCAGTGCCATTGATGAAGGAGCAGATGAAGAGTACTCATCTTACCTTGCTGAGAGCTGGGACGCCTGTCCGGGGCTGTCCTGCCAAGGGGAGCACCTTCAGGAGGTAGTACAGGTACTCCAGCACTGTCTGCAAGGAGGGGTGAATGGCTTGAGTTTATGACTGGACAGAAGTTCAGTTATATCACAGCATGTCAGCTTGATGTGGGAGGAAATCCCAAAGTATTGTAGATCTAGTACAGGTATGGTGCTGAGTCTGCTGACTAACCTAGATGATGATGGTATGTACGGCTTTACACCGCTTTTAGCAATATTCTAGCAATATCACAGCAGGGGACACCAGAAAAGGGCTACTCATGTGGGGAATCGAACCCGGGTCTTCACGTTACAAGCGAACACTAACCACTGGGCTACCCCACCGCCCCACAAATGTAGAACGAAATACATGTACAGTCAAACTTTTGACTCCAGTCAGTTCAATGCTGTCAAACTTACTACTTTATTCAAATTACTATATTCATCATAAAATTGCTATATTCATCACTTTTTTAACCCGGGTGTGTTGGACTGGATGTGTCAAATTCCAATTTCTTTAATATTAGTCTATAGTCCCAAGAGTTATGAAAAAATTACCCGAAAAGTCAAACTCATTTTCTTATTAAACACTACTTACCAAAGAATTTATATCATTTATAATTGCCCAAACATGAACCAGGTCAGGCTGGATGTGTCGAAGCCCGGATAAGTCATACTACTTTCTGCTCCCCAGGGGTTTGAGACTCTTAAACTACAGGGTTCGACTCTACTTACCAAGACATTCTTAAAAGGCAGCTTCCTGAGAGAGTCCACCAGAAACACATCATTGAACGGCAAACAGAGGAGACGGTTACTGAATTTGATTAAGAAGAAACCATGACATTGTTTCAAAACTTTGCAACAAGGTACTATCTATCCACAAATATTTTTTCAAAACAGTTTACTGAATTAATTAAGTTTTTCGACACAAGCTTCCTGATCTAAACTACGACCTGAATGTAACCTATAAACATGTGTAATGATTTGGGGTGCACAATTCACTTAACTAGATCTTTCTCTGTATTCATATCATGTGAGTTTATTAATCACAGCTATCAGCTTATTGTGTGAGGAAAGCACAAAGTGCTGCAGGTCTTTGTTTATTGAAACATAAACACACATAAACACTTTTATACTTGTGGCATGTTCTTAGTCATGTCAGCGACAAAGATTTCCAATCTGAAATTCTGACTAAAACTAGTGTTGCTGGAATAAATAAATAAATAAATAAATAAATAAATAAATAAACATTGACTGATGAACAAAAAAAACTTTTCTCAACCAATGATCTATCCTTCATCTCTGATGACTCTCTTGTACAGAATTATGTTAAAATGTTTGACATATTTGGTTTTAAATATAACTTTGTGTTAATGATGCACTTGTATAATATAAACTTGTTTGTCTTTATCTGGCTGAAATATTGCCGATGCGACGTAAATTTAACTCACTCACTCACTCTTGTACAAAGGATACAGTAGCACAGCCTTGGAGCTGCAAATGGGGCACGTCACATCCTCAGACGTATCCAACATCTCGTCTGCTATGGCGAGGCTTTCACACTCTTCAGTACATTCTTCATCTGATATACTGAAATGGTACATTTATCAATAAATCAGATTATGTCACAAGTCATAACTTTAGATATACACAGCAATGAGGATAGCATAGCATGTCATAAAATCTTGTTTACCAAGAGTTATGTCCCCTTAGATATGCTATACCTTGAATTCAAAACTTGTAAGAACTACTTCAATCTCATTAAAATCAGATCTTAGTTCTCACTGCCGCTAAACAAAGATCTGAGGACATCCCATTTGGGGTCACGTCAGACCGACCTTTCGCAAACTCTGACCGACCAATTGAATTACTGACAAGAAGTCGACATTAGCCAATCAGAAGGCAGTTTCTCATGCTTTACGGCATTAATTTCAAATTGGCGACAATGCTTCCAAACATATTTTGACAAATTCTCGCTTAAAAATTTGAAACTTGATTAAAAGAACATGCTCGAATGGCTAATATATAATCTAGATTGTACAGATTCAGTCGTTAAGCCCGTAACTATCGTTCGGAATACCCCGTTTTAAAGTTTTCGAGGCTGCATGATGAGAAATCACATTCCGACTGTCACTTTCATGATTTGGTAAGCAACGCTCTGATTGGTCGGATGAAAGGTCGTTCTGACGTAACCCCAAATGGGATGTCCTCAGATCTTTGTTTAGCGGTAGCGAGAACTAAGATCTGATTTTAATGAGATTGGAACTACTTTACTGTGTATATGAATTACATCATACAAATCATAAGTAAAACTTGAGAAACCAAGATGGCCACTGACTATGTTTTCACTTACTCGAGGTAGCAACATAGGCTCTTGACCAGCGAGTCTTCTGCCACATCGGGCATGACGCTGAAGGACTGATGCATCAGCAGGATCTCCTTGTGGTCAGCGAGGGCTTGGTACAGGGAGGACTGGTCACTATAACACAGGGGAATTAACTTGTCATGTACAACTGCGAAAGTGTTATCAGGGGTTATTTTTGTAACATGTTGAAAGGCTTGAGAGAAACCATTACTGGCACAACAGTAGTAACTACCCCGGTAGTCATGATCAAATGAGATCTGGGGTAGGATAGGTCTTCAGCAACCCATGCTTGCCGTAAAAGGTGACTATGCTTGTCGTAAGAGGTGACTAACGGGATCTGGTGGTCAGGCTCGCTTACTTGGTTGATGCATGTCGTCGATCCCAATTGGGCGGATCGATGCTCATTATATTAATCACCTGATTGTCTGGTCTAGACTTGATTATTTACAGGCCTCCATCATATAGCTGGAATATTGCTGAGTGCGGCGTTAAACAAACAAACAAACCAACCTTGATCAAATGGTTACTGGAATTGCAAGAAACAGAGAATTTACACAATTATGATTTTGAAACTGGTATTTATTTAAGCCTACAATATGGACTGGTGGCCATGGGTTAGACAGTACTTATCACCCCTTCTCTTGTAACTGAACCCCCTGGGGCTGGGACGAGTCCAAATTTACCACCCGGGTACCCACTATCAAGAGTTGAGTACAAAATGTCCGATTGGGCATGGCTTTACCATAGCCCTGGCCAAAAGTATGTAGATAGTACTAGATATGTGTATAAAACATACAGTGAAGTTGACTGAAGCTTTATCAGGTGTGCAACAAGGAGAAGCAAATATTCCTGGTGGCTTATACCCCACTTATCGATGCATTCCATGATGGTGAAGAATCTAAACTTGACCCTAGTGGTGCTGCGTGTTACCTGTCAGACATGAGCCTGTGTTGTATGAGCTGCATGTGGTGTGTGTGTGTTACCTGTCAGACATGAGCCTGTATTGTATGAGCTGCTTGTGGTGTGTGTGTTACCTGTCAGACATGAGCCTGTGTTGTATGAGCTGCTTGTGGTGTGTGTGTTACCTGTCAGACATGAGCCTGTGTTGTATGAGCTGCTTGTGGTGTGTGTGTTACCTGTCAGACATGAGCCTGTGTTGTATGAGCTGCTTGTGGTGTGTGTGTTACCTGTCAAACATGAGCCTGTGTTGAATGAGCTGCTAGTGGTGTGTGTGTTACCTGTCAGACATGAGCCTGTGTTGTATGAGCTGCTTGTGGTGTGTGTGTTACCTGTCAGACATGAGCCTGTGTTGAATGAGCTGCTAGTGGTGTGTGTGTTACCTGTCAAACATGAGCCTGTGTTGAATGAGCTGCTAGTGGTGTGTGTGTTACCTGTCAGACATGAGCCTGTGTTGTATGAGCTGCTTGTGGTGTGTGTGTTACCTGTCAGACATGAGCCTGTGTTGAATGAGCTGCTAGTGGTGTGTGTGTTACCTGTCAAACATGAGCCTGTGTTGAATGAGCTGCTAGTGGTGTGTGTGTTACCTGTCAAACATGAGCCTGTGTTGTATGAGCTGCTAGTGGTGTGTGTGTTACCTGTCAAACATAAGCCTGTGTTGAATGAGCTGCTAGTGGTGTGTGTGTTACCTGTCAGACATGAGCCTGTATTGTATGAGCTGCTTGTGGTGTGTGTGTTACCTGTCAGACATGAGCCTGTGTTGTATGAGCTGCTAGTGGTGTGTGTGTTACCTGTCAGACATGAGCCTGTGTTGAATGAGCTGCTAGTGGTGTGTGTGTTACCTGTCAGACATGAGCCTGTGTTGTATGAGCTGCTTGTGGTGTGTGTGTTACCTGTCAGACATGAGCCTGTGTTGTATGAGCTGCTAGTGGTGTGTGTGTTACCTGTCAAACATGAGCCTGTGTTGAATGAGCTGCTAGTGGTGTGTGTGTTATCTGTCAGACATGAGCCTGTGTTGTATGAGCTGCTTGTGGTGTGTGTGTTACCTGTCAGACATGAGCCTGTGTTGAATGAGCTGCTAGTGGTGTGTGTGTTACCTGTCAAACATGAGCCTGTGTTGAATGAGCTGCTAGTGGTGTGTGTGTTACCTGTCAGACATGAGCCTGTGTTGTATGAGCTGCTTGTCGTGTGTGTGTTACCTGTCAGACATGAGCCTGTGTTGAATGAGCTGCTAGTGGTGTGTGTGTTACCTGTCAAACATGAGCCTGTGTTGAATGAGCTGCTAGTGGTGTGTGTGTTACCTGTCAAACATGAGCCTGTGTTGAATGAGCTGCTAGTGGTGTGTGTGTTACCTTTCAGACATGAGCCTGTGTTGTATGAGCTGCTTGTGGTGTGTGTGTTACCTGTCAGACATGAGCCTGTGCTGAATGAGCTGCTAGTGGTGTGTGTGTTACCTGTCAGACATGAGCCTGTGTTGAATGAGCTGCCAGTGGTGTGTGTGTTACCTGTCAAACATGAGCCTGTGTTGAATGAGCTGCTAGTGGTGTGTGTGTTACCTGTCAAACATGAGCCTGTGTTGAATGAGCTGCTAGTGGTGTGTGTGTTACCTGTCAAACATGAGCCTGTGTTGAATGAGCTGCTAGTGGTGTGTGTGTTACCTGTCAGACATGAGCCTGTGTTGTATGAGCTGCTTGTGGTGTGTGTGTTACCTGTCAGACATGAGCCTGTGCTGAATGAGCTGTTAGTGGTGTGTGTGTTACCTGTCAGACATGAGCCTGTGTTGTATGAGCTGCTAGTGGTGTGTGTGTTACCTGTCAAACATGAGCCTGTGTTGAATGAGCTGCTAGTGGTGTGTGTGTTACCTGTCAAACATGAGCCTGTGTTGAATGAGCTGCTAGTGGTGTGTGTGTTATCTGTCAGACATGAGCCTGTGTTGTATGAGCTGCTTGTGGTGTGTGTGTTACCTGTCAGACATGAGCCTGTGTTGAATGAGCTGCTAGTGGTGTGTGTGTTACCTGTCAAACATGAGCCTGTGTTGAATGAGCTGCTAGTGGTGTGTGTGTTACCTGTCAGACATGAGCCTGTGTTGTATGAGCTGCTTGTCGTGTGTGTGTTACCTGTCAGACATGAGCCTGTGTTGAATGAGCTGCTAGTGGTGTGTGTGTTACCTGTCAAACATGAGCCTGTGTTGAATGAGCTGCTAGTGGTGTGTGTGTTACCTGTCAAACATGAGCCTGTGTTGAATGAGCTGCTAGTGGTGTGTGTGTTACCTTTCAGACATGAGCCTGTGTTGTATGAGCTGCTTGTGGTGTGTGTGTTACCTGTCAGACATGAGCCTGTGCTGAATGAGCTGCTAGTGGTGTGTGTGTTACCTGTCAGACATGAGCCTGTGTTGAATGAGCTGCTAGTGGTGTGTGTGTTACCTGTCAAACATGAGCCTGTGTTGAATGAGCTGCTAGTGGTGTGTGTGTTACCTGTCAAACATGAGCCTGTGTTGAATGAGCTGCTAGTGGTGTGTGTGTTACCTGTCAAACATGAGCCTGTGTTGAATGAGCTGCTAGTGGTGTGTGTGTTACCTGTCAGACATGAGCCTGTGTTGTATGAGCTGCTTGTGGTGTGTGTGTTACCTGTCAGACATGAGCCTGTGCTGAATGAGCTGTTAGTGGTGTGTGTGTTACCTGTCAGACATGAGCCTGTGTTGTATGAGCTGCTAGTGGTGTGTGTGTTACCTGTCAGACATGAGCCTGTGTTGAATGAGCTGCTAGTGGTGTGTGTGTTACCTGTCAAACATGAGCCTGTGTTGAATGAGCTGCTAGTGGTGTGTGTGTTACCTGTCAAACATGAGCCTGTGTTGAATGAGCTGCTAGTGGTGTGTGTGTTACCTGTCAAACATGAGCCTGTGTTGAATGAGCTGCTAGTGGTGTGTGTGTTACCTGTCAGACATGAGCCTGTGTTGTATGAGCTGCTTGTCGTGTGTGTGTTACCTGTCAGACATGAGCCTGTGTTGAATGAGCTGCTAGTGGTGTGTGTGTTACCTGTCAAACATGAGCCTGTGTTGAATGAGCTGCTAGTGGTGTGTGTGTTACCTGTCAAACATGAGCCTGTGTTGAATGAGCTGCTAGTGGTGTGTGTGTTACCTTTCAGACATGAGCCTGTGTTGTATGAGCTGCTTGTGGTGTGTGTGTTACCTGTCAGACATGAGCCTGTGCTGAATGAGCTGCTAGTGGTGTGTGTGTTACCTGTCAGACATGAGCCTGTGTTGAATGAGCTGCTAGTGGTGTGTGTGTTACCTGTCAAACATGAGCCTGTGTTGAATGAGCTGCTAGTGGTGTGTGTGTTACCTGTCAAACATGAGCCTGTGTTGAATGAGCTGCTAGTGGTGTGTGTGTTACCTGTCAAACATGAGCCTGTGTTGAATGAGCTGCTAGTGGTGTGTGTGTTACCTGTCAGACATGAGCCTGTGTTGTATGAGCTGCTTGTGGTGTGTGTGTTACCTGTCAGACATGAGCCTGTGCTGAATGAGCTGTTAGTGGTGTGTGTGTTACCTGTCAGACATGAGCCTGTGTTGTATGAGCTGCTAGTGGTGTGTGTGTTACCTGTCAAACATGAGCCTGTGTTGAATGAGCTGCTAGTGGTGTGTGTGTTACCTGTCAAACATGAGCCTGTGTTGAATGAGCTGCTAGTGGTGTGTGTGTTATCTGTCAGACATGAGCCTGTGTTGTATGAGCTGCTTGTGGTGTGTGTGTTACCTGTCAGACATGAGCCTGTGTTGAATGAGCTGCTAGTGGTGTGTGTGTTACCTGTCAAACATGAGCCTGTGTTGAATGAGCTGCTAGTGGTGTGTGTGTTACCTGTCAGACATGAGCCTGTGTTGTATGAGCTGCTTGTCGTGTGTGTGTTACCTGTCAGACATGAGCCTGTGTTGAATGAGCTGCTAGTGGTGTGTGTGTTACCTGTCAAACATGAGCCTGTGTTGAATGAGCTGCTAGTGGTGTGTGTGTTACCTGTCAAACATGAGCCTGTGTTGAATGAGCTGCTAGTGGTGTGTGTGTTACCTTTCAGACATGAGCCTGTGTTGTATGAGCTGCTTGTGGTGTGTGTGTTACCTGTCAGACATGAGCCTGTGCTGAATGAGCTGCTAGTGGTGTGTGTGTTACCTGTCAGACATGAGCCTGTGTTGAATGAGCTGCTAGTGGTGTGTGTGTTACCTGTCAAACATGAGCCTGTGTTGAATGAGCTGCTAGTGGTGTGTGTGTTACCTGTCAAACATGAGCCTGTGTTGAATGAGCTGCTAGTGGTGTGTGTGTTACCTGTCAAACATGAGCCTGTGTTGAATGAGCTGCTAGTGGTGTGTGTGTTACCTGTCAGACATGAGCCTGTGTTGTATGAGCTGCTTGTGGTGTGTGTGTTACCTGTCAGACATGAGCCTGTGCTGAATGAGCTGTTAGTGGTGTGTGTGTTACCTGTCAGACATGAGCCTGTGTTGTATGAGCTGCTAGTGGTGTGTGTGTTACCTGTCAGACATGAGCCTGTGTTGAATGAGCTGCTAGTGGTGTGTGTGTTACCTGTCAAACATGAGCCTGTGTTGAATGAGCTGCTAGTGGTGTGTGTGTTACCTGTCAAACATGAGCCTGTGTTGAATGAGCTGCTAGTGGTGTGTGTGTTACCTGTCAAACATGAGCCTGTGTTGAATGAGCTGCTAGTGGTGTGTGTGTTACCTGTCAAACATGAGCCTGTGTTGAATGAGCTGCTAGTGGTGTGTGTGTTACCTGTCAGACATGAGCCTGTGTTGTATGAGCTGCTTGTGGTGTGTGTGTTACCTGTCAGACATGAGCCTGTGCTGAATGAGCTGTTAGTGGTGTGTGTGTTACCTGTCAGACATGAGCCTGTGTTGTATGAGCTGCTAGTGGTGTGTGTGTTACCTGTCAGACATGAGCCTGTGCTGAATGAGCTGCTAGTGGTGTGTGTGTGTTACCTGTACGAGATGAGCCTGTGTTGAATAAGCTGCTAGTGGTGTGTGTGTTATCTGTCAAACATGAGCCTGTGTTGTATGAGCTGCTAGTGGTGTGTGTGTGTTACTTGTTCGAGATGAGCCTGTGTTGAATGAGCTGCTAGTGGTGTGTGTGTTAACTGTCAAACATAAGCCTGTGTTGAATGTGCTGCTAGTGGTGTGTGTGTTACCTGTCAGACATGAGCCTGTGTTGTATGAGCTGCTAGTGGTGTGTGTTTGTTACCTGTTAGAGATGAGCCTTTGCTGTATGAGCTGCTGGTGGTCTTACCTGTTAGAGATGTGCCTGTGTGTAATGTGCTGCTAGTGGTGTGTGTGTTACCTGTTAGAGATGTGCCTGTGTTGTATGAGCTGCTAGTGGTGTGTGTGTTACCTGTTCGAGATGAGCCTGGGCTGTATGAGCTGCTGGTGGTCTTACCTGTTAAAGATGTGCCTGTGTTGAATGAGCTGCTAGTGGTGCGTGTGTTACCTGTTAGAGATGTGCCTGTGTTGAATGAGCTGCTAGTGGTGTGTGTGTTACCTGTCAAACATGAGCCTGTGTTGTATGAGCTGCTAGTGGTGTGTGTGTTATCTGTCAAACATGAGCCTGTGTTGTATGAGCTGCTAGTGGTGTGTGTGTTACCTGTCAGACATGAGCCTGTGTTGTATGAGCTGCTAGTGGTGTGTGTGTTATCTGTCAAACATGAGCCTGTGTTGTATGAGCTGCTAGTGGTGTGTGTGTTACCTGTTAGAGATGAGCCTGTGTTGTATGAGCTGATAGCGGTGTGTGTTTGTTACCTGTTAGAGATGAGCCTGTGTTGAATGAGCTGCTAGTGGTGTGTGTGTGTTACCTGTTAGAGATGTGCCTGTGTTAAATGAGCTGCTAGTCGAATGTGTGTATTACCTGTTAGAGATAAGCCTGTGTTGATTGAGCTGCTAGTGGTGTGTGTGTTACCTGTCAAACATGAGCCTGTGTTGTATGAGCTGCTAGTGGTGTGTGTGTTACCTGTTAGAGATGAGCCTGTGTTGTATGAGCTGATAGTGGTGTGTGTGTTACCTGTTCGAGATGAGCCTGTGTTGTATGAGCTGATAGTGGTGTGTGTGTGTTACCTGTCAGACATGAGCCTGTGCTGTATGAGCTGCTAGTGGTGTGTGTGTTACCTGTTAGAGATGAGCCTGTGTGGTATGAGCTGTTAGTGGTGTGTGTGTTACCTGTCAGACATGAGCCTGTGCTGTATGAGCTGCTAGTGGTGTGTGTGCGTTACCTGTTCGAGATGAGCCTGTGCTGTATGAGCTGCTAGTGGTGTGTGTGTTACCTGTTCGAGAAGAGCCTGTGTGGTATGAGCTGTTAGTGGTGTGTGTGTTTCCTGTTCGAGATGAGCCTGTGTTGTATGAGCTGCTAGTGGTGTGTGTGTTACCTGTCAGACATGAGCCTGTGTTGCATGAGCTGCTAGTGGTGTGTGTGTTACCTGTTCGAGATGAGCCTGTTTTGTATGACCTGCTAGTGGTGTGTGTGTTACCTGTTCGAGATGAGCCTGTGTGGTATGAGCTGCTAGTGGTGTGTGTGCGTTACCTGTTTGAGATGAGCCTGTGCTGTATGAGCTGCTGTACCTCAGCTCGGGGCCAGAAGGCTGTGAGGGAGAAGCATGTCTGACAAAGCTGGGACATGTGGGAGCTGACGATCCACTGCCGGTTGACTGACTTCGACAACAAGTTCACCAGCTTTCTTAACTCACTCTCAAACTTCTCCTTAGCCTTTGTCTGAAGCACACAGAACACAACACTGTGCATACAGTATTTGTACCAATTCCAACCTGGGTCTTCATGTGGAGGGATTAAAGTGCTGGCTTGTTGAGATCAAGGCCTGGGCTAGATGCCCCAAACGAGAACAATGTAAGAAGCCCATTCTTGCATGAAAAATTGATAATTGTTAAAAAACCAGTCTCTGTCCATCTTCCCGAGGCAAGGGAGTTAACTGACTTGAAAAGTCCCTTTTCGACCCTTGCCAAACTAGACTGGAATTTCTGGGCTTGATCGTAGCGCCACCAGTGGTTATTACAAGTTGTGTCCCTTCTATGCCTCTCCTATTGACCAATCAGATTCCATCTCTTGTATCACTTTGGCTTCAAACAAAATGACGGCATCCAGTCAAGAAGATCTGATCAATAATCAAGATCTATACTGAGATAAAGTGGGTCTTACATAGCAAAGTGCATGAAACCACATGAGCACCTTGATTAAAAACATGAAAATATTTGGAAATATCTGTTGATGTCGAGTTGGCGGTGCACATGCTTTGCAAATCCTGCAATCAACCGAAAGCTGCACGACAGTTTACAAACCGGATTTCGATTTCGTTACATGATTTTGATTGGACTATGCATAGACTCGTTAGTCCAGCCAAACTCTAACTCCATAATACCAGCCTAGTTCGGCAAGGGTGGAAACTGGACTTTAAAGTCAGTTAACTCGCTTCCCTCGGGAAGATGGTTTGTCATACACCTGAACAGTCATTTTGTTTAGGCTTTATTTATGAAGTGGAAAATGCCTTTGTTTGAGATGCAAATGATAAATGGTCTTTTGTTTAAGATATGTGTTAAACATGGTTCACAAGTTGAACTCTTTGCCTGAAGAATGTTTTTTTCATGGAAAGGAAAATTCATTTATTTCCATCTGTCATGTACACTCAGACAGGAGGTGGATCGATGTAAACTACATTTAAGATGAAAAATATACTTGATCTTTTCTTACCTTTGTCTTGTCAATGAGACTTGTGAACAGATTCTCAATCTCCAGATCACCTGCAGCCTTCTGAAAACAGCATGTCATAATTCAGCTTGTGTCCACCTAGAGTAACTGTGTAACTATGGTTACCCCATGCATTCCCTCTAGGCCTACACATGTACCCTATTCTGACAGGGACGAAGATATGTGTTTATCTTTGTTACCCATGGGCAACTTAATGCCTTATAATTGTGGGCAGTGGTATGTGATTTCATGAGACCAAAAAAACCCTACTTATCCTCAGCCATTGTTAACAGATGTGAATCAGAAGGTGGGTAAAACAAATACAGTTTAATATAACCGTTGTAGTGTTTGAATTCGTGATTTTTGCATATCGTGTTTAAAATCGTGATTTTCCTTTGGTCTAATATCATGAATATTACTGTCATAAATTCAATCCCACCTGTGCTGGCTTCTGTTTGGTGGACCAACTGACAACTCCATGAGCCAAATCGGTGACCTTTCCAGTGTCCTTGACCTTGTCTCTCTGACCCAGTAACCTAGCAACCGTTGATGGCTCACACTTATAAGGGAAGGCATACAGCGTTTTGTTGCAGGCAAGGAATAAGTGGCCGTAATGACAGAAGAGCTGCAACCATAATTCCATAATCAGAGTATTATGATAATTTATGTCCTGCATTACATATTGCACATTGCTCTGCCCACCAGAGTCCTAACTGGAAATGAAAGATGATCTACCAGTGTCTTCAGTAACTCTTTTGCCCAGCATGACCGCCATGACCCTCGAGACATCTGGTGTCGGAAAACACTCTTCCTATATGTCATTATTGTCTTTGAATGTCCCTCAGGGCGGATGGTGCAGTGGGGGAAATAAATCAGTTATGGGGAGGCCCTTGGGTAATGCAGGATAAGTACATAAAATACATAAGACTCTGATTATGTAATATTTGTTACTTATCCTGCATTACATATTGCACTTTATCCAGTGGTAGGCGGTGGTGCATACCCTCAGTCCAGTGCTAGGATAGCTGTCACATGTCATGGCATCTCGTAGAGTGGTCCTGTAGGCTGGGCTTGCCTGAGATGATTAGCTTCCACAGCTCCCTCGACACTTACAACAGTAGCACATGGGAAAACCAGACATAACCTTCGGTACTCTAATCGTTGGGTAACCGAATGAATCCCGGAATTGCGCTGTCATGGCAACCCAGTAAATGAGAACCTAAAACTTTAAAGAGTTTAGATAAACTGGAAATACTCACTACAACTCTACCCTCCTTAAACCTGGAAACTGTTTGACAGAGGGGGAATGAGGGTGGGCTGCGTCACAGGCACGTCATCCATGTCTTCTACGGACACACCCCGGAGGTATTGGCACGCAAATACAGTAGTGGAGCTCCAAAAGCACCCCTCCATGATGAACTGGATCAAACAGTTTCTGCCAGGGCCTCTCCTCCAGGACATTCTGGAACGGAGGGGGATCTGCTCCTTGTTGGAACTGGGGGCATGTCTTCTGACACAAGATGTCACGAGCGTCACGGAGGTCATGTTGGGCAAAAGAGTTACTGAAGCCTCTGATAGATCGTCATTCATGTCTAGTTAGGGTTTCGGTCGTAAGAGCAATGTGCAATATGTAATGCAGATAAAAATAGCATTCTTATAACAAACCAAATGAATATAACACCACCAATTGCCAATTAGCATTACTTTACAGAATATTTTGTTTGTTTTTTAATGCAGCACTCAGCAAGATTCCAGCTGTAAATAATCAAGTCTGGGACAGACAATCCAGTGATCTCCATTGTGAGCAATGATCCATGTCTTTGGGGTACGACGACACAAAAACCACTCAATCCACTTGGTCTCCTCTTAAGACCAGCATAGTTTGCGTGGGACCTATTCAAACTCTGAATCCCCACGCAGACGCAGACGGAGTCGTATTGGTCATTCAGCAGGTATCAACTCAGAATAATATGCCTCCGTTAAAACAGTTCTATCTCACCTTAGGTCTTGTCAGCAATGGTTCTGGGAATGGTTGCCATGACTGCAGAGCCTGGAATTTCACATTGTAGATACCAAGTCCGACTGAAACAAACAAATGAACCAAGGATTGTCTCATTGACTCTTTTGATGTCAAATGTAATAATTCCAAGCATGAACGATGTGGTAAGTCTGACAGTGTATCATGATTCTCACAACTCAAGCCATCTATCGCTAGTTTTCCTCAACCAGATATCATTATTTGTAATGTTGTGATTTGACCTATTTAATCATAATCAGATAGTTTACTCTGATACGATACCTCTCTGCGTGATCGGAGGTCAACTCCATTGGAGGTCACGTCAGCTGAGCATTAAATCAGACAATCAGTGTCCAGGCTTCAATGATTCAAACCAGCATATCTGATTTCTCTACCTTGAAAATGAACTAAAATGACAAGTTCCGAAAGAAGTATCGGGTGTCATAATATTACATACAAAGAGGAGTACCATTGTATGAGTATTTGCATTTTATGTAGGTTTTCATTTGCACAAATTGGAATTTCTGAATGAGGTAAAACTGAAGCTGAATTGTTTTAGAAAACTGAAAGCTGACTGGCTCAAGAACTCATGCAGCTTTTTTGTAATTGGGCAGTGTCAAAGTCTGGGCTGACCCGGCGCGACCTTTACGGAGGTTTCATCAGATCTTCATACAGAGAGGTCTCCTATCGGAGTGAAAGATCTGATTTCAATGATGCTTGGCTGGAATAAATTGCTGGCAACTATGGGACTCCAACCTCCACACACCCCTACTGCGCTGACCAACCTGTGGTGTTCTGCCTGATGCCTGCCACAGCGATGTGGGTGTGGTCGAGGTAGATCATGCAGGAGTCTGTCTGTACACCCGAGATGGTGGCCACCTCCTGGCTGTCATCCATATTGGACGACCCGGTCAGCGGCAGGTCAAGCAGCCGGCCATCTTGCCCTGCAACACGTGATACAAGATTTGACAATTTGGGGCAGTGTTGACACTGTCTTATAGCTGTCTGAGCGTACAAACCATTACAAATTGATTTTTTGCATCAAAACGATATCCTAAGGGTGGCCCAAGCAGCACATTGATTGACATTCTTTTTACGGGATGACAGAATCTGTTCAAACGAGTGTCAATTTTCATCCATTATAGTTAGTTAATTGGGATGGTAAAAAATTGTTCCAAACCATTTATATTGACTTTTGACCCCAAACTCTTATAAACTAACAAATAAAGACTAAAAGGTCTTACACAGTGACAGGAGACTGGGCTCCGCCTTCAGGGAGAGGCAGCAGCTGAGTAGGGCGTCGGCAGACAGGGACAGGGGCGTGGTCTTAAGGCTCCAGCACTCTGCATCAGACAGATAAGTGTGGCGGTGGACCCTCACTAGCTGGTCCTGAAATACAAGGGCTGACTGTTAATATCCCAACTGCTGTCTGTAATTACCACTCTGTCGTATACAAGTAGGAAGCCCATGTGACAGATTTACAAAATATTATCTTCAATGTTGTCTAAATTGTTAGCTGGGAATCTTGATGAAAATACATTTCAACTAACCTGTGCAGGCCTCTAGTTAACTCAAACTTTGTTTACACAAACCCATGTTTACACACAACCATGTTTACTCACAACCATGTTTACACACAACCATGTTTACATCACATTGATGTTTTCACACACAACCATGTTTACATCACATCGATGTTTACACACAACCATGTTTACATCACATCGATGTTTACACAGGACGACACACACACTGCCAGGACCCACCCCTGTCCTAGTGACCAGGACGACACACACACTGTCAGGACCCACCCGTGTCCTAGTGACCAGGACGACACACACACTGTCAGGACCCAACCGTGTCCTAGTGACCAGGACGACACACACACTGCGAGGACCCACCCGTGTCCTAGTGAAGACGACACACACACTGTCAGGACCCACCCCTGTCCAAGTGACCAGGACGACACACACACTGCCAGGACCCACCCGTGTCCTAGTGACCAGGACGACACACACACTGTCAGGACCCACCCCTGTCCTAGTGACAAGGACGACACACACACTGTCAGGACCCACCTGTGTCTGAGTGACCAGGACGACACACACACTGTCAGGACCCACCTGTGTCCTAGTGACCAGGACGACACACACACTGTCAGAACCCACCCCTGTCCTAGTGACAGGGACGACACACACACTGCCAGGACCCACCCCTGTCCTAGTGACCAGGACGACACACACACTGTCAGGACCCACCCGTGTCCTAGTGACCAGGACGACACACACACTGTGAGGACCCACCCATGTCCTAGTGACCAGGACGACACACACACTGTCAGGACCCACCTGTGTCCAAGTGACCAGGACGACACACACACTGTCAGGACCCACCTGTGTCCAAGTGACCAGGACGACACACACACTGCCAGGACCCACCCCTGTCCTAGTGACCAGGACGACACACACACTGCCAGGACCCACCCCTGTCCTAGTGACCAGGACGACACACACACTGTCAGGACCCACCCGTGTCCTAGTGACCAGGACAACACACACACACACTGTCAGGACCCACCTGTGTCCAAGTGACCAGGACGACACACACACTGTCAGGACCCACCCCTGTCCTAGTGACCAGGACGACACACACACTGTCAGGACCCACCCCTGTCCTAGTGACCAGGACGACACACACACTGCCAGGACCCAATCGTGTCCTAGTGACCAGGACGACACACACACTGCGAGGACCCACCCCTGTCCTAGTGACCAGGACGACACACACACTGCGAGGACCCACCCGTGTCCTAGTGACCAGGACGACACACACACTGCCAGGACCCACCCCTGTCCTAGTGACCAGGACGACACATACACTGCCAGGACCAACCTGTGTCCTAGTGACCAGGACGACACACACACTGCCAGGACCCACCCCTGTCCTAGTGACCAGGACGACACACACACTGCCAGGACCAACCTGTGTCCTAGTGACCAGGACGACACACACACTGCCAGGACCCAATCGTGTCCTAGTGACCAGGACGACACACACACTGTCAGGACCCACCCCTGTCCAAGTGACCAGGACGACACACACACTGTCAGGACCCACCCATGTCCTAGTGACCAGGACGACACACACACTGTCAGGACCCACCCCTGTCCTAGTGACCAGGACGACACACACACTGTCAGGACCCACCCCTGTCCTAGTGACCAGGACGACATACACACTGCCAGGACCCACCCCTGTCCTAGTGACCAGGACGACACACACACTGCCAGGACCCACCCCTGTCCTAGTGACCAGGACGACACACACACTGTCAGGACCCACCCCTGTCCTAGTGACAAGGACGACACACACACTGCCAGGACCCATCCCTGTCCTAGTGACAAGGACGACACACACACTGCCAGGACCCACCTGTGTCCTAGTGACCAGGACGACACACACACTGTCAGGACCCACCCCTGTCCTAGTGACCAGGACGACACACACACTGTGAGGACCCACCCCTGTCCTAGTGACCAGGACGACACACACACTGCCAGGACCCACCCCTGTCCTAGTGACAAGGACGACACACACACTGCCAGGACCAACCTGTGTCCTAGTGACCAGGAGAACACACACACTGCCAGGACCCACCCCTGTCCTAGTGACCAGGACGACACACACACTGCCAGGACCAACCTGTGTCCTAGTGACCAGGACAACACACACACACACTGCCAGGACTCACCTGTGTCCGAGTGACCAGGACGACACACACACTGTCAGGACCCACCTGTGTCCAAGTGACCAGGACGACACACACACTGCCAGGACCCACCCCTGTCCTAGTGACCAGGACGACACACACACTGCCAGGACCCACCCCTGTCCTAGTGACCAGGACGACACACACACTGCCAGGACCCACCCCTGTCCTAGTGACCAGGACGACACACACACTGCCAGGACCAACCTGTGTCCTAGTGACCAGGACAACACACACTGCCAGGACTCACCTGTGTCCGAGTGACCAGGACGACACACACACTGTCAGGACCCACCCATGTCCTAGTGACCAGGACGACACACACACTGCCAGGACCCATCCCTGTCCTAGTGACCAGGACGACACACACACTGCCAGGACCACCCCCTGTCCTAGTGACCAGGACGACACACACACTGCCAGGACCCACCCCTGTCCTAGTGACCAGGACGACACACACACTGCCAGGACCCACCTGTGTCCGAGTGACCAGGACGACACACACACTGCCAGGACCCACCTGTGTCCGAGTGACCAAGATGACACACACGCTCCTAGGACTCACCTGTGTCCGAGTGACCAGGACGACACACACACTGCCAGCACAGATATAGGACTGACACCACAAGATGGCTTCCTCCTGGGCCAGCGTCCCCGTGCTGCAGCTGTCCTTGATGTTAGCCTGGAAGTCAACTCGGCCATTCTCACACACCACGATGGGGAGGAAGTCTGTCTCCACCAGGATCCGAACGATGTCTGCACCGATCTGATGAAACACACAACATATAATAGTCAGGATAATATTGACACATATGGCATTATCTCAGTTCCACAAGGATGGGTCTGGTGATGGCTTGGATGTACATTTGGTGCCCATGATAAGTGAGGTGAGGTGAAATGGGGTTTAACGTCGCGTCTAAGATTATTGCACTTATATAGGGACGTGTATGCACGTATGTGGCTGCTTGTGATAGATCGGACTGATGCCGATTTATAGTGCTAGCTCACTGAGATACCATGCCACAGTTTAACATGAATACCCCACTCGGACACAGTATACTGACTCCGAGCCGACCAGTCCTTGTTTTATTACTTGCCCGTGAAGAGATCACCCGTTTAATAAACATACAGCTGTATTACACATTGTGTAATACCAAAATGCTTGCTTATGTACTCTCGGAACACGTTTCACGAAAAATATTGAAAGCTCTCAACATCCCTTGGCTTATTGAACGACATTGCGTGTGGAGATGATAGATCACTGAGAGGAGCTTAAGCACACTCGATGACCCCAGCAATCCTGTTGCTAGGCTGACGTCACATGGCATTGTTTCGCCGACGGATCTTGCAACAAAATTCCACAAATTACATCATCGGGTATTGTGACATGATTGTAAACTTTGAGGTGCAAGGCCCCGTTCCACAAGGCGATCGTGCTGTAGCGCAACGACAGTCGTTGGTCTAAGTTTAAATATGTGAGTTGCGATAACCTTAACGCTACGATATTTTTGTGGAACGGATGCCTGAATTCTAAAGGTAGACCGTTGTATGGTATTAAATTCATACGTTTCAACTTTTGACGTGTTTGAAGTATTATTCTGTTAAACTCAATTGTATTATGCCATGGATCGTGTAGGTGTCAGCCTATTCACACTCGACAGTATAATTCTAAAAACATTTTAAATGGCAAGTAATAAATAAAATACTAAACTCGCTACCGTGTAAAACCAATTTGATGAAACTCGTCAGATACCAAAACTATTCACTCGTTTCATAAAATTGGTATTACACGGGACCTCATTTAGTATTCTATATTTAGCCCCTTAATGCCTAGTGCAAGACAGGGTAACAACAAGTACCATCTTTTAACGTCTTTTGGTATGACGCTGACGGGGATCGAACTCCGGACCTTCCGCTCTCCGGGCGGACGCTCTACCACTAGACCACAGAGGCGGTCCCCTGTGATAAGTGTTAAATTGATTGCTATTTTCACTTGTCCACAAAACCAGTCTGCTACAGCGGCGCCATCTACCGAATGGTTAAAGAGGTAGTTCATATGACACTGGTCTTACATGACGTTGACTTGTCTCAAACCAAGCAGAGAAGAGGACTTCTGTTAATTTTGAACCCTGATTATTCATTATGAATTCAACATGTGGATCTGATGTTTAAATAACAGAACTTATTCCAAATGCTGACATTGAAAAAGGTAAATTATGTTGGCTACAAAATGAGCTTCGGTTACTACACGTTAAATGAGAGTAACAACAACAGCCAGGTGGTTCCTGGTGACGAAACCAAACACATGACATATTAGTTTTTCATCTAAGGTGACAAATGTTTTGCTTTATATAGAACCAGGGGTTAAAACATCTGTCATGATAACTGTACTTGTGTATGTTGAAAATGGTCACTCTTAACCCCAATTTGGAAATTTGAATTTGAAGACCAGTTGTCTGTGATTGAATGGGCACCTGAGTATTGCATTCTGGGCCTTCTGTTTTAAGCACGTGCTTCTGCCACCCCATCATTCACCTGATGAAGTTGCCCTGATATGTACATTGTATATACAATGAACTTTTTATCCACAATGTTTGCCTTTCCAAATGTGGAACCAAAAAAGCCCAGCCTTACACATCGCTGCAGAATGTCAAGCTGAATATTAGAAAGAAGAAATTAGAATATCTAAACCTCTTAGCACATTCAGAGCCTGATACTTGGAGATAACCATCATCACCATGGTGACATATATATAACCATCATCACCATGGTAACATATATAATTAAGCAAGATAAAAAGCACTACTCACATGTTTTTTCTTAGCTTTATCAAAATTGGTTGTGTCTGAGGTCCATGACTTTAATTGCTGAAAATGAATCAAACAGCTGTATGAGTAAAAGGGTCATGATTAATACATAACGAGAGTAGTTCAAGAGAGTGGTCAGCTGAGGTGGACATAGGGGAGAGTTGGGATGGCTTGATTCACCTACAGGTATATAAAACATGCACAAGTGCAACCTATTATTGAAAAATGCAACCTAATATTTATGTCTATATGCACAAGGTGAGGTGAAATGGCGTTTAACATCGCGTCCAAGGTTATTGCACTTATATAGCGATGTGCATGCACGTGTATGTGTGTGTGTGGCTGCTTGTACTAGTCCGGACTGATGCCGATTTATAGTGCTAGCACACTGAGATACCTTGCCACAGTTTAACATGAATACCCCACTCAGACACAGTATACTGACTCCGAGCCGACCAGTCCTTGTTTTAGCTCCTTAATGCCGAGTGCCAGACAGGGTAACAACAAGTACCATGTTTTAACGTCTTTTGGTATGACGCGGCTGGGGATCGAACCCCGGACCTTCCGCTTTCCGGGCGGAAGCTCTACCATAAGACCACGGAGGCGGTCTCCTATATGCACAAAGTGTGTGCCTTTACAAGTAACAGTAATAGTTTATTAAGTGGTCTGCAATCATTTTCTTCGCTCAGAACGGGAAGTGCTAGTTTAAAACATACGTTTCTCGGTCGCTACATTGGTTCCATGGGTTCCCCACATTGGGTTTTAGCATTGCTTGCTGTATCAGGTCGAGCTCCAGCCACCCATAATGTAAGTTTATCTATCAGCTAAGAACCTTTTGAATATGTTTTGAATGTAAATCATGTCATATTTTTGGTATATTCAGTATGTGAGTATGTGAGTGAGTATAGTTTTACGCCGCTGTTAGCAATATTCCAGAAATATCACGGCGGGGGACACCAGAAATGGGCTTCACACATTGTACCCATGTTGGGAATCTAACCTGGGTATTCGGCGTGACAAGCGAACGCTTTAACCACTAGGCTACCTGACTGCCCCTGTTCAGTATGTGATAATCTTAGTGTAATGTAGCATCAGAAAACGTGTAGATTTTTATGATGTGAAGGTAAAACTTCAACATAGGTTATTATACATGTTCACTGTATAGGGCTAAGCTTAATGACTTCTCTACACATCTTTCTTTGCTAGGACGGTTCTGATTTGTATAAAGTTTCAGTCTACCACACGCTAGGAAAGTAGCTACATACATGTGTTTTCCTTATTTCAAAAGGAGTAATTCATTTGCATTATTTTTGTGTACCCTTTTACAAATTACCAATCCCTGTATTGTATTGATTGTCATCCAGCTGTGGGTACTTCCAGAGTATGTGACATGTTCCTATTAAATTCTACAGCAATACGTTATTACTTTACAGACACGGGCATCAGACCAGCCTGTGTTTCAACTTTGATAAATTTATGGGACCAGGGTGCAACCTGGTTTAGTCTGGTGCAACTTGGTTTTCATGTCAACATTCACCTGGTGCAAGTTACATCAAGTTCCTTAAATAGAGCCCTAGTAGGGTTTTATGCTGCTTTAAGACACTAGCAGGAATATCGCTGTCGGGGACACCAGATATATGCTTCACATATTGTATCAGTGTGGGGAATAGAACTCAGGTCCTGTCCAATAGTCTTATAATAACAAGCAAAACACTGCTGATCCACATAGTGAAAATGTTCAGTACAGCAACAGCCCTCATGAATACAGGAAACTGCTCATCGTGTAACACTTAGACTGTGCACAGTCTTCATGACCTTACCTAACTCATTTCAAAATGCCTTAATTGGCATCTGCTGCTTTAGATTTTATGGATGTTTGATCACATGTCAACATGGTGAAGCAGCTGAACTTAACTTTGTGAAGAATTAGTGAGTATGGTTTTAAGCCGCTTTTAGCAATATTCCAGCAATATCACGGCGGGGGACACCAGAAATGGGCTTCACACATTGTACCTATGTCAGGAATAGAACCCGGGTCTTCGACGTGACGAACGAACGCTTTAACCACTAGGCTACCCGACCGCCCTAACTTTCTGATGATATGATTCTACAAATGTTCCATTTAAGTGCAATACCCAATACTATATCATGCAGCAGCAGAAACTAACATTTTTAGTCCACTAGTCCTTATAATAACAACATATAGCAAAAGCCTTAAAAAAGGCAAATTTCTACTAGCCTTTATGATACATAACTATTAAGCAGTTTGGCAAGGACTACAGGAATAGTGCCAATTGATAAGGCTGTATATGTGTATTCTAAGTCTACAGTCTTGGTGTTATCAAATGATGACTTATTTTGAACATGTTGAAAGTTCAACTGCAGGACCACTTGCATTAATTTTCATGCCCACACTTTAGACCAAAGCCTGAGATCTCAACAATTTTTGCATGCGATATAGGACTGGCACCACAAGATGGCTTTTGCATGCAGTAATTTAATGATTTACAAAATTACTATATCTATCTATGATCAGATGGACCCGTGAAAATCCAAGGTAGAATAGGTCTACAGCAACCCATGCTTGCTGTAAAAGGCGACTATGCTTGTCGCATAAGGTGACTAACAGGATCGGGTTGTCAGGCCTGCTGACTTGGTTGATGCATGTCATCATGTCCCAATTACGTTGATCGATGTTCATGAAGTCAATCACTGGATTGGCTGGTCCAGATTTGATTATTTACAGACCGCCGTCATATAGCTGGAATATTGCTGAGTGCGGCATTAAACACCAAACAAACAAAACAAAAAGAATATCCATAGATATTAGCCTTCTTTTAGTAAACTTTGGTATTCACGCCATGTAGATTATACACTAATGTAACAAACATTATCAGATGATGACATCATCATTATCAGTGAGTAGCTTTTGACTTAGATCAGTCAATCCATTAACTGACAATACAAAGCACATGTGACCTGTTTGTTCTGTACTGTGAGATACTCCTCCTTTGTGGGGCTCCAAACAGTGGGGCAGGTAATCTGGATGCCATGACGCAGTGACCAACTCCTGGTCAGTTTCTGGTCAGACAACTGCAACAAGAACATTCAAACACTTCAAACACAGAGCTCCATAGACTTTGTTCGTAATAAACATTATTGTGTTCTTTTGTTTTTTAAACAAATTTTTAAACTACCAGAATTCATGGCGTAGATATGGTTCATGTAAATCTTTCTCACAGGACCTTTTGATCATTTCAGGTTATTCATTATTTGACAGGTAACCCTGTCATCATGGTCTTTATGAATATGACTACAAGCAATGCATTATGTTGGCACTCCCTTGATTTTGTGTCCATTTATTGTTAATATCAAAATATTCCATATTCATGTTAATTATTATCAGTGGGACTAAACAATGTAAACATTCATCAGAGCCATAGGACACATACTTCATTTACTTAACTTCAGTAACCCATGCTTGCCGCAAGAGGCGACTATGATTGTCGTAAGAGGCGACTATGATTGTCGTGAGAGGCGACTATGATTGTCGTGAGACTGAGAGGCGACTAAAGTGACCAGGTGGTCAGGCTCTCTGATTTGGTTGTCATTGTATCCCGGTTTGCTTGGATTAATGTTCATGACATCAATCACAGGATTGTTTGGTGCAGCCTTGATTATTTACAAACTGCTATCAGTATCACAGAGGAATATTGCTGAGTGCAGCGTTAAACAACAAATAAACAAACAAACTTAATTTAACTACTGCTGGAATTTATCTAGAATTCCAACCTAAGTCGTCTTCACAAACAAACTTGGAAAAATCAATATTTTGTTCAAATCATTTTCAGAGATATTTTAATTTCGGCAACCATGTTAAGAATGACTATTAACATTGTATTCAAATATGTAACGATGTCAAACTAAGTACTGCACCCTTTCCCTCTGTCATGTCTATATTGATCCTGTTATTCCTCTATATCATGTCTATATTGATCCTGTTATTCCTCTATATTGGTACTGTTAGTAGTGAAATACAAGGCATCTCAACATCAACATAACATTAGTTACAACTATAACAGCATGAACATGATAAGACTCAGTTGTGAAATGTTTAAGTTTAAGTAAGGATAAGATATATGGATGAACAACTTCTTTATTACAATTAGGAGCTGAGTGGATGTACTTGTTTTCCAGGTTGTTGAGTTGGTTGATTGATGTGATTGCAACTTTGTGATTGCCACATTCATCCATATATCTTATCCCTGCTTAGTACTCCAACTTCTAAATGCCTCTCAAAGAAGTGAAATGATTAATTCCAATAGGGAAATTTTACTGATATTTGCTGCAGATGTCGGGCGAAATATCCGCTTCGAAGCTAAATCCCTGTATTGAATACCTTAAATTACGAACTACTTCATGGTGTAAATATGTTAAAAAACAATGGCTTATGTATTCATGATCGACACTGATACAGATAGGCAATAACGTACAACACATTATGCTTTTAGATCTTTATTATTATAACATTTTAGTATTTGACCTGACACATTCTGGATTTCAGATTGGTTCATTGTCAAGGACATGGACTGATTGTCATAAAATCTTTCTTTGTAAAACTCAAGAGTTGAAAAATCATGAATCTGTCCCACAGTAATGGCATTTGTCTGCAGAAATATCACTGCATGCCACTCAAACGGTTTTATTAGCTTTTCTTTGATGTCATGACTAGTCAATTATTTTATAGAAGTCGTTGACATTTTTACACAAAACGCAACCTCTTAAGCAGTGTCTGAAACATATTAAGTGTCCCGTTTGATGCACGAAAATAAGGGTCATTCCCATCAAAACACACGTGGATGTCGTTTTCCAGTATGTTAAAACTGCTCATCATCAATAGATATACACTGTAATCTACCTTATATTCATTTATGAAACCGGTCTTCGATGTTATGATCACTGCATTTGGTTTTTCTCCCTTTTCTATCCCAATTAGTGCGGATTCTTCTGATAACTTGGCAAGAGAAAACCCATCCGCGAGCGCCGCCATATTGTAACTCCGCACTGAATGGAAACTCGTTTATCCATTCCGACATCCAGCTGAATGAGTCGTGTGCACAACGAGATGTGAAGATGTCACTGCCATGTTTTAAACAGGATAATTTTCCTTACGCCCATCGTAGCGCAAAGATCACTTTTAGTCTGGCAAAGGCGAATCTATATATAGTTTGTGAAACATAAATAAAATAATTTGGAACAGTTGTAAATTCCATACGTACATAACTTTGTTTTTGTTTGATATATCAAACTACTATTAAACTACATGACACATTGAAGAAAATTATTTCAAGAAATAATTTATTTTTTTTCTTTGCAATAAATGTGACGTTTACTTAAGAAATAAACGACGAGTGGAAGTTGTTTATGGTTGATTAAAACACTGCAGGGAGAATAAACTGTGGGGGCGCAGCCCCGAGAGGTTAATTCTCCCTGCAGTGAGACCAGTCTCCGTAGAGTCCATTCAGTGCAAGTTAAGAAACTGTAAGTATTGCTCTGCGTGAAATAAAGACATTCTCTTCATGAAAATTAGGTATTCAAGGGAGGTTTGCTGTGGCATGACTGTTTGTTCCGTGTATAAAAAAATAATTCAGGCACTGTTCTTCAAATCCGTAACGGCTGTTTTTGGTATAGCGTCTATGACAGGAAAAATGACATAAGATAGACCAGCCTCCTTGACATTCTGCTAGCTCTATCCTGCCATCAACGACGACACACAACATGGGGAACAGCTGTTGTTTTGACGTCAGTGTGTGCACGTTATATATAGGTGGTTTCAGTGTTAAAATATTGTTAAACTCAACAGGGAAAACCGATTATTGAACACAGAGCTCACGATGTTTGATCTTGGATTTCACAGACAACAACCTCTTGTACATATGTATAATTTGCTATAATTCACGTAACATGAAAAACATAACCATTACAAATTTGGTAGTTCATGAAAGTATATGACGAAGTAAGATGACAGTATACCACCAATGGTACAAGACAAAGTTAAGAGTCGTTTTGGGGCCACCGAAGAATTGGATTCTGTGAAAGGTAGCGTTAATTGAGTCAGATATAGAATTTATCAGTAGAACATTTAATGAGTTCATTGTTGAAAACAAATATTTGATTTTTATATTAGGGCGCTCCAATGACAGGTGTTTGATTGTCCTGGATGAAGTATTGACAGGCAGAGGGAAAATCTTAAGATTAGGGAATACGTGTTTGATCTTCCTTGTATATTATTGAAAGACAACCTTCACCAGTCTATACGGGAATTAAGGAGTCGAACTCGGAAGATGACCCTGGTCAACCGAGAAAGTCCTGAAATGAAGAACTTAAGTCGACTCTGATACCGTGCACTTCCGAATAAACGATAGAACAGGATCACAAAGACACGCCCCCCCCCCCCCCCCCCCCCCCCCCAACAAGATCCGCCACAGCCAAGTTCAACATCACCCTAGAACGAGATAGATTTCAGGAAAGAAGGTAAGGGGCTTCAAGGAAAACCCCAAAGGATTGAAGAGCAATTCTCTGATGACATTAGTGACTGCATAAGAGAGGTTAGACAAGTAAGGAAAACGAAATGTTAGAAAACAGGTACTAAAATGCAACATAGTGGCGAACAATGCTATGTGAATAAAATCTTTAAAAACTTTTCAAAATCATAAGAAATGGTAAATCAGCATGTCTGGTGATGTTTTATAGCAAATTGTCATTGAACAAGTTGGTGACCTGTTTGTCCACCTGAAGCTTTTGATTCCGACTCTGTAATAAGCATGTGTTAATAATTCTCTCTGCTGTGTGCCTATTCCGCTTCTTTACCGGATCCTCGGATCCACAGATCACCAGATCCACGAGATGCTTCAGAAGCAATGAGATCGTGAGGGAGACAATAACAGCTATCATAGACGATGTATCAGTAGTACAGTGTGATGTTAACATAGATTTATGGGTGAACCTGTCTGATAGTTAATTCCAGTTAACGTATGGCGTGTATATGTTTGGAGTGATATAGATATATAGTATATACCCACCATCGAAGTTCTCCAATGTTGACATATGTCAACAAATTGAAAGTAGTTTAGCTGGTTCAGTTATATTGACTTGAGCATCCTCACTGGTGGTTTATATGCGAGGACAAGAACTTTACTGGGTTATTCTTCAACTGGTAGAACTATATATATATATATTGCTGAAGATTTAGATCTTCATATTGATGCTATGAGGCAAGAATTAGAACCGGAGTTGGATCTTCGGGCTTAAATGTTAATCCATCCCAAGATGTAGGCCTAATAACTACGCCTTTACTCAGTGAGTGAGTATTGTTTTACGCCACTTTATCATTATTCCAGCAATATATCACGGCGGGGGATACCAGAAATGGGCTTCAAACATTGTACCCATGTGGGGAATCGAACCTTGGTCTTCGGCGTGACGAGCGAACGCTTTAACCACTAGGCTGCCCGACCGCCCAACTACGCCTTTTGTCTGACTGGGTTGTGTCATAATTTGTTCATTTGTAACGAAATATTTAGTTTGTTAGAAACGTTAAAGATGATATGACATTGTTCATTTTCCCCTTGTCAATTAGTATCATTGTACTTGGAATCGCTGGCTTAGATACCTAAATAATCAATTGTAATCGTCTTGCTGCCGCTTTTTATATATAGGACTTATATCATGTCTATAGCAATGTGCCACCCCGAACCAAGGTGTTTCTTCTGAGTAATAAAGAGTGAGTGAGTTTGGTTTAACGCCGCTTTTAACTTTATTCCAGTTATATCACGGCGTGTCAGCTTAATGTGGGAGGAAAGCCCGAAGTGATGCAGGTCTCAGACGTTTGCCATTTCGGTGAAACCCACGAGCACGGGTATGGTGCTGACAAACCTAGAAACATAATCGGTTCGAACCGGGATTCGAACCCACAATATAGCTTTCTGGCGTGCCCAAGGGACGCAACTCTGCACAGCGAATCGCGCCCCCCTAGACGAGTGGGCCACCCGTGCCCCCTGAGTAATAAAGAGAAGTAAGTGATCGAGTCGTTTTACCGGTACATTACTTCGCTCTGCACAGTTGCATCAGTTGCCATGATGCGGACTGGCATGTTGATGACCATTAGTTTGTCAGCACCACGCCCGTGATCGTGGGTTTCACCAAATATGTAAACACCTCAGAATTGCATCATCCCTTCCACATTAAGCTGACACAGCGATAAAACTGAAATAACATCTCAAGCAGTGCCGAATACCAGCTCATCCACTCATTGTCTATGAGTGAGTGAGTTGGGTTTAACGCCGCTTTTAACAGTATTCCAGTCATATCACGGCGTGCCAGCGATGTCGGAGGAAAGCCCAGGGTTGCAGGTCTCAGACGTTTACCACTTCGATGAAACCCACGAGCACGGGTATGGCGCTGACAAACCTAGAAACATAATCGGGGCGAATCGGGATTCGAACCCACAACCATAGGTTTCTGGCGTGCCCAAGGGACGCAACTCTGCACAGCGAATCGCGGCGCCATAGACGACTGGGCCACCTGTGCCTCCCATTGTCCATGGCCGTGTCCGAAGTCATGTTGATTTAATGTCATGAAGGGGAGCTGCCAACTGTTTTTGTCAGGGCTTATCCATGTTCTTATTGCAGCTCTAAACTCAACATCACTCGCTCTCCATATCTAAGGGGGAAGATAAGAAACGCCAGCCCGTTTCTATCCACATTCAGGAAAGGGACACAAAGCAAAATTCAACCACGAGGGCAACAAACCAAGGAGACAGTGATACATAAAAGAGGTTTATTTCGAATTCGAAAAACCAATGAAGACGAACGTGCGTTTCGTTCCGTTTTAATAAAACTACTTATAGACTATAAGTAAAATATAGAATATCTGAAAATATTAAACAAGCAAAGAATATGCGGCACAAAATATATTTTGAAACAATTTGTTTCAAGAATTATGAAATGTTTTCAGAGTTTTTCATGCAAAGTGTGAGCACACCAGGGATGAGTTTATATATATTTTTAAATATTCCTTTTGAAAACAGCCACTGCGTCCAGTCTAACCTGTACTTTGTACGTGAAACATCAAGAACTCACTGACAAGTATACCGATAAACACAAGTTGGAGATATAGTAGCACCTAGTTGTCGGGGTGGTTAACACACAACAAACGGGCTACAGGGCGTGAGCTGATGGCTGTTTATTCTCTCAGAAGAGGTGAGGTGAGGTGAAATTGGGTTTAACGTCGCGTCCAAGATTAATGCACTTATATAGCGACGTGCATGCACGTGTGTGTGTGGCTGCTTGAACTAGACTGGACTGATGCCGATAACAACAAGTACCATCTTTTAACGTCTTTTGGTATGAAGCGGTCGGGGATCGAACCCCGGACCTTCCGCTCTCCGGGCGGACGCTCTACCACTAGACCACGGAGGCGGTCCCTCTCGGAAGAGAAAGGTGAATAAATACGGCCTGCAACAATGTATAAATAATAAGACATATTGCATACAAGACATAGAATATTGACATTGTTATAACATACATATTGGCCTTAAATCTAATGGACATTCAATTATATGAACTTCAAATAGCGAGAAACCTATGTTACACATGTAGGGGGGTAACCTGCACAATGATATGATAATATAATATGCTTATGACCCTATAATCAGTTTAAACTAAACATAAACCATGTCTCCTGTCATAACACTAGACAGGTACAATACTATATGATCATTACAAAGATATACGCAGCATATATATAGATGCACACATTTATACAGTCATGAATAACACCAAAAACAATACATACCAGATTGGTGAAACCTGTGCCGTGTCACCAAGGCTTCCAAGATTGTACCAGTTACATATGCACTGACAAAGTATAAACTAATTCAGATACTATTTACACTATAATTATACACAACACATAAGTAAAATAGGTATTTAAAATAAGGATTGATCAAATTACTTAAATAATGCACTTTCACACATACGCATACATTCTTATACACAATTAACATAATTACCTTAATGTGATATGAGGTATAGAATTACTACAGTTTATTTAGGGTTTAGTTTTATTTAGTTAATGTTCAAGTTAAGATGATAATAGCCTAGGATAAATTAGCTATTTATCAATTAAAGAAACTGCTTTATAATACTTTATCATATAAAATAATCGCAACCAGAATACACTGAACTGTGAATTCAATACACAACCTGATTAGCATTAAACCAAGCACAACTTATTTCTAACTTTAAGAATTAGAAATACACAAATACATGAAGTATCACACAGGAAATATACTACGACTAACCTTCAAATCCATGAAATAATCACATCTATTGGATCCATGAATACAAGACAAGATCCATTCAAAATATATACAAAATGACTGTGAAGTACATACGTCAAGTGTAATCTGGCAACTGCCCCAGATCACAAGCAAACAAAGGTATACCTGTGGTCAGCTGTGAGTGACCACAGAGAACAATACAGTACTCTATGCGCGGGGTGGGATACTAAGTGCTGTGGGTGAAAAGCATGCAGTGGTATGGTTAGTCAAGGCTGGATAAATAATAGACTGAATGAATAAATAGATAAGCTATGGTATTAATATTTAAGTTGAAATACAATTATATGGCAAAAGTAAGACATAGTAAATAAACTATGAACTTAATTCAAATATGAATAGAATGTGTATAAAACTATAGCTAAAATAGACTTAAAACCTAACTTGTATGTACAAAATATTACTCTGCCATAGAGACAATTACATTGTTTGCAGAATAATGCGAACCCACGATGGTGTTTATGACAAAGTATTGAGTGTTTTTTTCAGTCTGATATTCCAAAAGCTATTATCACCAAATAAGGATGATGATCAGTTGCAGCTCAGAAGAGTGAGTTAATGAAGGTTAATGGTTGTTAATGGCAACGCTTAATGATCCTACTTTCTGTTTAGGTATTTAATCTTCCCTGCATGATTCACATACATTAACTCCTACAAATTAACCACAAAGCAGTTGCATGTAATCCATATATATCCTCATGCAAAAATGAATGCTTTGATGTTGCTGCCATCGCACACAAACAGTGAACCTTTCCTGTCTACACACAGACCTTGTGCCAGTGTGATACCATCCCGTGAGGTGAGAACATCCCTGACGAACTCTCCCGATTCCGTCAGCTGTAAGACTTTATTATCGTTAGCTAACAGGATATCACCGGTGTACGTAGTTGCAATGCCTCTTGGGTTGGATAGAGCTCTATCTCCAGTAGGTTTGTAAACACCTACATTTCCATCCGGGGTCAGACAAGTCACAGACTTCTTACACCAATCAGAGACAAGTATGTTGCCATAGTTGCAGACACACATATAGCCGGGCCACATGAACAGTGTGTCATCGTTGTGTGTAGTAAATGTCTTCACTACCTGGTACTTCGTATTCAGGATGTCCACACTTCCGATGCCACCTGCTACTAGTGATGAAGGATTCGGAAAAGCAAGACTAGTGTACGACCTGCTTGTTGCAATGGTTGACGAAAGCACTAAGTCGGGGGTGACGTTTACTACTGCTAGCTGTCCAGTCACAGTACACATCACCTGGTTCTCGCTCAGCTTCGCTATTCCTCTTGGAGCATTCTCAAAGGAAAGTTTACTACTACATGACTGGTAGTTCCTATCAAAGAAGGATTTCAAACATGTGTTGGTTGTGTCAGAAACAACGACTGTCTCTCTGCCGTTAACTGAGAGAACAGTAATGTCAAGTAGAAAAGGATCTTTCATGTCACTCTCATCAGTCCTTGAGTCAATTGTCTTATACATTTGAGGGACAGATATCAGATTAGAATCACCGTTGTATTTTAAGCTGATCTTCCCGAGTTGTATGTCCATAATGTCGGTGTTTTCAGTAAAATCAATTCTCTCTATTCGTTCTCCATCTTCTTTGTCTCTCAAGTTACTGAGCTTGTCTGTCTCTGTGCTCATACATGCAATATAAAGCTCCATATGATTCCCTGCGTGCAATGTCCTCTTCATAAACTCACGATGCTGTTGGTGCATTTGCAACTCAATCTCACTGGTCTTAAGATGAGCTTGAGTGGGAGCTAACAGTTCTTCTAATTCACTAATTTTCTTTTTTTTCTTTTCCTCAATTTCTCTAATTGCTGCCTCTGTGACAGAGATAATTCTTTCCTTCACGGAATCTGCAATAGAGTTGGCCATTGCCATGTCAACCTCCAACACAGATACCTTCTTTGTGAATAGGTCAACTTTTGCGGATGTTTGAGCAACTTTTCGTGAAATAAATATTTCCATTTGCGATTTCATGGATTCAATGGTGACAAGAGATGAACACGTCCTGTGGTAGAGAATGCAGCATGTCCCACAGGCGGACGTCTGACAGTTGTTACAATGGAACTCGATACATTTCTGTTTGTGTTCTTTACACATGACTCTGCACCTGTCATTGCTAGAAATGGTCTCTGTCAAGTCACGAAGGGTATGGGTGTGACTACCCAGGTGACTACGCCCACACTTTGTACAGAATAAAGTATCGCACTCCATGCAATGCTTCCTTTTTGCACCTTGCTTTTTGCAGACAGAGCACTGACGTGCAGGGCAGCCTCCTACAACATGAAAGAGCATTTAATATACAGTAAACTACGGTTATAACGAACACGCTTATAACGAACTGACGGATATAACGAATTCATTCTTTGGTCCCGGCCATTTGCTGTATATATGTTGTATATATGCTTATAACGAATTACGGTTATAACAAACTAAACTTAGCTATCCCTTTGAGTTCGTTTTATCCGTTGTTTACTGTAGTCATAAACGAGGTGATATATTTGACAGTATCAGTGTATGTTCTTTATTGGAACAGTGGGTCACATAGCAATGATTCCAACCTACCATCTTAATCATAGTGTCCTACAGAGCTTTAATGTACCAGAGGTTCACATAAGTATGTAGTTACTGGTATTAGGCTTCCTGACCAAACCGATGTTAACTTAACATCTGGAGCATAGTTTCCTTCACAACTTTATTGTGTCAGAGGGGCGGTCGGGTAGCCTAGTGGTTAAAGCGTTCGCTCGTCACGCCGAAGACCCGGGTTCGATTCCCGATATGGGTACAATGTGTGAAGCCCATTTCTGGTGTCCCCCGCCGTGATATTGCTGGAATATTGCTAAAAGCGGCGTAAAACCATACTCACTCACTCTTTATTGTGTCAGAGGGTCACATACTTATTTGTGTTTTGTGTTATTTTGGTATAAAGGTTCATGTACAACAATGATGTCGACCTACCGTCTGAAGCATGGTTTCCTTCGGAACTTAGGGATTCAATCAACCCCTGTATAATGATGCTTGGTTTGATCTGGGTGACCCACTCCCCTACAGGTCTGCTGGGGTCGGGCACCTTGGTATCTTGTCGACAGCAGGGGCAGGGGATCGACTTAGACTGTACCGCACCTGATTTTGTTTCAACAAATTTGAGAAGACAGCCCTGACAGAACGTGTGACCGCAGTTCAGAGTGCACGGGTGTGTGTACACATTGAAACAGATTGCACATTTCAGGAATTTATCCGTTAAATCCTGGGGGGTCGCCATCTGCAGAGAAAAAATAAACAAAATAGATATATGTCAATACCTGTATTTGACCATTTCCTGTATCTATACTTTATCACAAGAAAGAAGCACATATTCTACCAGGGCGTCAGCCTGTCATTATAATCATTCTTATCCACTATTTGTGTTAATTTATCATGTATTGACCGTGCATATGTTCATAGCCTAAGAGGGGGGCACGGGTGGCCCAGTCGTCTAAGGCGCCGCGATTAGCTGTGCAGAGTTGCGTCCCTTGGGCACGCTAGAAACCTATGATTGTGGGTTCGAATCCCGGTTCGCCCCGATTATGTTTCTCGGTTTGTCAGCACCATACCCGTGCTCGTGGGTTTCACCGAAGTGGTAAACGTCTGAGACCTGCATCACTTCGGCCTTTCCTCCCACATTAAGCTGACACGCCGCGATATAACTTGAATACTGTTAAAAGCGGCGTTAAACCAAACTCACTCACTCACTCATAACCTAAGATTTGCGTCACTTCGGAGTTTTCTCCAACATCAAGCTGACAGGCCGTGACATCACTCAATTATTGTTTGAAGCGGCGTTACACCTTCCTTACTCACTCACTTACTTACACTCTCACACACTCAAGCCTACCCACCCATATGGTCATCAGAACTGAATTCTGGGATTGTTGAAAATGGCGTCCATGAGAATTGACAGGAGTACAGCTGTACGGCGTCAGTCAACAAACAAACACTTACTTTGTTTACACAAATTATGTGATTGGCGGGTGCTGCCAGTAGAGCAGAACATGCTCTACATATACAGAAAATGCTCTGTTGTTCAGGACGCTGGTTGTCTAATGTGATAGCTGACAGTGTACAAACTGTAATCGTGGTGAAATTGTGGAAGATAGCCATGTATTTAGATGTAACATATCAGATATTAGATGTAAAAATATGTAACTTTGAAAACAGTTATTAACCAAACATTGCTCATCATTACACATGTAAACAGGGACCGCCTCCGTGGTCTAGTGTAAGAGCGTCCGCCCGGAGAGCGGAAGGTCGGGGGTTCGATCCCCGGCCGCGTCATACCAAAAGACGTCAAAAGATGGTACTTGTTGTTACCCTGTCTGCCGCTCGGCATTAAGGAGCTAAAACAAGGTCTGGTCGGCTCGGAGTCAGTATACTGTGTCTGAGTGGGGTGGGTATTCATGTTAAACTGCGGCATGGTATCTCAGTGAGCTCGCACTATAAATCGGCATCAGTCCGGACTAGTAGAAGCAGCCACACAAACACACACACGTACATGCACGTCGCTATATAAGTGCAATAATCTTGGACGCGACGTTAAACCCCATTTCACAACCTGTAAACAGGGGCTTGTTATTTTACAGCCAAAGCAACTATGCACAGTCAGAGTTGTTTAATAATGTATTTTACAATCACTAGAAGTCATTTTACGAATGTTTCATTCACTATTGCAAGGCGAGGTTGTGTCCCTTGAAGCCATTGTATGCAAACGCCAATACCACATTGTGTCCCGGATAAGTTTATTGGATTGGATCATCGCATGGATATAAATATCAATCATATGACAAATTATAAACATGGAAGTGTGTTGTCAAAAGAAGATCTTTCCTACACCAAGTATTATTTAGGAAACAAAGCAGAGACCCAGGTGCCATGAAATCAACATAACGAAAGTAGAAGTATGCATGCTGCAATGACACACAAAACAAGTATGTATGGAAATGTGTTTGTTCAGTTCATCTGTTAATGACCAGAGAAATGAGTTTACTTTACAAGAAATACACCCCGGGTACACAGGGAGACTTATACTCTAAGATGGCAATGAAGCTGACATGCATACGTGTTTGTATATGTTAAGAGATGAACGAAAATGGGCACTGTCTTACCTTCCGGTAACGTAGTGTCAAGATAACATCACGTGATCATGCTCTGTCACGTGATGTCGTTTCCACACCCACATCAATCCATTATGACAAGCGTGCAACGTACGTGACATTTTATGACTGCATACCAATAAGCCTGGCGACAGGTTTTAGTGTTGTGTTGCAGTGTGTGGCATTAAATAGAAGATATAATTAATTTCTTTGTGTGTTCGAGTGACCGGACACAGTTGACATGTACACGAGTGAAAATCTTAACTTTGTCAGGACACGAGATGAGATAAACATGTTACGACAGTAAAAGAAAAATATATTGTTTGTTGTGTAGTTTGACATGTTGATACTCAAAGATATAAATGAAGTATACAATTTAATAAAGCCAGAACGTGACATATTATCGGATTTGATATTGAATAAGTATGTGTGTTGAACATCATAAGCTGAAAGTCCTACTCAGATTTGACTACTCCGTATTGATCTCTGACATGGTCTGTCAATACCTGTTGAAGTGTCTGGCCTTAATTGCTATGTGTGCCGTTAATAGGCATATGCGACCTGACCAATCATAATATCTAGGGCAATATTTTTATCCTTTCATCATGATTAATGTTTCACTAAATACAAGTTAATCCTGAAATACCGAACTCTTTGAGACCAGCAGGTCCCAAAATAGAACAGGAGTAAGTGAGTTCGGTTTTACGCCACGTTTAGCGATATCCCAGCAACATCACAGCGGCTAGCACAAGATCTAGAAATGGGTGTCAAACTATCTTCCAATCTGGCAATTGAATCCGGGCCTTTGGCGTGACCAGCGGTCACCATTTAACTACCACATCGCCCCTAAGATAAAACATACATGAACAGTAATGGAACCTAGGAACAGTGTTTATTATTAAATAATATTCGCAAAATATCCGGCGTTGAATGTACATTTCCAATGTTATTTCACCGTTGACCAAACTTACTTTTGTCCCAAATGAGAATAACAGAAGTTTTATCATTATAGTAATACGGGGCGGTGGGGGAGCCTAGTGGTTAAACCGTTCGCTGGTCACGCCAAAGACTGGTTCGATTCCCCGCATGGGTACAATGTGTGAAGCTTATTTCTGGCGTCCCCCGTCCCCAGTGTTTTGAATAAGATGTCGGTCTGAATTTAAGGAATCACCAATAACAACCGTTAAACAAAATACAGCACTCTATATGCTCAAGCAGTTTGTTTTCACCGTAATACATCATTCGAACTTATGACAGGCACTTAAAGCGTGTAGCACGGCAACTTCATGAGCTAACATGAGGTGGGCACCCCTAAAGAAAACTAAACAAACCTTGCAAAGGTTTCGTTCTTCATTGATTGTGAAGCAAAATAAACTAGTGTCCAAAAGAAACGATACCACCTGTTTGCAACGACATAAAAGAAAAACTAAACAATGCAGAAGTTTAGGATTGGTGTTATGCTTTTGAGAAATCCTTTCACAACATCTGTACAAAAATTTCATTTCAATTAAATCTGTACAACCAATATGACAAGCCTTTAAAGATGGGTGAGGTCGAAAAATGAACACTGATCACAGAAACAACGGGAAATGTCACACCACACGTCTCAAAGTCAAGTCAGTAGCGGGTATGTCCACCGTGAGCATCAATACATGCCAGAACACGCCTACGGACTGATGACGTCAAACGTCTGATGACGTTGGGAGTGATGCGTTGCCATTCCTCGAGGAGACATCGTTCCAAGTCCTGGACGTTGGAGGCACACGGCGACGTCGGATTTGCCGATCGAGGTGGTCCCATAAGTGCTCGATGGGATTCATGTCCGGTGAACATGCGGGCCATGGCAAAACCTGTACGTTGGCGTTGGCAAGGAAGTTCTGTGTCAATCTTGCTGTGTGTGGCCTTGCATTGTCATGTTGGAAAAGGAGTCCACGAGGCTGTTGCTGAATAAAGGGCACCACAACAGGCCGTAGGATGTCACCAAGATAACGCTGTGCATTCAGGTTTCCACGAATTACGACAAGCATCGTTCTGACGTCACCACATATGCCACCCCAAACCATTAACCCTCCACCTCCAAACGGCCGGACCTGTTGGATACAGTTAGGCGCCAAACGTTCACCAAATCGTCGGTATACAAGCTGCCGTCCATCGTTTCTGAAGATGAGGAATCTGCTCTCATCAGAGAACATAACACGTGCCCAGTCCCGCCGTTGCCAACGTCGAACTCGCCTGGCCCAGATCAGTCTGTTGTTCCGGTGTCGAGGCGTCAGGAGCGGTCCGCGGTAGGGATGACGTGGCCGGATACCATACTGCCGTAGTCTCCTGTAGACGGTCTGTCGACTGATCCTGTGTCCCAGTGCTGTAGCCACCGTGGACGTCGCTGTTACGGTGCGGTTCCTCAGGTGTAATACCCGGATGTAACGATCTTCACGGGGCGTGGTTACTAGTGGTCTTCCACTCCTGGGCCTGTCTGACGTCTGACCTGTCTGACGTAACCGCTGCATCAACCTGGTGATAGTGATGCGTGCGCAGCCCAACCTTCTGGCGACGTCGACGTGTGACGCTCCTTGTTGGGCCATTCAAACGGCTCTCTCTCTCTCGATGGCTGTCAAACGTGGCATATCTTGTGTTCTTTTTGTTGCTGTGATATCAACGTGTCTGATCAGCCGTTTTATACAGTTTTTCTGCACGTGCAGAACATGCTAGAGAGGGAAATGTCACTTTCACGAAATTTACGTTTTTTCCCGGAAGTGATCACATGTTCCCGGTATTTTTTATCGACTATGCTGTGTTTGGGATGTGCAATACGAATTGGCATGTTTTCATACTTGACAATTCACTTAGTAAAAAACAATTTTGAAAATAAGTTGGTATCGTTTCTTTTGGACACTAGTTTATATGACGGCACAGTCGTATATAGAAAAGCGCCATATAGCAAGATCTTTGTTGAAATACATTCTTCTTGTAGATGTCTGTCGTGTTTTCTGCACGATACTTAGTATTTAGTACCCTATAATTGTAAACATAATTATTTAAATCTTTTAAAGGAATTTAGAAGTGATGCTGCACATAAAGCAGAGAATATATGGATGTCAACTTCTTTATCAAGAGGAACACAACGTTACGGAGTATATGCTTACTCCTTCATAGTACAAGCAGCCACACAAACAAACACACGCACGCACGCACGCACGCACACACACACATGTGCATGCATATATAAGTGCAATAATCTTGGACGCGACGTTAAACACATTTCACCTCACCTAACTGTATGTTAGTTGATTCTGTAATGCGATCTGGAAAGTACTTTGTCCGTTATTGACAGCGATTACTGACTCAGTCATACGGGTGGGTGAACATATGCTTGAGTGGACTCGCCTGGCCGGGTACGTTAGTGTGTGTGTGAAGTATACCCCCAGAGACACGACATTCAACCGAGACGGGATGCATCAGCGCGCCTTGGGTATATTTTGTTAATGGGAAATGCTGATAAACTGTGCCATTGATCGAGACGGGGTGATTGCTCTGAGTTATGCTTCCAGGTTAGTTAAGTTACTTAGTTACATGGATTATTGATACAACAGGATATTGATCATGTATAAAGACAGTGATGTGTAATTTATGTACAGTTTCATATTCACTTGGCTATAGTATGGCTATTTTGTTTTGAGGATGACTTGTGATTCGGTTATACAACGTCAACCTACTCATACTCTTCAATACCGCAAGACCATTTGCTACCCACAATGATATATTGTTAACTTGGCATGTGCAGTGTTCTGCAAAACACGTTGTGAAAAAATGTGTCTTCATACTTTAGTATTTTGACACCATGATATTGAGAAATTGTGTGTTTCAGATAAGATCTCGCTTTTGGTGTTGATTTGGACTTGTTACACAGTGGGTGATGGTACGTTGGTCACTATTTCTTTACCTAACACATTGAGGCTAAATGTTGCTAATAATTATCTTTTAAATATTTTCACGGATATAATACATGTAAAAAATAATATCCAATGCTTTTCCATAATTTGACTTGTTCCATATGTTCTCGTGTATTTAAGTGAACAATTGACGGGCCTTTGCATGTGTTTGTGACGAGTGCCAAAGGTGGGGCAGGATACGCTCACCTTTTCGCGAGCCCCTGGTGTCATCACTATTTGATAGTGATTACTAAACACATGATCATCATATAGTCGGAATTGTAAACGAATCTGCTTTCAGGATAGATTTCTTATTAATATGGAAACGGTTTTGTCGCTGTAGTATGATTGATATGTACTGTGAAGTTAGTAGGTCATAAAAACATGAGACAAGGAAGGATGTCAGAACATTTACGAAAACAACATACCGTATTCGACGTAATAAGCGCCCCGCTATAATAAGCGCCCATATTTGCTGAGATATTGAATTGCTAGTGAACAATCCTAATTAGCACCCCTTCCGATTAATCAATGTTCACAAGACTTATCTATAAGTGTACAATACGCACTCGTGTGTAATATGCACCCTTAATTATGGGCAATTAAATTATTGAAAAAATATCTGTCGTGTATAATACGCACAGACTTTTCTTTTGTATCATTTCATGCTGTTAGCATAAACCACGAAATTTACTATCTTTCAACTGTTTTTTGTTCTCACGAAAATTATATTCTAATAAGAGCCTCTTATTTCTAATTTTGGGAGCGCCCTGGGCGCTTATTACGTCGAATACAGTAAAACATCTTTCTTTCATCAGTTGCGATGTCCGTGTCTTGTGTTCGTGTCAGCATGTTTCAGTCACCTGGAGTCATGGGACTGTATTCATGTTAACGAACCAAGCCATACTGCCACTGTATCCCTGTATCTTCAGTCATCGAATCTGGATGGGACAGAGTTGATAGATCTGGTTCTGTATGTTATGGTGAGGGAATGGCACTGACCACTTCAGATATGGTTACCTCCCATGCCCTGATGTAGAACATGGTCTCCATGGTGATTTCGGGGTAGAATTGGTTCTCAGGATACTTCGGTTTTCGTACGAATCGACATGGATCGAAACCTGTCGTTCATCAGGGCTTAAAATTCAAGGTTTGTTTGGTCCAGACTTGAATATTGAGAGTCTGCAATGACCGTGACCTGAGAAACGTGGTCCCACTGACCGACCCACCCACCGACCCACCCACCCTTCCACCGAGCCACCCACCGACCCTTCCACCGACCCGTCCACCGCCCCACCGACGGAGAGGTTGGATTGAGCTATGTTTACATTTTCACTGTGCAGGGCAAGTCGTCAGCTATGAGGTGGATGAGAGTCACGCCACCCTGCCAGTCTTGACTTGGTGGGAGTCGACAGGCAAATATCCTGATTATGTCATCTCCTGTGAGACGCAACAGAGATGTCTCGTGTCCAGGAACAAGACACGACTGCAGCATCAGGAAGTCATGGTGAGTTACCATGACAACATATACACGGTAAATGTTTGCGATGATTTTGGATGAGACGGCTACTGAGTGACGCTTCCATTGCAATTTACCTGCTCTATGTGTTACTGAAATTGTGTCACCGTCACATTAAGCTTTACCAGTACAAACGGTCGATCATGTCAACTATGTGTGTAGGCATGTTTGCGAAAGAAACTACCGAAAAGTATCTACCTTCATGGAGCGTCATGATTTCAGTGTTCTGACAACCGACCATTATCGCGATATATTATGTAGGTTATAGGGGATTAGACTGACATGAACTTTAGAGATAAGTCTCGCATCAGTAAGTTTGCTGATGCCTGTCGCAGATAGTTTTATTTCATTCGTGTTCACCGCAACATTAAAAACGTCGTCACAACAGCCTCTTCTTTCAAAGCGAAAAACGCACGACAACCTTGGCGTCAAATGGCCACACTGCGCACACTCGTCCGTGACGCCTTCAGAACATAGACAGTCAGAAGTTGTACCTTTTGTCAGAGGGACTATCAATGTTCCATTTATATTTTCAGATGTACGTATTTTACGGCTCATTCTTTCTGTCGAGTGCTCTTCCTTTTCCAAGGAAGGATGGCGATATTTGGGCATTGATCCACGAAGAGTCGCCCATGAACAAAGATTGGCTGTTTTCATTCAGGAGCACTATAGAGCTGTTCAACTACACATCGACTTTCAAGAGGGGTTCTGACTACCCGCTCACCACCCACTGGCTGACAAACAAAGAGACACTGCTCAGTAAAGAATATTTAGTCCCCACAGACAGAAAGAACGTGATGAGGACAGATGGTGGCCTAGCTCCAATTATATTTGTCCACAGCGACTGCAACACACCATCCAACAGGGAGCAGTACGTCAAGACGTTGCAGAAATACGTCGATGTAGATTCCTACGGCCCTTGTCTCCACAACAAGGACTTCCCAGAAGAGTGAGTCCACCTGAACCATATGCAGTCAAACATACACACACACAGACATACAGACAGACATACACGAATTCAGACACACACATACAGACACAAACACAGACACACAAACAAACATACACGAATTCAGACACACACACAGACATACAGACAGACATACACATACAGACACACACACAGACATACAGACAGACATACACGAATACAGACACACATGCAGACACACATATACACACTGATACAGTCACACATACATACAGACACATACACACTGATACAGTCACACATACAGACACACACATACACATTCATACACATACACACATAAAGACACACACACACAGACATACACGCATAAAGACACACACACATACATGCAGACATGCACACACACATACACAGGGAATATGCACTTTCAACGAATATTATCAACCCCACACACATACGCACAAACACACAAACACACACACACACACACACACAAACGCGCGCACACATACACACATACACACAAACACACACACATAAACGCGCACACACAAACACACATACACACACACAAACGCGCGCGCACATACACACAAACACACACAAACGCGCACACAAACACACACACACACACACACACACACACACACACACACACACACACACACACACACACACACACACACACACACACACACACACACACACACATTATGTATCCCGAGCCTGTTTTCACTTAGTCATATATGTTATGCTATTTTGGAGGCAAATGGAACCCATCGTTTAGGCCATGTCATACATGTAACTGGGCTCATTATCATTTCAACTCAATGTTAATTTGTCCTCATAATATATAGTATGGTCAGTACAGCTCATAATCTTTTACCACATTTCCGACCTACATGCACTCACTGTTATCAAAATGTAGACTGGGCAAGTCTATCTATTTTGTTAGAAAGATACATGCAGTGTGGAATGAAGAACAAAGCACTTTGCAACTATTTAACTGTAACCATTCTTTTTCTGTTGCATATAGATTCAAGAATCTCGACGGTATAGCAGGCTTCTTGAAGCCAGACTTTTTGAGATTTGTCGCCCGCTACAAGTTTGCTATGGCTTTTGAGAACGCCATCTGTGGCGACTACATCACAGAGAAGTTGTGGCGCCCTCTACAGGTGGGAACTGTCCCTATTGTGCTCGGCTCGCCGACAATCAGGGTGAGATGACTTTTGTGTGTGGACACATTTCGGTGAGAGTAAATGTTCTTTTACTTGGACCACTAGACAAAAACATGGCCGAGATGTCTTGTTTGTGTGGTGGCATTTTCGTGAGGGTACATAAGTAATTATATATTTTCTTAGGCTGCACCCAAGACACACAAAGTCGTAAGTCGTAGATTTAAGGGCATAATCATAATTACATGTTCTAAACAACTTCGATACAATAAACGACTACGATAGGGCAGAAGGTAAGCTTTGGTCTTAAATATAGCTATCGTCTCGTGTACCGGATGAATGAAAACGTTTTGCAGTAAGCTACTCAACTGATAGTCGTTACACCAGGCTAACGGAGTAGCTGGTCATCCATGCACAGGTGGAGGGTTCGACAGCGAAGAAAGATTGTCGCTGATCCATTGTTATCATCAGGATTATTTTTCAACCACAATTTAAGAATCACGGGTTCTACGTTTGACGTATATACGCCGAAATGTTCATGTCACCTTCGAGGACACATCCAGACACAATAATACAGTAACTTAATATATGATTTGAAACTGTGAACCCCATTGTGATCTGTTTCTATTATCTGAAGAGCTGAATGAGAAAAACTAAAGAAGAAAGATAAACTAACGAATAAAGAATGAATATTAAAGTGCGACTGTGCCGATAAATCATTTCTGTTTTATGGTCATGTTATAAATGTGTACTGTGGCATTAACGGCGTGAAAGGACTTTGAAAATATATTTGTCATTAATTGAACAAACATGTAGTCGACTAGAATCTTAGCTCTCAGCCTCGGAAAGAATAGTAATTATTATACATCTTTTTTTCTGATTGTAGTTTGTTCTATTCAAATAAATGCAATTTAAAATCAGCTCTACTTAAAACGTACTTTCAGGACTTTTTACCATCCACCAAATCAGCGATTCTGGTCGAAGACTTTGACACTTTTCAAGACTTGGCTGCGTTCATCAAGCAGCTTGATCGGAACGACGAACAGTATGAGTCATACCTCCAATTCAAACACACGGGTATTTCAAATCCAAGGCTGAAGTCAGAACTCGCCCGGGTATCACCAGGGGAGTATGCAGGAGGAAGTTTTGGGAAGGCTGCTTCAGGATATGAGTGTTTCCTCTGTGACAAACTTCACAAGGCGCTTGATGCAACTAAAGCCGGGAAGCCTGTCGCGAAAGCACAGGCAAATCTGAACCATTTTGGATGTCCTTTACCTGCACAGAAATTTGACGAAAACGGCCAAATCGTCCCCGACCATCGCCGAAAGCATGAGTTGGCATTCTACCATATGAACGCGCAGGTGTTCCGCCAGTTCTATGACAGGGCTGAGAACATCACGTCTCACGACCTGTACACAGCCACAAAACAACGATTGAGAAAGGTGCAGGCGAAACAGGAAGACTTGTAGAGCAGGTTTTACTAGGATAAAAAGTAACTTATGGAGTTTACTTGAATCTGTATTTAAAACACAAAACCCGCCTGCATCCATTAACAAATATATCATATCTGACGTGATAGATGTGTATTACTTGTCCTTTACTTACTATTGCAAACTTTATCCAACGAGGAGCGTGAGTGATCAGCTAAATGTGGGCAGGCAATCATTTCCTGAGTTGTTTGAAAATAAATACGCTTCAAATTTTAGTTGCGATTGTTATTAATTTCAAACCATGTTTACATGTTTATCTAAAGGTGAAATCTCATGCTTGCATGTTCACCTAAAAGTGGGATCTCATGCTTACAAGTTCATCTCATGTTTACATGTTCATCTAAAAGTGGGATCTCATGTTCACATGTTCATCTAAAAGTGGGATCTCATGCTCACATGTTCATCTAAAAGTGGGATCTCATGTTTACATGTTCATCTAAAAGTGGAACCTCATGCTCACATGTTCATCTAAAAGTGGGATCCCAAGTTTACATGTTCATCTAAAAGTGGGATCCCATGTTTACATGTTCATCTAAAAGTGGGATCCCATGTTTACATGTTCATCTAAAAGTGGGATCCCATGTTTACATGTTCATCTAAAAGTGGGAGCTCATGTTTACATGTTCATCTAAAAGTGGGATCTCATGCCTACATATTCATCTAAAAGTGGAACCTCATGCTTACAAGTTCATCTCATGTTTACATGTTCATCTAAAAGTGGGATCTCATGTTTACATGTTCATTTAAAAGTGGGATCTCATGTTTACATGTTCATCTAAAAGTGGGATCTCATGCTCACATGTTCATCTAAAAGTGGGATCTCATGCTCACATGTTCATCTCAAAGTGGGATTCCATGTTTACATGTTCATCTCAAAGTGGGATCCCATGTTTACATGTTCATCTAAAAGTGGGATCTCATGTTTACATGTTCATCTAAAAGTTGGATCTCATGCTCACATGTTCATCTAAAAGTGGGATCTCATGCTGACATGTTCATCTAAAAGTGGGATCCCATGTTTACATGTTCATCTAAAAGTGGGATCCCATGTTTACATGTTCATCTAAAAGTGGGATCGCATGTTTACATGTTCATCTAAAAGTGGGATCTCATGCTCACATGTTCATCTAAAAGTGGGATCTCATGCTCACATGTTCATCTAAAAGTGGGATCTCATGTTCACATGTTCATCTAAAAGTGGGATCTCATGTTTACATGTTCATCTAAAAGTGGGATCTCATGTTCACATGTTCATCTAAAAGTGGGATCTCATGTTTACATGTTCATCTAAAAGTGGGATCTCATGCTCACATGTTCATCTAAAAGTGGGATCTCATGCTCACATGTTCATCTAAAAGTGGGATTTCATGCTCACATGTTCATCTCAAAGTGGGATCCCATGTTTACATGTTCATCTAACAGTGGGATCCCATGTTTACATGTTCATCTAAAAGTGGGATCCCATGTTTACATGTTCATCTAAAAGTGGGATCCCATGTTTACATGTTCATCTAAAAGTGGGATCTCATGTTTACATGTTCATCTAAAAGTGGGATCTCATGCCTACATATTCATCTAAAAGTGGAACCTCATGCTTACAAGTTCATCTCATGTTTACATGTTCATCTAAAAGTGGGATCTCATGTTTACATGTTCATTTAAAAGTGGGATCTCATGTTTACATGTTCATCTAAAAGTGGGATCTCATGCTCACATGTTCATCTAAAAGTGGGATCTCATGCTCACATGTTCATCTAAAAGTGGGATCTCATGTTTACATGTTCATCTCAAAGTGGGATCTCATGTTTACATGTTCATCTAAAAGTGGGATCTCATGTTTACATGTTCATCTAAAAGTGGGATCTCATGTTTACATGTTCATCTAAAAGTGGGATCTCATGTTTACATGTTCATCTAAAAGTGGGATCTCATGTTTACATGTTCATCTAAAAGTGGGATCCCATGTTTACATGTTCATTTAAAAGTGGGATCTCATGTTTACATGTTCATCTAAAAGTGGGATCTCATGTTTACATGTTCATCTAAAAGTTAGATATCATGTTTACATGTTCATCTAAAAGTGGGATCCCAAGTTTACATGTTCATCTAAAAGTGGGATCCCATGTTTACATGTTCATCTAAAAGTGGGATCTCATGTTTACATGTTCATCTAAAAGTTGGGATCTCATGCTCACATGTTCATCTAAAAGTGGGATCTCAAGTTTACATGTTCAACTAAAAGTGGGATCTCATGTTTACATGTTCAACTAAAAGTGGGATCTCATGTTTACATGTTCATCTAAAAGTGGGATCCCATGTTTACATGTTCATCTAAAAGTGGGATCTCATGTTTACATGTTCATCTAAAAGTGGGATCTCATGTTTACATGTTCATCTAAAAGTGGGATCCCATGTTTACATGTTCATCTAAAGTTTGGATCTCATGCTGACGTGTTTATCTAAAAGTGGGATCTCATGCCTACATATTCATCTAGATGTGTCATCGCATGGTTACATATTGATCTAAATGCGGGATCTCATGGTTACATATTCATCTGAAAGTGGGATCTCACTCTTATTCTCACGAGGGTATTGGACATTTTGTGCAGTTACTGTCGAGGGATCAGGTAGTCAGGCAAATTGCTTGATTCATATCATCGCATCCAAATTGCGTTGGTCGATGCTCATTATGTCAATAACTGGATTGTCTGGTCCAGATTCGAATGTTTACAGGCCACCGTCATATAGTTGGAGTATTGCTGAATGCAGCGAATGCGGGATTAATGAAGACAAATGTTTGAATGCTTTTACAATCCTTATTTGGTTGATATAAGAATTCATGTTGCCAACTAAAACAAACACTTAATTTAAGCTAGCTTCTCAGCTGTTTCGTTTTATGTTTCTTCCAGTCTCACACATATATAAATGAGCGTTCACTTGTTTTTCTGTAGGGTCATAAGGGATATTGAAGGAGGAAATCAGTATTTGTAAACGCAGCCTATCGTGAGATAAAAACTCATTCAGCCAGCATATACCTACACATGGAGATGACACTATCTCAATAGATATATGGAAATGAAAACCGTCCGGTAGCAGTAAGTAGGAATATTCCTTCATCACACAGATCCAAACTCGATCAGGGCCATGTATCATTACATCAATAAATCATGAAGGAATAGTAAAACACGTAAATATATACGTTAAATCTCGTGTATTGAAATCAGTAAATGATATCATGCTATAATCAGAGGCTTAACATCAGTAATCATACGAACTGAGGGAAACAAGTAAGAGATTACCTGTAGGGTATCGCACGTGCCACATATGCAGGTTTTGTGTTCATGTAAAACGAAACAAGAGATTATTCAGCATGCAGTGAACATATCTGATACTAACATTACACTCCGCGACAGTATACATGACACTCCGACGTACAATATACATGACTTTTCTTATTTATTTTTTGTAACATGCGGAGGCCCCCAGAAGCCTGTTGGTGTAAGACTGGTATAACACCTACATGTTTCTCGAGATTAAGATGTTTACATTACGGTGTGTTGATCTGCCCGTTAACATTACTTAGAAATACTGGTCAGATTTATATTTACGTTTCATGTTAGAAAGAGTTAATTTATCTGTGGCATATTTCATATCTAAAACATTTGTTGCATGTGAATCACTACAAATGGTATATAGCTGCTTGCCCAAACTCTCCCTCACGCATGCAACCTTTTATTTCTTGTTCTGATATAAACGTCAAACGAGTGTGTGTAACATCTTAGGATATTAGAAAAATACTGTTTAGAGTGTGTACTGTCAGTTTATATTGAAATGTGCCGATCTCTCAAGTTGTTATAGGAATCATCCTGAATTCGACCCAGGAACCTACGTTGTCATCAGTTTTGATCGCTTATGAATCACCACTAGTCGAGATTTCGCAGTTACCTCCCTTGTATGTCATGCGGAAGGGACAGGTTGGCATAGCTGTGTACCTCGGCGGGATTTGGTTATATTCAAGGCATCCAGGACATACAATTTAATCTCACACAGTGCATATGAAGAACTAGTATACCTGTTTATTCAGGACAGCATCAACTTATTTAAGGTATGCGTTTCTTTAATTTAGTGTTATGGTAAACACAAGAAACATCAAAGGAAGAGAAACCGAAAGTAGAAATAGTTGGCCCCAAGGTAATAAAAAAATGTAAAGCACATTGATGTATATTTCTTTTATTATTATGGGTTTTACAAATGTTTCACATTCAGGTAAACGAAGTCATTCGTCGACGTGTAAAAATGACACAATAAAGATATGTTGACTTGGTCCTGAATACTAACGTTCACAGTTACCTCTCTTGTATTGTGACTGTGAGGGGGCGTGTCTACAACCAGTAAATCAAGGCTTGGTTGGTGTTGACGGAGGTGGATTACAGGTCATCAATACAAGACCCTATTGGTAGTTGTTTTAGAGTTAGCTTTCATTATATAAAAACAAATGCACATTTGAATCAATTACGACAGTATACTGCCTCATCTACATGAGAGAAGTTGACATCAAATCTCATCTCACACGATCACTATACATTCATATATTCAGTTTCGGTTCATCTATTCAAGGTAAATCTTTTATTGTGTGGAAAAATGATCAAGCCTGTTCTTATGACAGAAATCATAAAAAAACATAATGTAGGAACATATTTTATGGAAACAATAGTATAAACAAATACATAGACACACGCTTCTGAAACACCTTGTTTGACATGAAGTCAAGATATGTAGAATCTATTATCCCCGTAGCACTATGGACGGGTCGATGTGGTTATTTTTGTGACAAGAAATGATATGTAAACGACTCAATCATGGATTTACAGAGGCGTTACAGCAAACTTAGTGGTGCACACAAGTTCATGATGGAATGGGTTTGGTGTAATGCCGCTTGATGCAGTATTTCAGTTATATCATCGCGTGTCAGCTTGATATGGAAGGTATCCCCGAAGTCGAACTCAAGAAATCTTATTGTCTCAAACACAACACATGTAACGCCATTACAAAATGGAACAACTTCAGCTGAAACTATTTCTTGTAAAAGTGAACAGTTATTTATGTTTTACAGATGGCGACATCCCAGATTGAGAAAGTGAGTGAATTCCTCACCTGTGTGATCTGCCAGGAACTGTACACAGACCCCTGTACACTGAGGTGTGATCACACATTCTGCAGGAAATGTGTCACAGGATACATCCAAACCAGACCAGATGCTGTACAGTCCAAGACGATCCCCTGTGCCTTCTGTCGACAAGATACCAAGGTTCCCCACCCCAGCCGGCCAGTGGAGGAGTGGGCGGGGCAGATCAAACCCAGTATCATTATACAGGGGCTGATTGACACACAAGGTGACGTTATCAAAACAGGTAATGGTTTATTACATTATGAATTACACATTCATTTCACAAACTGAAATCTATTAATAAGAATCATGTTTGTAATGAAGGCATGTTAAAGGGTACTCATTATTTGTTTAAACATGCAGTATAATTACAGTATTGCTGTTAACAGTATGTTCAATGATACCAATTGACTCCACTAAACGACTCCAGAAAATATACATTTGTTACAAACATGACTTAACTGTAATCACAGCATAGACATATTTACAATAAATATTTTGACGTCGGATCACTGCGGGAGACACAAGAAATGGGGTTCACACATTTTACTCATGTCGGGAATCAAACCTGGCTAACACTTAAACCACTAGGCTTCCCCACCGCCCGTGATGATAGTGATCAGAACTGTACACTTATAAGTGTAATTGTACCTGTTGAAACTACATGTACATAACTGGGTGAATGAGTTCAGTTTTACGCCACTGCCAATCATGCCAATATGGGGCTTCCACATCAAACCCATCGGTGTGACAAGCCAACACTTGAACTCCAAGCCTACACCCACCCCCCTTTTCGTGCACTGAAAATAGGTGAGAGGGGGTCATTTTACCTGGATTCTCAATCTTCTAATTTATATAAATATTGTCCTGATATGTCAAATAACTATAGACATGTCCACTTACAGGTTCCGCTTCATGTTGCTCCGTGTGTGAAAAGTTAGGGGAGACAACTCCGGGAGCCTCATGGTGTTCTGAGTGTCAAGTGTCCCTCTGCGAAAGATGTGTCAAGATACATCGTGCAAGTCCAGCATCACATGACCATGAAATATGTGACCTTTCAGGAGAGGTCAAGGTGAAGAGGAGGCGCAAGTTCATATGCAGGGAGCACAAGGATGAGGTTATAAAGCTTGTCTGTAAAGACTGCCACAAAGCTGTGTGTCAGACATGTTATGTTGTTTACCACAGGAAATGTGAGTCTGTCGTTACCATTCAGGCAATGTTGCCAAACTTGAAATACCATTTAAGAAGGCATGCTAAACAGTTATCAAAGAAAGTACATAGAAAAGAAACAATTGTTAAGAAAACAGACGAGAAAATTAGCGGAATTGAGAAAAACAAAATAGCAGTAGAAAATCACATTAAATCTGCTGTTGAGAGAGCCATAGCCAACATCAAGCAGAAAGAAAAACAGCTGATGAAAGAATTCAAGGATATTACAGACAAACAAACTGAGGAACTTAAAGCAGATGTAAAACTTGAAGAGATTGAGATACAGATGTACAGACAACATTGTGAGTTCATTGACCAGGCCTTGGCATCGGACTGTGAGATGGACCTGTATGACGCGTATCAGGCCTGGGAGTCGGGGGCTGTAGAGTTGGGGGATGTCAGGGACACAGACACAGCAGACACACGGAGAATAGATGACATCAGGTTCACACCTGACACTGACAACGTCCAGCACATCCTAGATGACCTACAGCTGGGGAAGATTGACGTCACATACCAGGATCAGGGCACATGTCTGCCGTCTCCAGTGCTGATTGACGTGATAGATGGGGAGATGGCTGGCGATGAGGCGGAGCCTGCTCTACGTGACATCACAGTCCTGGTTGTAAATGGTATACAGACAGTTGTAGTCACTGACTTCAATAACAAGTGTGTGAAATCTTTCTACATTGGAAAAAATCAACCATGTCACAGTAAACTTCCCCTGGATAACTCTCCACGTGGTCTAACACAGTTGAAGGAGAACCAGGTGATGGTTGCTGTCCCTGAATTCAGTGAGATTGTAACAGTAGAAGTGACCCCTGACCTGGTGCTGCTCTCAACCATCACAACAAGCATGGACTACTACAGTCTCGCTGTTCTGAGTCCTTCATCTCTAGCAGCAGGTACTTGGAACTGTGTTGATATCCTGGACATGGCGGGACACGTGCTGAGGTCAGTCACTACACACAACAATGAGACACTGTTTGCCCCCCTCTTCTACATGTGTGTCAACAACAAGGGCAACATACTCGTGTCTGACAGGGGGGAGCAGTCTGTGACATGTGTGACGTCAGAGGGGCATGTTGTGTGGAGATACGCCCCTACTGGAGACAGAGCACTCAGCGACCCTTATGGTATTTCAACTACTACAACTGGAGACATCCTGGTTGCAGACAGTAACAAGGTGATACGGCTGACAGAGACAGGGGGTTATGTCACAGATCATCAGGACATTGGCTGTGATCCATATGGATTGTATGTCGATAGACATGACACACTGTATGTTTGTGGTCGAGGTCAAATACACGAAATCAACTTCATGTAGTCGCATCAACCACTGCATGATTTAAATCATCACTATCCCTGGTGTTAAATGCACTATAACAACTTAAAATGGAATCTTCCGATTTCGGTGTGAATGATGATACCACAGACATTATTTCCACATCATTAACACATCACATTGTGTGTTAAGCAACCTGGTTCTCTTTATTCAATCGCCTCCATGTTCCAGTAAGTACGGTGTCGGCCGGGAAGGCGAAAACCCCGTGGTTTAATTCCAATCTGCTTAAGAGATACCAATACTTCACTCTATTTTTAGTGGATATGATATGGCTTACTTGTTATTGAAGTGCTCAAATGACTTCTTGGACCTGTGGATGGTCACTTGATATATTGTTTAATGACACTAATGAGTTCCCAACTCTTGAGACCATCTGCGGGTTCCCGGGCCGGGTTGGTTACCCGGGGTGTAGATTTGGACTCGTCCCAGCTCCATTCAATAGCATGTTAGGTACGTGGTCCATTGCACCGTGGTCATAGAATGTTTTTACTTTACTAGATAGAAGATAAGGTGTTCCATGTAGGATGTTTGTGATGTCATGAAGTTTGGTTTGTGGAACGTTATGGTGAGCCACTTAATAACAAATAGCTCCTGCATCATACTTGTACGGAGGAACACTTCTACAATTGTGTAATTGTGTCCATATCTATACTGATTATAATAGTGTTGTAGGCATAGTACATTTCATTGTTCAATTGTCAAAAAATAAACCGTAAGTGATTCCATGTTAGTGTTTGGCTAAAAATGAAATTATTGTTTTGCGTCAGCTCCATAATCAGAGACCATAAAATAGATTAAGTTTACTCTGCATAAACTGAAAAAAACATTAGGCCACGCACACCCTCGGATTTGTTTCATGACTGGCTGATAATAAAGTTGGCAGATCTTGTGTTGCACTATTGCGCTGTACAGTGTCATATTTTGAATCGTATACTCTTTGTTTGTGTTAATGACTTAACAGACAGCCTTTGAAGTTGTTATTGTCGCCTTATAAAATGTATTTGCGTTTTATACGCAGATTAACGCATGGTATGCACACAAGTTTCTTTTAGATTTATACCCCCATAAACACAATAAATATTGTTAAGTTAATTCTTAAATAAATAAATTGCAAGTGAGTCCATTTCATTAGATTGGTTAACCTAAAACAACATTAGCCCACGCCCACTAGCGAACTACTTGCTTTGACGTCGTAGGAATTCGCGGTGGCTCGCCCGTAATATGCACAGCCCCCAGTTTAAATAAAATCATCGAAATCATTGAAAGACAACTTCAATTGATTTCTTTTTCTTATTTGTACGGCACACATAATCATTGGATCGTTTTAAAAAGCACTGACACTCAGCAAGAGCAGAATGTATTTTTCAAAAATAAAAAACATGACACTATACCATTGTCTGTCATGTACTTACACCTCCATAAACACAAAAATATTGAAGTCAATTCTTAATCCATAACTGGATTCCACAGGAGGTACCGCTGCATTAAAGTTGCTTCACAATGTTTTGCAGACCAGTGTGACATCGGTTACCATGACGTCACGATCAACTGACATACCATTTTTCTCTGCCACTGAAGCTGGTCAGCTGTACCTTTTTATACACTGGAGACACTTGATATTACTCTTTACAGCTGAAGAGGTTGGAAGAATTCTAAACAGAATCACACCTCGTACACTTCTGCTGTTAGCCATTAGGGCTGGGTTGGATCTGGGTACCACAAGATCACCCGGCCCCGTGGTTAGTCACTTGATATGTTGTTCAATAACAATAAAACTCCATGGCTACACCACAAATCACTAATGTTTCCTATTTCTTTCTGTCGATCCACGTATTCCTTCTGACTTTTATATATCTGAGTAAAGGTAAAGCTTCAGTCAATTTCAGTGTATGCATGATCAGTTCGTTTATACATGTATCTCAAGGGGTTTTGCCAGGGCTACGGTAAAACATTTCTAATCAGGCATTTCTACCCTACTCGAATCCTACAGCAGGTTCCCTGGTCGGGTCAGGCTAGGGTGTAGGGTACCTGGGTAGGGTCAGGTAATAGGGGGTCGGGTACCTGGGTAGTAAATTTGGACTCATCTCAGGCCTAGAAGCCATCTACCTGTCTGTTCAGGTTCGAATTATGTTTTCAACCTGCTTAATGTATGAGTCTGAAATATTATGAGCATATTATGACACTAAAACCAAAGTGTTAGGTTTGAAAAATTGTTTAATATTCTAACAAAGCACATGGTCAAGGAATCTGGAACAATTATATGACGTCTAGTAACACAATTAGATTTGTGCATGCAATTATAATAACTTTTGTTCACGGTATTGTTTACTTGATCTTACGTAAGTCTCCCTATAGCACAGATCCGGCATGGAATGTATCCAAATACTGCACCTCCGGGACAGGTTAAGTCATTGTGCCATCACACACAACTACAACAAAACAACTAAACAGGTGTTTGCATTACGTGCCAAAATGCAAGCAAACCCACCCCAACCTTATCTTAAATTCCCTAACCTTTTCGCCACCAGCAACAATATAACCAGAATCATTTGGACTTCACCAAATTAGATGACAGCTGACCTTACCAATATCTGTGTTCATCTTTCAGACCTAACGTTATCTAGTGCAGGACAACTTTATAGGACAACAACACTCCAATGTTGAAAGTATTGAGAAGTGGATGGCTTTTTTTCACAGATTCAGAGTTTCCATATAATGGACTATAACCTTGACTTGTTTGACTTGCTTATTGGAATCTGCTGAGTAAGTGAGTTTAAATTTAACGTCACATCAGAAAGTTGGAGTATTGTTGCCCTTTTAAAGTCAGAAAGTCAAATGCCTCAAGCTTCATCTATAACAAAGTTAAGATCACTTCCAGGGTCTATAACATATGTTATAAGAGTGTGTTTGAGAAAACAAATTGTGACAGTGTATTAATCCTACACAAGAGACTCACTGTATATGTTGACGAAAACGAACTCATGATAATCAAGACGGGTTAATTAAGGAAGTGACGACTTGTAAAACTAAAAGCTAAAATAGTTCGAATGACTAATTTACGTGTTTACTATGTTAAAATGATTTAGGAAGAGTTAAGACATTAAATATATATTTTATTATTTTTAGCCAACCGGAGATCAAGAAGTGTAAATCATTTTCTAACGGGTCATCCCGCATCCCTCAGAAGAGACATATAGACCAACTGTTTCTATAATATGAATGGATGAGGCGATACGGTAACCGCCTCTAGATACATAGTTGTAGAGAGTGAACTCTGGTCCTACTGTGTGCACAGAACTGCAGCTCTACTTTCGCTGTTGATAGGCTCTTGACATTACAATGCTCATAGGAGAACTGGCAAGGTAATTGCATGTGTCTTTTGTAAACATTCGTTATCGTAGCTCTTGTCGTTGGGAACACCCATTTCACGACCAGACCCTAATACTCGTATCTTCCTTTATTGTATTTCATATATGAAGAGTTTTTATCAATATTGCCTAAAGCTGCAGGAATGATGCATTATCCTTTTTTTCATCTATACACCAGTGTATGTACTGCCTCCATACAACAACCTGTCAGTTCAACGCAATATGTCATGCCAACATAGGACGCTGTAACATTTATGCAAAATATTTTCACAAAAAGTCCCTCGTATTAAAAGTTCCTGTATAATAACTTGATTTGTACCAGTATATAATGGCATGTATAAGTAGCACATGCATATATGTGTTCCCCGTGGAGATCCGTGTTAGAATGGGTCTTCAGCAATCAATGCTTGTCGTATGTGTCATGTCACCGTGTCCTAATTGCCTAGATCGATGCTAATGATGTCAGTCACTGCATTGTTTTGTCCAAACGCGATAATTTACAGACCGCCGTCATGTAACTGGAATAGTTCACAGTGCGAATTTAAACAACAACAACACAAAAACACAGATTGCGAAACATCTGTGTAATAGAGAACAATACATGAGTGTGTTTCCTTATATCATAAATATCATAATTTATATAAGGAAAAAAATTAATTGTTCGACCCTGTAACGAGCATACCAAACGTCGTATATTGCTCATATTTGATATTTAGAATTCGGAGTCACACGAGGGTAATCTTTTTACCCTGTCATGCCATTCTTACAATAATCTCAATCAATGATGTTCAATTTTCCACCTATTTCACTCAACTTCAGAAACCGCGTATGAATATGGATATATGATATGATATCGGAAAAAAACCCTTTTTAAACCTACATCGAACATTCGTCTATAAGTTACAGATCAAGCAGATATTGTATCGATGTATGGAGATTAAAAGTTGTACCTGTTCGCCGATAATTTGCACGTTAATGGGATCGTGATACCAAATATATCGAATAGTTTATTGCATGGATAACACTTTCCATCTTATCAAAAATGCGTATCGCACAAGGCAGAGCTAAAAGCCAAATGTACAATACTGTTATAGGCCAAAGCGTCACTCTCTCCAGATATAAACTGGTGACACAGGACACAGCTGGTAGCCAAATGCACAATACTGTTATAGGCCAAAGCGTCACTCTCTCCAGATATAAACTGGTGACACAGGACACAGCTGGCAACCACATGCACGATACTGTTATAGGCCACAGCGACACTATCTCTCCAGATATAAACTGGTGACACAGGACACAGCTGGTAGCAACATGCACAATACTGATATAGGCCACAGCGTCACTCTCTCCAGATATAAACTGGTGACACAGGACACAGCTGGCAACCACATGCACAATAATATTATAGGCCACAGCGTCACTATCTCTCAAGATATACTGGTGACAGAGGACACAGCTGGAAGCCACATGCACAATTCTGGTATAGGCCACAGCGTCACTCTCTCTCCAGATATGAACTGGTGACACAGGTCACAGCTGGAAGCCACATGCACAATACTGTTATAGGCCACAGCGTCACTATCTCCAGATATAAACTGGTGACACAGGACACAGCTGGTACCCACATATGCATTACTGTTATAGGCCACGGTGTCACTCTCTCTCTCTCCAGGTATAAACTGGTGACACAGGAGACAGCTGGCAACCACATGCATAATACTGTTATAGGCCACAACGTCACTATCTCTCCAGATATAAACTGGTGACCCAGTGCAGGCCTCGTCATCTCTTCTGTGTGTACCTGAGCCCCGTTACACAAAGTGACCTTAGCGTTGAGGTGATTGTAACTCCAATACTTAAAAATACGTAGGCTTACGGTCGTCATAGCGCTCAGATGGAACGTTTTGTGGAACGGGGCCCATTACACTATAACATCCAATGAAATGTTTGAGTTATTTGTTTGTTCAATCGTGTTACCGATTTATGACGTCACTCTTTCTGATAACATGTGCAACCTTTGCATGAAACAAATTACAATCTCATGGAGCTATCCTACATGTCAAGCCGTAGTTGTTATGGCAATATGTACTTGGATTTTACCATAGTATGTTGGCCACTCAGCATTTGCAAACATTGAATAAACAGACATTGTAATACACAGAGAATATCAGGAAAAAGACTCTTTGTTGATGTCTTGCTCAGTGGCTATGTGACCGCCTCCGTGTTCTAGTGGAGGAGCGTCCAGGATTCGAGTCCCGGCCGCGTCATACCAAAAGACGTTAAAAGATGGTACTTGTCATTACCCTGTCTGGCGCTCGGTAATGAGAGGCTAAAACAAGGACTGGTCGGCTCGGAGTCAGTATACTGTGCCTGAGTATTCTTGTTAAATTGCGGCAGGACAGTATCAGCTTGATTGACCAAGTATTTTTGATAGTGAGAGGTTGATTGTTCCAATGAGAAGCAAATGTGGAGGAACAGCGTCTGTGGTCACATGTTGGTGGTATGGTGAGCATTGAGACGCTGGTCGATCTGGGGTATCTAGATGGTACACATTCTCTCACTAAACTCAAAAGGTATGATAGAGCTGAGCCTTTAATACGTCGGTAGGCGATACTCAGGATCTTATGTTCGATCCTTACTGAGGCCGGTATCCAGTGGAGGCGAATCAAGACTGGTGAGATTTAGGAGTGCTTGTTGCGTCATGTGATAATTCGGGTTAAGGTTTACAGAACAGTCTTTAGTTATAGTACAAGGACACCAACTAACCTCAACATTCATCAACTCGATAATACGAAAATGACGAATGCAGATTTAACTGAATATTCCCAACGCTGTCGATTATATGATCTAATACTGACAACTCTTCTCCCAGAAAAAAACACACATACACAAGGCTTGGTGTTAAAATAATTTATTCATTTATACTGACTGTTGCTAGATTTTCAAAATTCAAATAATGACGACAATGTGTGAGCTTTATTGGCATTAATTAAGCCTCATCTCATATTGACACAATAATTCATGTATTTAGTATTAGTTCACCTCTACAAGGTAAATCCTTAATTGTGTGGAAACAAAAACTTTGTTTTTAACAACAGAGCCAGTAAGTTATTTGATAATGAGTTCAATGAGCTTTGCTTAGTGTGATATCAATATATGTAGAATAATGTATTCCTATAGCACTATGTATAGTCATTTTGGGAACACATTTTTATCAGTTTTTGGTTAAATCGTCCAGTTGATTTTACCAGAATATTAAAGTCTGATTTATTGAGAGACTACCCCACTTGCGGCTGAATATATATGTCAAGTCTTATCACAAGAGTGACTCAATTTGAACCGTTTGTTACAATGTGAGACCTGGCTGACTGTCTAATCGTACCCCGACGTCTTGACTCCATGCTCGCCACATCAGCAGCTGTGAGTTTGCCTGTTTGACACAAAAACGCCATCAAATTTGGAACAAGAATTCACAAGAGCGACAATTTCATATATGAACCGTTTGTTACAATGTGAGACCTGGCTGACTGTCTAATCGTACCCTGGCGTCTTGACTCCATGCTCGTCACATCAGCAGCTGTGAGTTTGCCTGTTTGACACAAAAACGCCATCAAATTTGGAACAAGAATTCACAAGAGCGACAATTTCATATATGAACCGTTTGTTACAATGTGAGACCTGACTGACTGTGTCTAATCGTACCCTGGTGAGGTGATTCGATGCTCATGATGTCAGCAGTTGGTTTGCCTGGTCGACACTCTACATATAATACTGATCGCTATTGTGTAGTTGACACGTGATGTTGTTTCGGCATAGAAACAACATTGACTTCTCAGAGACAAACTACACGTTTGACATCGAATAATAGACGTTTCAACATATTAAATGATGCACTCAACACGTGAATAAGTTTGGTGTTATCACTCTTTGAACGGCTTGGTAAGTCCGAAGTGGCTCTCAACAACATTAGTCAGTGTGTGCCAACCAAAGCCAACCAAAGTTATATTTTTTGAACAGTGGAAAAATGATACTTGTGACCTTCAATCTTGTTTTCCAGATGGCTTTATACCAGATTGGGGAAGTGAGAGAATTCCTCACCTGTGTGATCTGCCAGGAACTGTACACAGATCCCTGTACACTGAGGTGTGATCACACATTTTGCAGGAAATGTGTCACTGCATACATCCAAACCAGACCAGATGCTGTACAGTCCAAGACGATCCCCTGTGCCTTCTGTCGACAAGATACCAAGGTCCCCGACACCAGCCGGCCAGTGGAGGAGTGGGCGGGGCAGATCAAACCCAGCATCATTATACAGGGGCTGATAGACACACAAGCTGGCTTTGTCAAAACGGGTATTGATAACATGTGCATTTTAATGTCATTTTGTGTTTTTTAAATACAACGATAACAATTGACTCAAATAAACACCAGAAAACACACATTTATCAATCAAAAGCATGTCTCTACTGTATCCAAAGCACTTGAAGAAAGGTGTACTATATATTTTAGCTATGATACAACTTATTAACATGTTCATTATTAACATTGAATATGATGGGGACATAATTTATATTAATACTAGTATATATATATATCAGTTATTGTGACGAGGTGATCGATAATGCTCTTGAAAACAAAATAGCTAGACATGTCTACAATATGTAAAGGTAATTGTAAGGGAGCAGTCATTTGATGTTCTCAGGGGTTGGGTTTAGGCGGGGATATTATCGAAAAAATATCTTCTCCCAAAAATGTTGTTCAAAAACATAATTATGCTTCAAATTGTTGAAAATAAATTGCCAGTACTTGTTTCTTAAAACAAATTCAGGCTGAAAGATATATATAAATTATTATAATATTTTTTAAGTATCAGTTTCTGTAGCTGGGGCAGAAAATATCTAATCTCAATACAAAATCCCATATCAAAACGTCGGTTTCATTTTGATCAGAACTATAAGCCTGCATAAAATTATTAACAGTGTAAATTTATGGCAGCCAATGTCTCAAGCATCAAACTTTTATTCAAGCATTTTCTCATGCAATTGTTTAAGTTTTCGATCAAACCCTAGGCTCCCAAAATCCACCCCTCTTCCCCACACACAAGAATATCAAATCACCCTGACAAGCCAAGACTTTATCACCAAACCAATACCGGAAGCCCTGTTAATAACTTTAAAACAGAACACTTTTTCCTGAATTTTCTATCTCGTAATTATTGTAAGACAGTTATGATATCTCCATTTACCATAGAAATGTCCACTTACAGATTCCGCTTCATGTTGCTCTGTGTGTGAGAAGTTAGGGGAGACAACTCCGGGAGCCTCATGGTGTTCTGAGTGTCAAGTGTCCCTCTGCGAAAGATGTGTCAAGATACATCGTGCAAGTCCAGCATCACATGACCATGAAATCTGTGACCTTTCAGGAGAGGTCAAGGTGAAGAGGAGGCGCAAGGTCATGTGCAGGGAACACAAATATGAGGTTATAAAGATTGTGTGTAAAGACTGCCACAAAGTCGTGTGTCCGACATGTTGTGTTATTTACCACAGGCAATGTGAGTCTGTCATTACCATTCAGTCAATGATGCCAACTATGAAATACCACTTGAGAAAAAGCGCGGAACAGTTATCAAAGAAAATACTTAGAAAACATACAATTGTTAAGAAAACAAACAAAAACATGAGCGGAATTGAGAAAAACAGCAGCAGCAGAAAAGGATATCAAATCTGTTGTTAAGAGAGCCATAGCCAACATCAAGCAGAAACAAAAACAGCTGATAAATAAAGTCAGGGATATTACAGACAAACAAATTCAGGAAATTAAAGTGGATGTTAAACTTGAAGAGATTGAGACGCAGATGTACAAACAACATTGTGAGTTCATTGACCAAGCCTTGATATCGGACTGTGAGATGGACCTGTATGACGCGTATCAGGCCTGGGAGTCGGGGGCTGTAGAGTTGGGGGATGTCAGGGACACAGACACAGCAGACACATGGAGAATAGATGACATCAGGTTTACACCTGACACTGACAACGTCCAGCACATCCTAGATGACCTACAGCTGGGGGAGATTGACGTCACATACCAGGATCAGGGCACATGTCTGCCGCCTCCAGTGCGAGTTGACACGATATATGGGAGGATTGCGGGCGATGAGGTGGAGCCTGGTCTACGTGACATCACAGTTCTGGTTGTAGATGACATACAGACAGTTGTAGTCACTGACTTCAATAACAAGTGTGTGAAATCCTTCTACACTAGAAACAACTTGGCATGCCACAGTACACTTCCCCTGGGTGACTCTCCATGTGGTGCAACACAGTTGAAGGAGAAGCAGGTGATGGTTGCTGTCCCTGACTCCAGTCAGATTGTAACAGTAGAAGTGACCCCTGACCTGGAGCTGCTCTCAACCATCACAATAAGCAAGAGGTACTTCAGTCTCGCTGTTCTGAGTCCCTCATCTCTAGCAGCAGGTGGAAGCGCCTGTGTTGATATCCTGGACATGGCTGGAGACGTGCTGAGGTCAGTTGCTACACACAACAATGAGACACTGTTTGCCTTCCCCCGGTACATGTGTGTCAACAACAAGGGCAACATACTCGTGTCGGACAGGGGGGAGAGGTCTGTGAAATGTGTGACGTCAGAGGGGGATGTTGTCTGGAGATACGCCCCTACTCGAGACAGAGCACTCAGCTACCCTCATGGTATCTCAACTACTCCAACAGGAGACATCCTGGTTGCAGGCATCAGTGAGGTTACAAGGCTGACAGAGGCAGGGGATGATGTCACAGATCATCAGGACATTGACTGTGATCCACAAGGATTGTATGTCGATAGACATGACACACTGTATGTTTGTGGTGGACGTCAGATACACGAAATCAACTTCTTGTAGTCACATCATCAATTTCATGATTTCAATCATCACTATCACTGGTGTTAAATTCACTATAACAACTCAAAATAGACTCTTGGGGTGTGAATGATCATACAAAGGTGTATCAACAGACATTATTTCCACATCATTACACATCACATTATGTGTTTAGCAACCTGGTTCTCTTTATTAAATCGCCTCCATGTTCTAGTAAGTACGGTGTCGGCCGGGAAGGCGAAAAGCCCGTGGTTTGATCCCAATCTGCTCAAGAGATACCAATACTTCACTCTATTTTTAGTGGATATGATATGGTTTACTTGTTATTGAAGTGCTCACATGACTACTTCGACCGTGGATGGTCACTTGATATATTGTTTAATGAAACTAATGAGTTCCCAACTCTTGAGACCATCTGCGGGTTCCCGGGTCGGGTTGGTTACCCGGGCTGTAGATTTGGACTCGTCCCAGCTCCAGTCAGTAGCATGTTAGGTACATTGTACGTGGTCCACTGAACCGTGGTCATATAATGTATTCACTTTACTAGATAGTAGATAGGGTGTTCATGTAGGATGTTTGTGATGTCATGAAGTTTGTTTTGTGGAACGTTATGGTGAGCCACTTAATAACCAAGAGTTCCTGCATCATACTTGTACGGAGGAACAATTCTGCAATTGTGTAATCGTGTCCATATCAATAATGATTAAAATGGTGTTGTAGGCATAGTACATTTCATTATTCAAGTGTCAAAAAATAAACTGTAAGTGATTCCATGTTAGTGTTTGGCTAAAAATGAAATTATTTTTTTGCGTCAGCTCCATAATCAGATACCATAAAATAGATTTAGTTTACTCTGAATAAACCGACAAACATTAGGCCACGCACACCCTCGGATTTGTTTCATGACTGGCTGATAATAGAGTTGGCAGATCTTGTGTTGCACTATTGCGCTGTACAGTGTCATATGACTTAATAGACAGCCTTTGAAGTTGTTATTGCTGACTTGTAAAATGTATTTTTGTGCTTAAAGGGGTATGCACACTTTGCGTTATATACGCAGATTAACGCATGATATGCACACAATTTGTTTAGATTTATACCTCCATAAACACAATAAATATTGTTAAGTTAATTAATAAATAAATTGCCAGCGAGTCCGTTGCATTAGATTGGTTAACCTTAAATAACATTAGCCCACGCCCACTAGCGAACTACTTGCGTGACGTCGTAGGAATTCGCGGTGGCTCGCCCGTGATATGCATAGCCCCCAGATTAAATAAAATCATTGAAATCATTGAAAGAAAACTTCAATCGATTTCTTTTACTTATTTGTACCGCACACATAATCATTAGATCGTTTTTTATAGCATATTCACTCAGGAAGAGCAGAATGTATTTTTCACAAATAAAAAACATGACCCTACCATAACATTGTCTGTCATGTACTTACACCTCCATACACGCAAAACATATTTAGTCAATACTTAATCCATAACTGGATTCCACAGGAGGTACCGCTACATTAAAGTTGCGTCGCAATGTTTTGCAGGCCAGTGTGACATCATCGGTTACCATGACGTCACGATCAACTGACATACCTTTTCCCTCTGCCACTGAAGCCGGTCAGCTGTACTTTTTACACTTGAGACACTTGATATAACTCTTTACAGTTGAAGAGGTTGGAAGAATTCTAAACAGAATCTCTACTCGTACGCTTCTGTTGTCAGCCATTAGGGCTGGGTTAGGTTGGTCCTGGGTTGGATCTGGGCACCCACAAGATTACCCGGACCCTTAGTTAATCACGTGCTATATTGTTCAATAACAATAAAACACCATGGCTACACCGAAATTCACTAATGTGTCACATTTTTTCTGACACTCCACGTATTCCTTCTGATATTTTTGGGGCGGTCGGGTAGCCAAGTGGTTAAAGCGTTGGCTCGTCACGCCGAAGACCCGGGTTCGATTCCCGACATGGGTACAATGTGTGAAGCCTATTTCTGGTGTCCCTCGCCGTGATATTGCTGGAATATTGCTAAAAGCGGTGTAAAACCATACTCACTCACTCTGACATTTTTATATCTGAGTAAAGGTAAAGCTTAAGTCAATTTCAGTGTATGCATGATCAGTTCGTATACACATGTATATCAAGAGGTTTTGCCAGGCCACCGGTAAAACATTTCTAATCAGGCATTTTCTACCCTACTCGAATCCTACAGCAGGTTCCCTGGTCGGGTGAGGCCAGGGTGTAGGGTACCTGGGTAGGGTCAGGTAATAGGGGGTCGGGTCCCTGGGTAGGGTCAGGTGATAGGGAGTCGGGTACCTGGGTAGGGTCAGGTAATAGGGAGTCGGGCACCTGGGTAGGTTCAGGTAATAGGGAGTCTGGTACCTGGGTAGGTTCAGGTAATAGGGGGTCGGGTACCTGGGTAGGGTCAGGTGATAGGGAGTCGGGTACGTGGGTATTAAATTTGGACTCATCTCAGCCCTTGTAGTCATCTACCTGTCTGTTCAGGTTCGAATTATGTTTTGAACCTGCTTCATGTATGAGTCTGAAATATTATGAGCATATCATGACACTAAAACAAAGTGTTAGGTTTGAAAAATTGTTGAAAACCTTTAAGAATATTCTAACAAAACACACGGTCAAGACATCTGCAACAATTACATGACGTCTAGCAGCACAATTAGATTTGAGCATGCAATTATAATAACTTTTGTTCACGGTATTGTGTACTTGATCTTACGTAAGTCTCCCTACAGCACAGATCCGTCATGGAATGTATCCCAATACTGAACGTCCGGGACAGGTTCTGTCATTGTGCCGTCACACACAACTACAACAAAACAACTAGACAGGTGTTAATTTGCATTACATGCCAAAATGCAAGCAAACCCACGCCAACCTGATCTTAAATGTCCCGAACCTTTTCGCCACCAGCAACAATATATCCAGAACCATTTGGACTTCACCAAATTAGGTGACAGCTGACCTGTTCATCTTTCAGCCCTAACGTTATCATATGCAGGACAACTTTAAAGGACAACAACACTCCAATGTTGAAAGTATTGAAAAGTGGATGGCTTTTTCGCAGACTCAGAGTTTCAATATAATGGACTATAATCTTGACTTGCTTAGCTTGCTTATTGGAATCTGTTGAGTAAGTGAGTTCAAAATGTAACGTCGCATCATAAAGTTGGAGTATTGTTGCCCTTTTAAAGTCAGAAAGTCACATGCCTCAAGCTTCATTTATAACAAGGTTATGATCACTTCCATGGTCTATAACATATGTCATAAGAGTGTGTTTAAGAAAACAAATTGTGACAGTGTATTAATCCTACACAAGAGACTTATTGTGTATGTTGACGAAAACGAATTCACGATAATCAAGACGGGTTAAGGAAGTGACGACTTGTAAACATAAGAGCCAAAATAGTTTGAATGACTTATTTACGTGTTTACTATGTTTACAAACAAATTTGAAACCTCACATCATGGTCAGCCTTCGACGGGCTTCGTCTATCAGGAAACAGGCATTGCTGATGTTTCAGGATATAAACACATACAATGTATTTTCCCATGCTAAAGTAAACAGTGAAAATATAAAATTGGGAACTCCTCATTCAATTTCCACTTTATGCTTGTTCCAGTCAAAATTCCCGGATTGTTATTTCTCGTGAACGTGATTCGTGATGCACCGTGACTACATCATACCCGTGACTACATCATACCCATGACAACATCATAATCATCACTACATCATACCATGACTACATCATACCCATGGCAACATCATACCTGTAAATACATCATACCGGTGACTACATCATACCGGTGAATACATCATACCCATGACTACATCATACCTGTGACTACTTCATACCCATGACTTCATCATACCCGTGACTACATCATACCCACTACTACATCATACCTGTGAATACATCATACCCGTGAATACATCATACCTGTGAATACTTCATACCAGTGACTACATCATACCCATGGCTACACCATACCCTTGACAACATCATAACCATGATAACAGCATACCATGACTACATCATACCCATGGCTACATCATACCCGTGGCAACATCATAACCATGATAACAGCATGCCATGACTACATCATACCCATGGCTACATCATACCTGTGAATACATCATACCCACTACTACATCATACCTGTGAATACATCATACCCGTGAATACATCATACCCGTGAATACTTCATACCAGTGACTACATCATACCCATCATACCCGTGACAACATCATAACCATGATAACAGCATACCATGACTACATCATACCCATGGCTACATCATACCTGTGAATACATCATACCCGTGACAACATCATACCCATGGCTACATCATACCCATGACTACATCATACCCGTGAATACATCATACCCATGACTACATCATACCCATGACAACATTATACCTGTGAATACATCATACCCGTCACTACATCATACCCGTGACTACATCATACCCGTGAATACATCATACCCATGACAACATCATACCCATGACAACATTATACCTGTGAATACATCATACCCGTGACTACATCATACCTGTGACTACATCATACCCATGACTTCATCATACCCGTGACTACATCATACCCACTACTACATCATACCTGTGAATACATCATACCGGTGAATACATCATACCTGTGAATACTTCATACCAGTGACTACATCATACCCATGGCTACATCATACCCGTGACAACATCATAACCATGATAACAGCATACCATGACTACATCATACCTGTGAATACATCATACCCGTGACTACATCATACCTGTGACTACATCATACCCATGACTTCATCATACCCGTGACTACATCATACCCACTACTACATCATACCCGTGAATACATCATACCTGTGAATACATCATACCCTTGAATACATCATACCCGTGACTACATCATACCCGTGACTACATCATACCCGTGAGTACATCATACCCATGACTACATCATACCTGTGAATACATCCTACCCATGACTACATCCTACCCGTGAGTACATCACACCCGTGAAAACATCATACCCATCGCTACATCATACCCGTGACAACATCATAACCATGATAACAGCATACCATGACTACATCATACCCATGGCTACATCATACCTGTGAATACATCATACCCGTGACTACATCATACCTGTGACTACATCATACCCATGACTTCATCATACCCGTACCTACATCATACCCACTGCTACATCATACCTGTGAATACATCATACCGGTGAATACATCATACCCTTGAATACATCATACCCGCGACTACATCATACCCGTGAATACATCATACCCGTGAGTAGATCATACCGGTGACTACATCATACCTGTGAATACATCATACCCATGACTACATCATACCCGTGAGTACATCACACCCGTGAAAAAATCATACCCATGACTACATCATGTCCACTACTACATCACACCTGTGAATAGATCATACCCATGACTTCATGATACCAATGACTACATCATACCCACTACTACATCATACCTGTGAATACATCATACCCGTGAATACATCATACCTGTGAATACTTCATACCAGTGACTACATCATACCCATGGCTACATCATACCCGTGACAACATCATAACCATGATACCAGCATACCATGACTACATCATACCCATGGCTACATCATACCTGTGAATACATCATACCCGTGACTACATCATACCTGTGACAATACCATACCCATGACTTCATCATACCCGTGACTACATCATACCCACTACTACATCATACCTGTGAATACATCATACCGGTGAATACATCACACCCGTGAGTACATCACACCCGTGAAAACATCATACCCATGGCTACATCATCCCCTTGACAACATCATAACCATGATAACAGCATACCATGACTACATCATACCCATGGCTACATCATACCTGTGAATACATCATACCCGTGACTACATCATACCTGTGACTACATCATACCCATGACTTCATCATACCCGTGACTACATCATACACACTACTACATTATACCTTTGAATACATCATACCGGTGAATACATCATACCCTTGAATACATCATACCCGTGACTACATCATACCCGTGAGTACATCATACCCATGACTACATCATACCTGTGAATACATCATACCCATGACTACATGATACCCGTGAGTACATCACACCCGTGAAAACATCATACCCATGACTACATCATGCCCACTACTACATCATACCATGACTTCATCATACCCAAGACTACATCATACCCAAGACTACATCATACCCGTGACTACATCATAGCCATGACTACATCATACCCGTGACTACATCATACCCATGACTACATCATACCTGTGAATACATCATACTCGTGACTACATCATACCCATGACAACA